GAAACAAAAATGGACATATTACAGACATCAGAGCTGCTTCACCGGATCTAGTCCACTGGATCTACTCCATCTACGCACAAATGTGTGATCCAAAGTGTACACCTAGATAGATCGTTGATGGATATCTTCAATAGATGCATCACTTGTTTCATCTTCTACTCAATTATTTGTGGTTTCAAGAGAACAATAGGATAGACAAGTTTGGTCTACCGATTCGGGTCCATTAGATCTGGTCCATCGGATCTCGTCTGTCAGAACTGGTTTGTCGGATCTGGTCCCCATGAATTTGTCCGCCGGAACTCGTCTGCTGGAATTATGGTCTGTCGGAACTGGTCCGTCGAATCTGGTCTGCCGAAACTGGTCTACGAAGCTGGTTATAGTTTACCGGAATTGGCTATGGTCTGCCGGATCTGGTCCGTCGGAGTTCGTCTGTAGGACCTAGTCCGTCGGAGTTCGTCCGTCGGATCTGTTCCGTCGGAGTTCGTACGTCGGATCTGGTCCGTCGGAGTTCGTCCGTCGAATCTGGTCCGTTAGTACTGTGTGTTGTTGAAAAAAAAAAAGATGAAGATGAAGATGAAGAAGAAGAAGAAGAAGAGAGGGATAATGGGGTAAGTTGGTATTTTTACAAAGCTCTTGTGGCAGGCGGGAGAAAAGACTTTTCTAAATGGCATTCCTCAAAAGTTTTGTTATTATTCAGGGCATAACACACAATTTTCTCTTAAAACAAAGTCCCAATATTATTGCACTAAATAAACGGAACCAAATTGCTCCAATATTATTGCACTACACCATGAGTTCATTAGCATTCTAGCTTGCAAAATGTGCACTCTCAGAGTCTCAGTTGTCCTAAGTTCACGAATCATGACAAGAGAAGACCATGCATGCGTTAGAAACTGAATTTACTTACATTTATTAAAAAACTTTCTTATCAAATATTAATTATAAGTTTCATATAAAATTTAATCTGGGTGGCATTAATTGGAGGAATTTTTGTAAAGGCATGTTGGATATTTGGATGTGAACTCTAACATCTTGATAAAACTAAATATATTTTTGGCTAACCATAATAATAGTTATCGAATGTAATTATTGGAAAACAAAAGGCACATTATTGTTTTAATTATGGTTTTACATTATTTTTCATTGATCTTTTGAGCACCGTGAGTCCATGACCTATCCGATGGTGATGGTCAACAGTGGTCGAAGACCCTTTCTAGAATAAAGCTACCCCCAGTCCCCACTACTTGCACTAAACATTTTCGAACATCTTTATAAAAAACAAAAATCATAACCATTTAATTTGTGTTCTCTTTCTTACTAAACTGCACGAAACCATAAACGGATATATAGAAGCCAAACATTTCGTAAGGCAGTAGAAATTTAGAAAACGGGTATAAAATAGAAGCATATAATAAAATACCAAACATCACATCATATTAAAAATTGTAAACTTTTCAAGACCACTCAACTAGAAAAAAGTAATTAGTTACCTTTTTTGATAACAAATATAAATCTCATAAAAAAAATTATATCATTATCTTCATACTCATTATTCTCAACTCCTACAAACAAAATTGTTTCAAATTTTTGTCTTGTCCAAAGAAAAATTGTTATACTTAATTATGTCTTTCTGAAGTTAATTTAAGTAATTAAATCAGTCACTTCCAATATCTTATACATATATATATATATATATGATTCAAATACTTTTCTAAATTCTAACCATGCATGATCTTCACAATAGATAAATATTAAGCTTAATCAGTATGTAAAATTAAAATTCACAAAATATTTTTTTTATCAGAAAATAATAATAATTGTACATTTCTTATTTCTTTGTGACATCAAATTTTGAAAATGGAATCACGAGCTTCCAAACAAAGTTTGTAAGTGAAACTTCAATGCTCGCAAGTTTTTGAAAGCGTCTTTTTTTTTGTTATTTTATTTATTTATTTATAAGATATATGATAGTTCCCTCACCTATAACTTAAGTTTTTAAAATGTAGATTTTAATGTAATTTCCCTTAGAGCATTGAATTTTATATGATTACTGAAATCATAAAATGTATATTTGTATCTTTTTTACATCACTATTTTAGATTATAGATTAAATTATAACCGATAGGGATCTTCTTTTATTTTAAGTGGAGTGGATGCCATATCCGGTGGCAGAGAAACAAAGGGAGAGAAAGAGCTGTGGAAACAAATAAATTAAAACATTTTTGTTTTTTTACTTAAGTAGGTATTACAAATACAAAGTTGGAAATAAAAAGCAACGAAGATTGGAGAGAATTTTTCTTCTTTTGGATGGAATTTTTCCATTTTGTGTTGTCTATTTCAGCGTAGCAAATTTAACAAATAGGAGAACGCCATGTGTGTGCCAAATGAAATGACCAAACACGTCTAGGTTAGTGTAGAATAAAAAGTTTAATTTATTAATCACACTTGCAATTTGGTAATATATATCACATGGTTGTAAAGTTTATAAAAACATTACAAAGAAACCATTTTGGTTGGTATTGGGATAATAATAAAAAGTTCTAGATAATTATTAGCTCGAAGGAGCCTTATGGTTTGAGCCTTTTGGGCCACCGTACTAATGGAGGTGAGACTGACGGCTCCTATTGGAGGAATTGTTGGAAGTGGAGGTGAAAGGACCGAACGCAACGTACGTAGCCACAAATATATGCTAAATGGTGTACAACCTGATGAGAAGGGAATTTCTATCTTTCCATCATAAGATTCTTTATTATCTCTTTGAGAGGACAACATTATAATAAAAGAGTGCATGAGAGATTATATTATCATCAATCACTTTACTGTTTCTCTCGACCATCCATCCAATTAAAACAAAGGATATATGATCTCATGCAAAATTCGTACGGTAAACATGTAATGATATATTCCCACGTGAGTCTCGTAGATCCCAAGTTATTTGCCATATTTGTATTGTCACGTGTTAATGTGTTATGGACTGGATTGGATTGCATTGTATACATACACACCACTTACTAAGTTCTTGATGGATCGACTTCACAATCTTGCATGATTTAGCTCATGAGCTGCGCAATTTTATATGAGTTGTAACTAAATTATATATCTGAGTTGAGATTTTGTATGCAACTTACATTTATGCGAAAATAGCTTACTAACGTTATATAAGTACAGAATAATAGAAATAAAGCTTTTGTGTAAGTTGTAATTAAACTATATAGTGAATTACAATAAATGAATGATATTTGAAGATGTTCCGTATGAAAACCGAAGTAATAAATTAAAGGTGGCCGACAAAAAATGAGGATTCAGAAGGCACCGATTCATGAGACTAGGCATAGAACAAAAGATGAAAAAAGCAGCTTTCACATATAGTTATAAATATATTTTGTATGTGGTTACAACTTATTTCTCGTATTCAAATTTTTTAAAATATTAATGAATAATTGAAATAGGAAGGATCAAGTAACACATTACCACACGTAACGCAAGTAGCAACAAAGCAAGTAGAATAAATCATGTCACGTTGTTATAAATATATTTTTGTATGTGGTTACAACTTATTTCTAATTCAAAATGTAATATTGAGAATAAAAGCAAGGATCAAATAATACCTTACCACATAGTCTCACCGCAAGTAGCTACAAGCAAGTAGAACAAATTAAATTTTAGTAGACTTTATCGTGTTATTGTCCGTTTTGTTTGGTTTTTGGGTGTTGTCTACTTGTCGGTTGTGTAAAATATTTATCATTCAAAAGATTTTTGAAACCCATCGATACGATCTTTTTACAGTTGATATATAATATTCAATGGATGCTCATATATAGTCATAGGCCAGTGTCTGAAGTCTACCCAATTGTCATTGTAGTATTCTCGTTAGAATTAGGTCTTATCAAAACCTATAGGAGTTAAAATGCTAAACTAAAAGGGCCAATATGCAAAATGGAAAGCAAGACTAGAGAGTGGAGAGTGAGTGACGACGCATCGCACAGGTAAAAAGTACGGACAAAACGATTCGTTAGATCTTAAAATGTCCGTACAATCGAGTTATAAGGGTTTAATCGTGCAATTTAGGAAGTTGTTTGTAAGTTAATATGTCTTTTGCTCTTTTGTTTGATGAGACATCACTTCTTTTTTTTTTCCCCTGCAAACAAAACTAATGTTTGGTATATAAATTTGGTGTTTGGTGATCAGTCACACCTGTGTTTTCTTGTTTTTTTTTTCCTTTTCTTTTGTGCCAAATCTTTTGATATGCAAAACAAAATCTTACTTACTTGGGGATTATATATATTTATATTTTATTTTATGGAACAGCTAGAATTTGATAAATGGTAAGCTGTAATTAACTTTTACCATTAAACAATTAAGATGACTGTCAAATGTTGAATTTTCTTGCCTATAAAGTATTTGAAACACATGTATGTGCAAAAAATGAGAAATGTATATGTTTTGTAAGAACATTATGATTTCTGTTCAAATCATGAAATACTTAGATTGCACTAAAGTTTTATTGTGGTTGTCGTGATTTTATTGGTGGAGCTCGCATAAAATCTACAGGGAAAATTTGGTGGGCAATCACTAAAAAACTTTTTTTTTGAGTGTTTTTTTTGGGGTTCAATGTTAAAAGTATAAAAAGTTTAAGTACTTGACCAATGGGTTATTCTTTTCTTTTTTGGGTTAATTTGTTTTTTTCAAGTAGATGATATCGCAATATGATAAATTTTCAACTCAGAAATAAAAACAGTTTCTCTGATAATTAAATTTCTACACATACATAATAGTGAGAGACAGAGACTGAGAGTAATTTGATATAAGGTTTGATATAATTTATTTTTCTCTATTGCTCTTGGGCAGCTTTAAGAAAAAAAAAAAAAAAAAAACTTATGGGCCTAAAGGCCTGAATTAGTGAAGCCCAAATTGGAAAATTTAAGCCTCATAAGAGTAGTAAATTGGTGAAGAAGAAGGTCGTTATTATAGGATTTAGGGTTTAAGAAAACGTCTGAGAAGTAGAGATTCGAGAGAGAGCTGAAAGAAGAAAAGAAAAAAAGAAAAAAATGGGGAAGGCAAAGAAGATGAAGGGAAGCCAAAGCTTTAGGCAAAGGCTGCTTCTTTCGACACTTTCTTCAACACGTATCGTTATTGATGAGATTCGTGCCGACGAGACTATTCCTGGTCTCCGTCCCCACGAGATTTCTCTTCTCCGCCTCATCGAGACTGTCACCGATGACGCAGTCGTTAAAATCAACGAGACTGGTAAGTTTGTTTCACCAATTTTTATTTATAGGCTTCAGATTGACTGAAGTTTGTAGGACTGATTCATAGAAATTTTAACATTTTAGGATAGTTTTTGCCTTTTGAGCTGAAGCTAATCCGGAGGCTATGATTGGATTCCAAATTTGTTTCAGTTTAGTTGAGTTTTGATTTACAATCATGATTGGTCTTTCTGAGGGCGAAACTTGAAGAAGAAAAAGTTGTTTTTCCCTAGCTGATTGGTTCGCTGGTTTAACAATACAACTTGGCAGGTACTCAATTAAAGTACAAGCCTGGAATTATAATGGGAGGGAAGAACTTGGTTCACAACTGTGCCCTGACCCGATCCATTGGCTACTATCTGGAGCCATTGATTGTGTTAGCATTGTTTGGAAAGAAGCCCCTTTCGATTAGGCTCAGTGGTAACTACTCTTTCTTTTCCAAAATCATGCATGGTCTCATCCGCAAAACCTGACTTCCTGTTAAATTGTTCGTGGCTGTGATCTTAAAGAAGATGTAAGCTTAGAGTAATTATAAACATATATTGGAAACATATGAATGGTCTTAGGTACTGTATCAATCACCGTATTTATTTTTGACCAAATGAATCCCGGGTTGGTAGGCTTGAATCATTAATCCAGATTCATTACATTAAACTTGAAAAAAGAAAAGGTTACAGCTTGGAATTTATTATGATCGAGCGACCAAACATTTAACTTTTGCAGGAATTACAAATGATCCAAAAGACCCGGGGGTCGACACCTTCCGTTCAACTACCTTACATATCTTAAAGCGTTTTGGAGTCCCTGCAGAGGGTTTAGGGCTTAAAATTGAATCCCGTGGAGTAGCTCCTAATGGGGGTGGAGAAGTTCTCTTAACAGTTCCAACTGTTCAGACTCTAACTGTATGTACTTGTTAATTTCCTTTTTTCTTCCTCACTGTGCGTTTCATATGGATTTCTTACTTGTCATATTGGTGCTTCAGGCGGTTCATTGGGTTGAAGAAGGAATGGTGAAGAGGATACGTGGCAGCACTTTCTCTGTGAGAGTGAATTCTGATTTTGAACATTCCATGAGATTCGCAGCTCGTGGAATCTTCAACAATCTCTTGCCTGATGTTCACATTGAATTAGATCACAGAGCTGGCGCTCAGGCTGGAAAGTAAGAAGACTTTAAACTAAAAACAAAAGCGAGAGATACTTTATCAATAAGAGCTCAACGTTTCGAAAAATATGTTATTGCAGATCTCCTGGATATGGGATATCATTGGTAGCAGAAACAACTACAGGGTGTTACATATCTGCAGATACAACAGTCTCTTTTGGAAGAACTGACGAAACTGGAGAGCTTGATTTTGAGAAGAAAAGTAGAGTGTCAGCTGAAGACACAGGAGTTGAAATAGCTTCATGGCTTCTTCAAGAGATTGAGAAAGGTGGAGTTGTTGATTCTACCCACCAGGTACGAGCATCATAGACACCAAATAGATTGTTTTCAAAGTAATGGCTTTAGCTGTGTGTTGTTAATTCTCTGGATTTCTACAGGGATTGCTGTTTATACTGTGTGCCTCGTGCCAACCAGACGTGTCAAAGGTTCGAGTCGGAACGTTATCTTCTTATGGTGTGGAGACGTTGAGGAACATAAAGGAGTTTATGGGAGTTGAGTTTAATATCAGACCTGATCCATCGACAGGGACTGTTATACTCAAGTGCGTTGGAAGTGGTTTAGTTAACCTCTCAAGAAAGCTTTCTTGATTTCTCACAATTATTGTTGTTTGTCAACATATAACAACTTTACAATTTTGTCAATGTAAACTTTGAATGGATGTGTATTCTCGACCTTATTACATTTACATTTATATAATTATATTTATGCATTTTCAATTTTTCATCCTGGATATATATCTGTTTTAATAATTTAAATCGACACTTTGATATATAAGCACATACTCGTCAGGATTGAACTGATTTATGACTAACATGGTTATATTAAAGACATCTAGGAGGTATTGTAATAAGAGTACAACAGAGAAGCAAAGAATGGGTATGAAGTACTTGTCTGGTAAAATTTGGCACTCAATTGATCTTCATGGAATGTTAAAAGAGAATCACAAAGCAGAGAGTTCGACTTCTTGAGTGGAAGGTCGATAAGCTACGAAGGTGCTATCAGTTGAAAAGCAGCCTGGATTGAAGCATGTTGTTCCCCCAAATTTGCATACCTCTTGCTCACTCTTGTCACCTAATACTATCTGTATTAAAAACAACAACAACCCTTTAATCTGAGGCGTGTCTGGTGTGGATTTAAATCTATAATAAGAAGATTTATGGATTACCGTATGAGGAGTTGGGTACAGTCGAAGAGAGTGATCATAGTTCCAAATGATGGGTTGCACCATGAGAGGTAGAGGACACAGATGGCTCTGATGAGTTATTGTATAGACAAGCTGTACCAACAAGTTTCAGGAGTTTTCAACCATTACCAGAAAAAATTTTAGTAAGAAAATAATGGAGACTAGAAATGTATTTACATGCTTAAAAGGGTCCTTAGTTTCTTCTGAGGAAGGGGTTACTAAGCATGAACGACGCATCCTATACAGAAGATCTTGTCGGAAGAACACAATCTCTTGGTTATAAAACTTTACTCTGCATTTTACAAAGACGAGATTATGCTGCCACTTTAGTGTTGGGTCTCTCAGTAAATCCAATGTTCACAATTCAGAAGACAAAGCAACAGAGAGTTCACACATCGTATAGAAACTCACCTGCAAGGATTGCTTGAAAATATTGCATTGGGAATAATGTTCTGAAGCTCTTCGGTTAAATAGTTCGGTAAAGCGCATCTTGGCAAGACAGTCGAGGGACCTGTCAGATCAAGAGTTTTTATAAGTCATGTTGGACTTCTGTTAAAGATTATTTAGATACTAATGCTGGTGATAGTAGTACCTGCGTCATCAGGACCGGGAATGAATAAAAATCGACTGCTTTCTTTTAGCCGTGGATGGTTTCCAATCATCCTCCCAAGTTTACCAAACTGCTCCCTGTGAATGATACAGGTAAATATCATCGAGAATATATAAGAACAAATTTCCATGTAACAGTTGAAGAGATTTTTAAATACAGTGATCACTTACCTAAGGCTTGAATAAGAACCAAAGGCTAAGTTGCATGGGCGAGAACAAAAATTTCCCATAAAAACAAACAAGGAGGGTACTGTCTCCACATTTTCAAAACCGTCAAGAACAGTTTCCAGCTTTCCGATAACCTTCTCTATGGACAACATATCGCCGATCAAGCAATGTCACAAAAGGAGCATAGTCATATAGATTGATGCTATATAAAGTACTTGGTACTCCAACTCACCTCTTCGTTGTCCAACCATATGTCAGACAATATGACAAATGTGTCATTCACAGCTTGTCTTTCAAGGTCTGCAAGTCTAATCTGTTGGCAGGCAAAAAAAAACATATTATGTCTGCTGTCAGCTACGTACTTTGTAAGAGATTGCATTGACAATTGACCACATTATCAATCTGGGAGTACAAACAACAAATCAAAAATTACCGTCTCTTCTTTAGTTTGTGTGCCGCCTCCAAAGAAGTCGCATTCAGAATGTGTCTTTAGTGTTTTGTCCCTGTCTTCTAAGGGAGGAAATCCACATGTAATCACCTTCACCACAAGATGAGAAAACACTTTTAGAAGATGATGAGTTGGTCAAAGAACATATTTTGAGAAAACTGAGCTTTCTTACAAGCCATCATTCTGCTAATGAGAACAAACATTTGCATAATCCCTTAAATCTATTCAAGTGTTTTACGGAGACTTGTGTATTATTTTGTCAAAGAGGAGATCCTATACAGAACTTAGTTCTATATTCCTTCATAGAGATAATATCTGATCCTAGTATGATCAATAAAATAAAATCGTAGAAGCTACGAGTGTTCCCCTCAGCAGATTATCTCCCTGGTATAAAAGTAACTAACTCAGAAAGGGGGAGAAAGGCCCACCATCAAAATTGCCACCTTCAAATCTAATTTACCTGAAAGATACCGTTCACCTGCATTTCGCCTTCTGCCAAAATTATAGTATTCTCTGTGAAGAATCCTGTTGTTATCTTGTACTGATTGTCAAAGAAAATAATTCACAGCACAAATAACTTAAAATGCAATTCTTTACTATGTCTTTGTAAGAATGAGAACCTTTAAATGCAATGTCCAGCTTTTGTAGATTGTAATATAACCAACTTTTAGAAAAGGATATTGCTTTGGACAGATCAATCTCTACAGAAGCTGAAAGGTCTTCTAGGTAGAAATGTCCATCTTCCAACTGGGATATCACGCCCATCACCCATTTCCTTCCTCTTTGAGAAATTAGTGACTGGATTGAAGATATCTACTAGAAAGAACACGCAACAAACTCCTTAGTTTCAGATTTAACACAAAGAACCCAAAAGAAAAATATGAACGACCACACAATGAACAATAAAACATAGACCAACCTCATTGCTCTCAAATTGTGACATTTCAGCATCAAATGCTGGCCTAGAAAAATGCTCAGCGCGAGAAACTCTCTGCGACAGCAACATGAATCGTTCCCTGTATAAAGCTGTTTTTGCATAAGCCTCACCATGAATAGGCAGGCTCTTCGTATGCCTAGAATCAATTCAAAATTTATATTCAATCAGTCGAAATCGGTTCTTGCAATCAGCAACGCTCAAGAGAAAGTTTCATCCCTAATCATCTATCACCACAAGTAGAACCAAATCTTATATCCCATTAAGCAACATATCTAGAGAAGAACGCCACCAATTAAAGTCATCAGACTCATCTTAAGAAACTCAATCGACACAGACTTAGTAGGACAAGTAGAGAGGCCTTACTCGTTAAACTTTTTTTTAACAGCATCATATCCAAATTTTGGCACCAGAAACGCGTCGATGACGGCCAAGGAAGAAGCACTAGTTGTAGGTTCTTCCGGCGCGTTATGAGCTCCCAGCAAGCGATTAATCAATTCTCGAACTGATTCGGCGTCAACAGTGGAAGATTCATCTGCAACATTTATTTCACAAGACCCCCAACGATTTCAAAATCGAAGATACTAATAAATTACACAGAATAATACGAGGGAAGATTTGGGCAACATACGCGATTCCTGGAGGTTATCGAGGAGAAGATCTATAGCTTCTCCGTCAGCGTCGTCGGGAAATTGATCGGCGAAAACGAGAATCTCGTCTAAGGCATCGAATTTGAGGTTGTATCCTCTATTTTTGAATTTCTTCTGTATCTTCTTCCTCTGACTCGTGCTGCTCATTCTCGCTACTTCTCTTGTTTGCTTTCTCAGAATCTGCGAAACCTTTTTCTTTGTCTCTTTTCTCTTTAATTTCTTTTTGGGCGGCAAAATTCTAATAAAAGTCCCCAAATCGGCGGGAAATCAATGTCTCACGTGCCCTAATAGAACCGGTTCTATCATGTAATTAACAGCAAAATAGATAAAAATCAGAATCATAAGAAAGAGATGAGAAATCAGAAGACACTATGGGTTTATATACATTAATGCCCCTCTATAAACCAGGAGATTCTTGATCTTTGGATGATATTATAATAACCGGTTTCGATCCCATTTCCGTTAAAAGCTTTCAAACAATTTCATTTGGTACACAAAAAACTACACACACACTAGTAAATGCTTATAAGGATCACTCAAGTGGGATTGAGGTTGTATATACCAATAAGCAGACACAAAATATAGACCCCGTAAAGCCTGAAAAATGAGCAAACCAAACTTTTTGGTTATTTGTCAGTCATCTCCCCAAGCATCTTCCCTTTGTTTCTGTCTGGAGACAATCCGATTTTTCCTGGCAGCTTCTTGGTCTCTTAGCTCTTTAGATCCGAATCCAGATGTTGGTAGCTTCAATCCCATGCTGTGAGCAATCAATCGTTGAGCTGTTCTCGCTGATGTCTTTGGTCTTTGAGACGGCGGTTCCAAATCTGAAGTTGTTCATTTAAGATAACATAGTTACACATACTGTGTTTTGGTGTTTCAGAAATTACACTGGTTGATCAAGCGGATTAAGGATGATTGATGTGTTATAACGTTCATAATCTTGTGACATATAGAAGTGAAAGAAACTAGAAAGATTTTATCGGGTGAAACTTATTTCTGATTACAAGAGGGAATAATTCTGCAAAACCATGAAAGACAAAAATAAGTAAGTGGATTACCTTTTCCAGAAATCGAGCCCAGAAGAGAATCGTGATCACCGAGAACACGTACGGTGAATGAACATTGAACATGGTTGCACGCCTCTAGAGCTGTATTAAATATCAAAACACACATCAAGAGTTAACTGTACAGGAGTAGATCTAATCTGTTTGTAAACTTGATTAGCAACAAAGGCAGAAGTTACATCTTTAGCCGGATACTAAACCTACTAAACTAGGCTGTACATTTTATGTAGTTCAACCCAATACCAAGTCCAATGCAATATCTAATAACACAACACATCAGAACAGGGAAATTCTAATGCTTGGTGGGATAAAACTTAAATTCTTACTAGTTAATCAGGGGTGTATGATGAAAATCAAATTAAATATCTATACCAGCTGAAGGGGTTTTGAAGACTGCAAGTGCTGTTGTATCATTGACCCAACGAATGATAAGTCCACTATCTTTGAAGTCTTTAAATAGCTTCTCCAAATCAGTAGTTCTTAAACTTGGAGAAAAACCAGCAAGTACGAGGACATGGCGTGTGCCATACTTGGCTGCATTTAAAAGCAGAAAGGAATTAAGGAACTGTGCTAAATCCTAATCAAATTAATTTAACATACAAATTATGGTTGTTACAGATACTACAATCCAAAAACAGAAAGGAGATATTGAGAGTAACGACTTACACTTCAGTGCTTCATCAATCTTCTGTGAATCATGAGATGTATCATTATCTTCTGAATCATCAAACCTCGACTCAGAAAAGTCTCGATCACTGTACATCGCATCCCTATTATAAGTAAAAGTTCCCCGTCCACGTCTCTTAGGTCCTTGAACTTTAGGTTCTTCAACCGAAAGCTTTGATATTTCAGGCAACTCTTCTACGGGAAGTAATTTACTAGGTTCAAGATCTGCAAGTGCTTCCCAGTCTGCACAACATCATGTAATCCATAAATGATTTCATGACAATGAACAATCTGATATCCAACAACAAATGTAACATACCATCATCTGAAGAATCATTATTGCTGACGGCTTTTGTTGTATCCTTTGTTTTCCCTTGATATGTCCACGGAAATCGATCAGTAACAGCGTAAAAAAAGCGAAAATCAGATAGAAAACAATGAACACTATAGATGAACAACCATCAGCAGGTGAGACATTTGAGTCAGACTTGAGTCCATTGGAAGCAATAATTTGATTCTCTACATCACCGGAACCTCTGCAATTATAAACCCTAAGATGGATGAAACCATACAATTTCCAAGCTTTCAAATTCCCCTAAACACATTACTCATATCTCTCCCTAATTCGTAGTACCTTGAAGAAGCAAGATCACAATCGAGAGCACGTTGCTTAATGAGGGAAGAACGAGTTCGAAGCTCATCGGATTTAAGGGAAAGTCCCTGAGAAGAGTAGAGATCCGCCAATTGGGTGAGAGCGGCAGCTAACTGAAGCCCAAACTCCGTTCTCTCGCCGGCGGAGGAAGAACCGATTCGCGACTGGAGATTGGTCACCAGAGAGTCGAGAAACGAGATCGCCGCCGTGACATCTCCGGCTGCTACGAGATCCTCCACTCGCTCGCTCCAATTTGGTTCGCTTGTTTTGTCTCCTTCGCTTGGCCGTGTGGTCTCCATAGTTAGGTCTCAGCGAGTCTGACGCTTTCAGAAAAATGCTCACACGTATCCACACGAATTAGTAAGCGATGATGATTCTGTGCTTGCTTCTTCTTATATATCTTATGTCGTAATCAATTTGAAATTTTAAAAACATGTTATAAAAATTAGGTTAAAAAAAAAAGAACTGCATCACTCAATTCAAAGGCTGTCCAAATAAATTTTGCTACCTTGCAATTGTAAATGACACTGAATCCATAATTCCAAATTCGAGCTTTTCTGAGACAGATTGACCTCTTTTTCATGAGTAGTAATTTAGTTTCCACTTGTTGTATTTAAATCCTGGAATGTCATATGAAAAGTTTGCATCTTACATCTAGACAATTGTAAAAAGTGTTGTTGGCTTTCAATGATGATACTTTTGTGGCCTGCTGATTCCAACCCGAAATTAGTATAAGAGACCTGTTGTGTTTTATACAGCTCTTTTCAGTTTCTCTTGTACAAGGAATCTGAGGACAAGCAAGCTCCAACAATGGTTTTAATTAAATTGCCATTTCAATTCCTCCATATACTACTTTTGAGAAATCCTAAAGAACCTTAGAATACATATCAAACAAAAAACATACACCAACAAAATTTGCAGATCATGGATCATATACAAATGCCATAAACACCAAGGTCTTAGTAGATGGTAATGACCAATAAATAAAATACCTTTTGATTAGTCTCAGTCAAGTTTCTTAACATGCTTTGGTGAGGAGGATTCATATCGTCTGAAGAGAGGCGAGAATCGATGGCGCTGTATGATTTTGACGAGGACAAAGGTGTTTGCTGCCAGAAAAAGTAAACTCGCCACCCATAGCTGTAAGAAGACGTTAAAGCCCTTGAACTCGAGCATGTATCCCCATAAAAGCCAATGTGTCTGAGCTCCAATCCAGATAATGATGCATAACAAGCCTTCCCATTTCAGCTTCATTCGGCTCCATGGTAGAATTAAGGGTAGCAGGCAATAGAACCACACAAAGTATTGCGCTGTTATTACCTACAGACAAATGGGCCGATAAAATAGTAGATCAAAACGAGAAGTTTTTAGCCCGCTGAGGTATGCATAAGAATTGAACAACTGAAGACTTTATTGAACAGAAATGAGGATAGAGAGATGCATTAAATACCTTGTTGAAAGCCACAAATGCAACGGTTTGGAGAAAGATGCAGAAAACAAGATCCTGCCAGAAGCAGAAGACTAGAGCAAACTGTACTGTAAACTGAGGTAAGAACGAGATAAGCTTCTCCAAAGCTGAAAACTGGCCCTCATAGTGAAGATATATGTGATAGAAGTAGATGGAGAAGTTGTGCCTTGGATCTGTGCGAGTCAGATGATATAAGAGAGCCTCGTGCAGGAACTCTTGTCCATAGAAATAAAAGGAAACAGCATTACAAGCTAAAAAAACTCCCCCGGATACCAAAGCAAACATGATTCTCTCCCTGGAAAATAAACTTTTCAAGGCAGTAAAGAGACTGAATAGGAATGTTTTTTTCTCCGTGTTGCTGGTAGGTGTCTTGGCCTGACTGGTATTCCAATCCTCAATAAGCGGCTTCTGACCAGATCTAAATATTTTGGGATCGAGAACTAGGATGATCGGTAAAGCATAGATAATAGGATAGACCCTGAAATGTACAACAAGCCCGTACCAAAATGCAGCTTGTGACAAATTACCTACAAAACAGAACGTATAGTTGCTGTTGTGTCATTAGTTTGACAGATTAACAAACTGAATATTCCGGTAATAAGAACATGAAAGGAGAATTGCATATAATAATATCTATACTTACTTCTGTGAAGAATGATGAACAACATTATAATAGAAGACTAGAACACAGAGATCGGAATAGAAAACCAAATCTACTTAAGAGTATTGATATAGAGTCCTCAAACCTCTTCCCAAATACTCAACATGGCCCAATCTGTACCTCTCTATCTAATACAGTTTATAAAGAAGACCATAATACAGAGGCAAAATGAATCCTATTTTCTCTTCAGCAGGTTATCAACCACATCTATTATATTACTGTTATAATCACCTAATGTGAAAGATACACCAATACGAACTGAATTGAAATAAATTAGTTCATGGAACTTAATTCAGGGTATCAAAACATAAGTAAAAGCAGCAAACTTAATAGACATTTACAGAGAAAGAGTTCACTAGTCGTCTCAAAGAAAGTGTCTACCTCGCATAAGAGAGATAAAGATCCATAATATCATGGCACAAACAACGGGTTCACAGTTCCCTCTGGTTCCAATGGTAAATGTAAACGGATTGAGAAGCCAAACCATTACAGAATATGTACATATCTTCTCAGGCACCTTACGTTCTTTCAAAATAGTATGGATAAACCAGCCTACCAACAAATCTGAAACATAAAAACAATATTCAAAACGGCCGAAGAACGAAACTGATCAATTGAACAAAAAAAGTTTGAACTTTTACAATCATTATGACATAATAAACAAAAGAATGATGAACTCGACGAATTTTTCATACCGGAAGCTGAGAAGAGAAACTTTCCAAATGACCGATGAAAGAAGGAATTAGGAGTCAGAAGAAGGGCGAGCAAAGGCGAGTAGCGGTATGTGGTTCTCTTGTAAGGAGATTCGCCAGATGCCATCAACGAAGCAGCATCAGAAAAAACAATGTAATCAACATCAGTGTACCGGACCTCCATGTGAGCATCTTGCCATTCTCCATAGACAATCAAGAAGACTCGCAAAAACATGGAGAATACGATCAGAGAACGGAAACTCATCCCTACAAAGTCAAAATTCAAAACCCCAAATTTATATTCTGAAGTGCCCAAAGTTCAACAGCTCCACGATCCTAGTAAGCAATTACTTATCCTAATCAACTTAATGGAACAGACTAATTCAATGCATCTTAAAGCTTATTGTAGATCCTAAAAAAGAGAAAGGAAACATTGAGAGGAACAAAGTACATACATTTCGGTGGTTCATCATCAGTGTTCTCTGAACCACGAGCCATATCGTTATCTTCTCTGAATCTTCAAACCGTGACTCATAAAAGTCTCAATCGCATACCTCTCTTACGGTTATAACTGAAGTCGCCGGTGTATGCTTCTCTTCTCCGCCCGGAGATCTCCGATCCAACCTACAAAAACAGAACACTGAACGCCGAAGGTTTTGAACTAAAATGGTTTTAATTTGGCTTTTCCCTGGTTTGTGTATGAATTCCGGTTCTCCATTTAATTTTTCGGTTTAGTTCATCTAAGGAAGAAAATTTGGAATGCTAGTGAAATTTGGAACTTTGTACACCACTTTATTATTTATTTATTTTTGAAATAAAACCACTTTATTATTTATAGATTACTTATACATGAGATACACAACAACATAAGCAAACCAACACTCACTACACACTGAAACAATGAGATCAACACAAACATGATTACATCTTGCACAAAAGCAACTCTCAAGATGAAACCTGAAACACACTACCGGACTCAACCTTAAACAAGTTTAGGATTTAATCCTCTTGTCTTCCTCGTCTTCCCAACAAATAGATCCTTCGACTTGATCAAACCAGGGAGGCAACCAACAACTGTAACAAACGGGAACTGAGCCACAGAGTCCTTTCTTCCTAAAGATACAATAGCCATCTCTGAACCGGGCTTGTATGTTGACATCTTCTTTTTCCCACCTGACATCATTACCTTTATGTTCTTCACAGCCACATTAGCATGACTCTCTGCTATATATCCTTGTTTCATCTCCTGTAATTCAGATTCATATAATCAAAACAAGACACTAACCAACAATCTATGTAAATACCTCATGTAATCATGTACTTACAGGGATATTAGTGATATCTCCAATGGCGAATACATTGCTTTGACCCCTAATCCGCAAGTACTCGTCAACCATGACCCTTCCTTTACCATCCAAGCTATCTTTCAGTACAGTTCCATTGAGCCATTGTGAAGACAGAGGTTTCCCAACGCAGAGGAAATGGCAATCTGCGTGTATAGTTTCGCCTCCAGAAGTCCGGTATGTTTTGTTTCCATCTGAAGCTGAACTCAAATCCACAGATTGGTTCAATATCACTTCCACTTTCTTTGATTCTAACCAGTCAGATGCTTTGTCAGCAGCTTTTTGTCCAACAAATTCAAGCAATCTTGGTCCTTTGTGAACCAGAGTGACCTTCTTTTCCGGGAAATCAACAGCGATTTCTGCAGCTAGCTCCACACCAGATGGACCTCCACCAACAATCAGAACTGATTCAGAAGCTTTAATCTTTTCATATTCTGCAACCAAATAGACCATCAGATGTTGTGAATGATACTAAAGAACAAACCAAATATCTTCACTCACAATCTCAATATCAACAGAAATCAGCATTGCCTAAGGGAACATATTTCAGGAGTAAGATTCATACCAGCTTGGTAATGTGACAGCTTCTCTTGTCTAGTTTTAGGGAACAAGTCATTGTGACCTGTAGCAATCACAAGATAATCATAGCCAATCACAGATCCATCTTGAGTGATTACATCACTCTCTGTAATACCGATCGCCGGAGAAGTTACAACACGGCCTTGTTTCAAGTAACTCTTATGGTTAATAACAGTTCTCTCAGCAAACTTAGGCTCCACCATTGATCTCAAACTAGCCCATGTAATCTCAAAGTACTCCTTCCTGATCTCAACCCAAGTTTTGAGCTTTTAAGACCAAAACGAAGGATAATAAAAATGATGTTTTTAAGAATTTGGTGAAAGAAACTTACGGATCGATGAGGGTTACGTCAGCATCGGACTGAAGCAATTTCGCGGCCAGTGAGCCGGCGATACCGCCGCCGATCACCACCACTCTCTTACCCTGTCTAGACCCAGGTTCCATTTGTATCAATTTGAAGCTCCAAATAAACTTAAAACAAATCTAAGATTTTTTTTTGAATGTTCTTCTTTATGTTTCTTCTTCTTCCAAATTGATTTGAAGAGTCCATATATATATATAGAGATAGAAGCTTTGTAGTAAGGTTGTCAGAGAGGTAAAGGAATTTGTGATTGACGTGTTTAGTGACTTCAGATACCTGAAGACGAAGAAGAAGAAGAATCATGTGGAGCTTCATTTTGAAGCTTACATCATCGAATACGTCAATGGCGGAATTCGGAAGATCGCAAATTTTTCAATTTTTTTTGTTTTTTTCCTTGAAATAACATCATTGGGCCTTTGAGTTAAACTTATTGGACCGAAGGATTAGCCATCTCACTTATTAAGCCTTTGAATTCATAAGATTGGGCCGAAGTTATCTCAATTATTGGGACGTTTTTTTTTTTTTTTTTTGTCATCAAGGGACGTTGATTTTTACTTTTTTTGGGACGTTTATGTTAAGTTTTTGGTAAGGGCACATGCATCAGCGTGCCTCTTTTTTCACTAATCATAGGCCCCACTGACACGTGCCGGCCCGTGATTGATTTTCTTTAAAAAAAAAGAAACATAAAAATAAAACAAAAAAAGAAAAAAAAAATAAAAAAAATCTGGTGAATGACGATAACCGATAAACATGGTCTAAGTTAAGAGATAAAATTAATTTTGTGGATAAATTAACTTGATATACTGTAAACATAACAATAATATAACAATATTTTAGTGTAGAAAAAAAAAAAACTTTCTGTACATATGATCAACATATCAATATATATATATATAGATATATATATATATATATATATATCTTTTTTTTGTTCACCAAATACTCTTATATATATCATCACATCAAATTTTAAGATTTTTTTTATAAAAAAAAAAGAAGAGAGAAATTTTAATCGAAATATGTTGTACTGTATATTAGTTATCAACGAAAAATATTAGGTTAACATAAAATCTTTCGTCCCAACACAAAGAAAGCCAAAAAAAAGAATGGAATTCGAAACCAATGCCTACACCTCTCTTCCTCCTCGTCGTAGATGGTGGTCACAGCCAATAGTGACCATGCCGGCAAGTCATGATCGTAAAGCCACTTTCAAGGAAAGAGCAGTTTGCTTAACACCATGTTGCGGCGGTATATTCACCATCATCGCCCTAATGGTATATTTCTTTCTCCTTGACAATGCTCAATGCGACGCCAAGTTCTCAATCCAATCCATCGCCGTCTCTCCTTCATCTGACACATGGCACGTTGAGTTCCTCGTCAAAAACCCTAGCTCCAGGTTTGTATACGTATCCAACTCCAATGAATATTCAATGTATTAATCACAAGTGGTATATTGATATATATATCTTCTATATGGTCTTTTTAGGTATTCTATCTACTACGGAGGCGATGAAACTGCCGTGAGTCTTGGTGCCTTAAACGCTGCCGTTATAAATACTTTTTACGCACGAAAGTCTCCACGTCACACGGCTTTCTCTGTGGATTTCGTTGCCGAGGGAAATCCAAACGACGTTGTTTCAGAAGATTTAGATATCAAATTAAGGGCTAAGCATTTGAGTTATTACCGTGCCTACTCTGATATCGCTGGACATATTCATATTAGGTGTCATAATCTAACCCGAATCCATGATAACGTTAAGAACATCCAATGTCACACTTCTTTCACAAAGTTGAAGCCCTTGCTAGAAGACTAGGCCTCCTTTGCATGAGATATGTTTTTTTTTTACTGTTATTGGTTACTCGAGAAGATCGAGATCATTTTTTTCTCTCATCCATATACAATAGTGAACTATATTATTATTATTTATTTATTTTAACATCTGGTTACAATTATTATACCGTATAAGTATTTAAATTACAAACTACGTATTTGTTAATATTAATTTACTAGAGTGGATAAACAAAAGAGAAAATATATCAGTTAGATTTCTCTTATAGATTAAGCCGGAAAAGAGAAAATATATCAGTTAGAATTGCTTGGAGAAAGAAAATTATTCACGTATATATCTAAACAAATTAAACGTGGTATAATATAAAATAAGTACTTCATATGTTATGCATATATTAAGTTGTTATCTTTTTCATCACGAAGCATTAAACGTTCCACAATGTCAAGTTCTCAATGTACTTCTTGTGGCCTCGTTCACCAACGTGGACAATGCCAACGTCAAACTTCAACCACACGTTCCGGCGACGGCGAGGATATTACTCCAGCTTGGTGCTGCACTTTTTACTTTTCTATCGTTGGTTTATTCTTCTTTCTTTATCTCTACGGTGTATTTCTTGCCAAATTTCCCGTAAAATCAGATTGTTACATAGAGCTTTTTGCCGATTCCGTCTCCGTCTCAAACGCAAACGTTTCAACCGCTGATTTACGGGTTGGTTTCGTTGCGAGGAGTCCAGTCAGCGGCTGTAAAATCTCTATACATGCACTCAATTCGCGTTTACTTAGAGGCATCGATGTTATCTCCAATTCATCATCAACTCCCTCCTCGTCGGATTATTTAAGCAAGGGAGACAAAACACATGTCGTTTTCGAGAAGGTGGTTTTGTCGGAAGCTATTAATGGACGTGGCGTGATTTGGAATATTCGGGTTGATGAGGTTATGTTGGCAACTTATATAGGTTCTCAAGATTTCATTGACTTTTTGGTGGCTGCTTGTCCCGCTATTCCGGTGAAATTCACGACGGATCTGACCGGGAAAGTGAAAGGATCGTTGCTTGGGAACGTGAGACGGTGTGATTATAAGTTGGCTTAGTTAGTTCTCTCCGACTTCGAATCTATTTTTCTTTTTTTTTTGTTGGCTTTAGATTATTATTATTTTTATTTCTCGGCATTATTATTTTTGTTTTATTATATCATTTAGTCTTTGATCAAAGAAGACTCGATATGTGCCACTAGCTATATATTCTAAATATTAGTTTAAAATCATACAATATGGGGTTAAATTTTTTGAACATATTATTATATATGTATTAAATAATTAAAATTTTTATTGTGTTTGTAAATAAGTAATAAATACCCGGAAATATCATAACAAACTTTCTCATCAACAATTTAAATATAATAAATAAAGAAGCAAAGAAAAAGAATTGGAATCAATCGAAATGATAATAATAATTTGGTAACCCTTGCTCCTCTTCTGTCTTTAAAATTCTTTCCTCTCCAAACTTAACACAAGAAGAAGAAGAAGAAACAATAATGGCTTCCCAAACCATACCGGAAGTAGTGATCGGATATCCAGTGCCACCGTCCTCAGCCACTCTTTCGTCTATTTGTGGATGGTGGTCACGACCAATAGCGACTTACCCAGCACCAAATGATCGTAAAGCCACTTGGAAGGAAGCTACGGCTTTAGTTACACCCTTTTTCGGAATACTGTTCACCTTCATTGCCGTACTAGTATATATTCACTGCTTCATCGAAAATGCTCACTGCCACACCAAATTCTCAATCCAATCCATCGCCTTCTCTCCCTCCTCCGCCACTTGGCACGTTACTTTTCTCGTCCACAACCCTAACCCCAGGTATCTATAGACCAGTGCTCCAATGAATATTAAACTTATACGTTTTGTCATATATATATATTAATTCTGAGATGCTCGAAGCAAATGGCTACTTGTGTATGGTTTTGAAGGTATTCTATTTACTATGGAGGCGATGAAACTGGGGTGAGGCTAGGTTCCTCAAACGCAGCCGTTTTAAGTACTTATCACGAACGTAAGTCGCCAAGTCACACGGCTTTCTCAGTGGATTTCGTTGCTGAGGATAATCCAAACGACGCGGTCGTTTCGAAAGAGCTAAATATCAAACTAAGTGCGGCATATAAGGTTCACATTATTCACTTTTTCAATCACGCTGGTTATGTTGACATAAAGTGTCGTAATCTAGCCCTAAGCTATGATAACGTTGAGGAGATTCAGTGCCACTCTTCTTTCACGAAACAGAAGATTTTGGGATTAAATAGTTATGATATTTATAATTATAACTAGTATGCTCTCATCAGATTCTTCTTTTCTTTCTTCTTTTCTTTTGTTACTACTTTATTAATTAAAATGTTTTTTTTTTCCTTCCATGTAACGTTTAAACTTTTTTTTTTGAATCGAAAGTGAATATTTATTCAAACGTTTAAACTATTGTATCGTAATAAATTTATAAGTTCCGAACTTCTTCATCGATCGCTCTCACCATTACAGATTTTCGAAAATAAAAGAAAGATAAAATTTAAAGTCCGAAAAGAAAAACTTAAGTTGAGAAGAAACTACAATATAGAGGATTATGGCTTTTCTTTTAAAATGGGTTAAATGTTTGAAAATCTATATTACCTACTTTGTTGGGAAACTAATTTAGAAATTTTTTTTTTTTATCAAAACTTCAAAACTTGAAAAAAAAAACCCCACTTACTAGTTATTTTGTAGTAGACATTCAAGGAAGTTTCCCAAAAAATAGGAAAAACTAGTTATTTTGTGGGAAACTTCTTTAACAGTTTTCAAATAACTAGTTTTTTTTATTATTATTTTAATTATAATTATGTTAAGTAGAAGTAGTTCGTAACATTTAAAAAAAAAAAAAAAAAAAAAATCCCTATAATCTGGTTTCTCATTCAACGACCTTTTCTTATTTATTTAAAATATTGTTATTATCATTTTAAATAAAAATTAACTAAATTCCAAAATTTAAGTACCCAAAAATACAAAAGGAAAACTAGTTCAATATCAATTAAACATTTTTGAACCTAGTAATTTAGACTTTCTTTATTACCTAAAAGGCTAAAATTCATAGTTAAAAATATATATTATTTACTATATTAGAATAAGCTTACCTGTAGTCGGCGGTAGCTTTCCCTTAGATTGAGCAAACAAAACAGAGGGAAAGATTTTCCCGTAGATTTGTTTTCGAATCAAAAGTTCAAAACAGTCCTCAAGTATTTGAAAAAAATATGGCATATTAATTAGAAAGAAACAAAAATTGAAGGGTCAAATATAAAACAGAGACATATATTCTAGTTACTAATCCCTAGCTACTAGATAAGTTGTTGTTTCTTTCATCAGGAAGTGTTTGTCAATCTTCCACAATGTCAAATTCTCAATGTAACTCTTGTGGCCTCTCTCACCGACCTAGCCAATGTCGCCTGCAAACTTCAACCACCGTCTCCGGTGAGGCCATCGATATTACTCCAGCTTATTGCTGCAATACGTACTTTGGTTACGGTGGTGTAGCTACCTGCCTTCTGGTTTTCTTTGCTTTATTAGATATCACCAAAGAAAATTGTTACATGGAGCTTTTTGCCAATTCCGTCTCCGTCTCAAACGCAAACGCAAACGCAAACGTTTCTGGTGCTGATTGGATGATCAGTTTCGTTGCGAAGAGTCCAGTCACCGACTGTAAGATCTCTCTACATTCGCTTAAGTCTCGTCTACTCCGTGGCAACCAAGTTATCTCCAGTTCATCACCTGCGGATATTTTCGGAAAATATGTGGCTGCGGACAAAACAAATGTAGTTTTCGGGAAGGTGATAATGTCGGAAGTTATTGGTGACGTGATATGGAATTTTAGGGTTGAGTTTGTGTCCGGAGTGAAGACAGATGCTATATATGGAAACGGTTTTCTTATGGCGACTTGCCCTGATATTCCGGTGAAATTCACGACGGACTCGACGGGGAAGGTGATGGGATCGTTGCTTGGAAATATGAGACGGTGCGAGTATAAATTCCGGCGTCACTTGGATTATTCAAGTTATATTAGTGGTTAATTATTTTTTGGAAAGATCGATCTATATGTTGTTGGCTTGGTTTCTTGTTTTGATTTTTTTTTTTTTTTATAAAATAAGATGGGATGTTAAAGTCTTGGAGTCCTTTGTTTCCTCAATTTTTGTGTTATCTCTGTTTTGATTTTGTGATTTAAATTGTTTTCATCAGTAGTGTTACATAATGCAACATGCAAGTTCTTGTGGCCTCATTCACAGACATGGCAAGTCATACCGTTACAATTATGCTAACAATGAAAAAATGATGGATCCTATCTTAGTTAAAGAAGTGTATTTATCATTTAGTTAAATCACAAAAAAAAAGTTTAAAATAGCTAAGATCAAGTAAGATCTTACCACTCAATTTTACTCAATTTTGATCTTATGCAAGATCTTATCTTAGCAAAAGAAGTGTATTTATCATTTAGTTAAATCACAAAAAGAAAAAGTTAAAATAGCTAAGATGAAGTAAGATCTTACCACTCAATTTTACTCAATTTTGATCTTATGCAAGATCTTATCTTAGCAAAAAGAAGTGTAATTAGCATTTAGATAAATCACAAAAAAAAAAAGTTTAAAATAGCTAAGATCAAGTAAGATTTTCGTTATAATGTTGGTCTTATAAGAAACAAAAAACACTTGCAATAATAAATAAATAAATAAAAGAGAGGATTAAAAGAAATCCATAGTATATATGAAACGGAATAGTAAACAGAAAAGCAAGAAGAGTTCCTAATTCAATAAATAAAGGTTTACAATTTTATCCAAGTCTTTGGAATGGCACTTAGTCTTCTGATTACCGATGGTCAGATTACGACACCTGATATCGATATGTCCATATTCATCTCCTAACGCAGGACTTATCTTCTTCGCACTAAGTCTCATGTCCAATTCAAAAACTCTTTGATCTCTCTCCGTAGCCGGCATAGCTAAATCCACCGAGAAACTCGTCTGACCACCACTCGAACTCTTGCGAGAGGTTCTCAAAACAGCGGCGTTTAAGGAACCTAGCTTGGCGTACACGTCGTCTCCATCGTAGTTGATAGGACAAAACGAGCTCGGGTTACTCGCGAGGAAATCCAAGTGCAGCAACGTGGCGGAAGAGGACGGGGTAACGGAGATGGATTCGACGGTGAAGTTGACCTGGCAGAAAAGTTTGTAGACGAAGATGAAGGTGAACATACCCGCGACGACTGTCAAGGCGGCGCACAAATAGGGTTTCCATAATATAGTATCTATCTCTTCTTTAGTGAGTTCTTTACGACGAAGGTATAAAGAATGTACTTGTGTCCACCACCGTGAAGGAGGAGGAGGATCTGCGGCGGTGGACGGTGGCATTGGGTATCCGGTCTCTATTTCCTGCAGCGGCCTGATTTCCATTTCCCTTTTTCTTGTTAATGAAGAACTATTTTGATGTGATCTAAAAGCTTTAATCTATTTGATTGATTTATATTTTAAGAACACTTTTTTTTTTTCCTATTTCTTGCAAGATTTTGTGAGTCAAATATGAAAGTTGGTTAGCATCTTCAATAGTGACACCTATTAAGGGTGTCTAAAACAATTAATTATTAATTTTTATGTATATTTGATTTTTGAACATTTTTAAGTGATTACCTATCCAATGGAGATATCTAGTATAGGTGTCTAAAAAATAGTATTTATGCATTTTAAAACATAATAAAATCTAAATTATTCATTTTTAAAATATTTATACATTTTTAAAACATAATACAAATCTTAATTATTCATTTAAAAAATATTTTATTCATTTAAAAAGATATTTACATATTTTAAACATAATACAAATCTAGATTATTCATTTAAAAAAAAAAATTTATACATTTTTAATTAAAATATTTATTTATTCATTTTTTATCCCGACCAATATAAATTGACCATGTCATGGTGTCTTAAGATGACAAATGTGTCTTAAGATGACAAATGTGTCTTATTTAGGATACAAATCCTAATTTTTAGACCAACATTTACTTTAACACACCTTATAAATCACCATTGGAGGTGCTCTTGTGATATATATATATAGAGGGTCGGATACAGCTAGCTATATAGTAGGTTAAAATCCTTAAACCGGTTACGTATCTTCACGAAAAAATTACAATCCAGATGACAAGGTCTCTTTGTACTTCTTGTGGTCTAAGGAGCAGACACTGCCAATGCCACATCCTATATTCAACAGCCCCAACCGCAAACGCAAACGGTGACAACAGAGAAAGAGCGTTGAAGCTTACACCAGCCTCCTTTTGCGTTTTGTACCTCCTACAAACTCTCACAATGTTTGGACTGTTCCTCGTCGTTTATATGGTTATGGTAATTCCAGTGAACAACCTGAAAGGGACTTGTTACTTGGAGGTCTTTGCTGACTCATTCTCCGTCTCAAACGCCTCAAACACAAACGCAACCGCTGATTGGAACGTCGGGTTTACTACTAGGAATCCAGCTAATGGATGTAAAGGATCTCTCCACACATACAAATCGCGTCTCCTCCGCGGCGACAAGCTGATCTCCGAGTCATCCGCTCCTGATTCTTTCGGTTTACTCGTAAAGGGAAAAATCAACGATGTACCGCTTCCTTACGCCGTTTTCAAAACGGTTGCAACGCCCCGAAACGCCGTGGTTTGGGATCTCCGTGTCGAAGTCTTAACCAGCGTTAAGATAAACGGTCGATCCGATAATGGAAATGGTTTCTTGATCGTGACTTGCCGCGATATACCGGTAAATTTCACGGCAGATACGGCTGGAAATGTTCAAGGATCGTTGATCGGATATATGAGGCCGTGTGAGTATCTAGTCCAGACGAAGTATACCGAGGCATTCTTTTAGACTTTACTCCATGGCCGTGTATTTAGTTATGTTTTTTTTTGTTGTTGTTGTGATTTACGTGTTTGGTCAGTTCAGATACTTGACAAAAGATGGCACTCGAATTTTCAACTTTTTTATTGAGGATATAAACTCGTCAGATTGCTGCAAAAAAGAAAAAAAAAAACTATGTATAAGTTTTATGACTATTCATATATGCATGTTAAGTTTTTGGTAAGTAGTGGTCTCTTAAAAAGTACAAACAATCTATATTTTTCTAAATTGCTCCTTATTTTTAATTTTCCTCAAAACAAATTAAAAATAAATAAATATAGAGTTCCTTATTTGTATACAGCAAATATAGAGATTTAATTTCCGTCTGTTGAAATTTATATAGTTAAGTTTTAGGAAAAAACATTGTTAAAAAGGCAAGGATATATTTATAAAATTTGTACATAATTCATCTCTTTTTTGTGTTTTCTAAATTAATAATAGTCTCAAAATATCATATTAAAATCAACACATATATAAATTTTAAAGAAAGATAAAAACAAAAGAGATAAATTTTAATTATTGTACATTTAATCAACCATGATCCCCTTCTTGTCTCTTTAATCAACAATTAGGCTAACATTTGTTTCCTCTCCAAACCAGCCAAACGGAAAGAGAGAGAGATCGAACATACGAATGGCTTCCCAAAACAACGAATATTCAATTCCACCGTTCTCTGGCACCCCTCCTCCTCGTGTTGGATGGTGGTCACGACCAATAGTGAGTCTGCCGACAACGTACGATCGTGAAGCCACTTGCTTTGAAACTACGGTTTCCGTTACACCAGTATTCGCCGCAATATTCACCATCGTCGCCGTAATGCGAATTCTGTATCAAGTCGTCGACAGTGCTCAATGCGACGCCAAATTCACCATCCAAGCCATCGCCGTCTCTCCATCCTCTGCCACATGGCATGTTGATTTTCTCGTCAAGAACCCTAGCTCTAGGTATTTTCACCGGTCCAACATATATTAAATATATTTTCACTTGTTCCCATATCTTTGTCACATATGAATCTGATGCTCGAAGCAATTACTATGGCTTCGTCTGTCTATGGTCTTGCAGGTATTCTATCTACTACGAAAAGGATGAAACTGCCGTGAGTCTCGGTGCCTTAAGCGCTGCCGTTTTAACTACTTATCACGAACCTAAGTCCCCAAGTGACACGGCTTTCTCAGTGGACTTCGTTGCCCAGGGTAATCCAAACGACGTCGTTTTAGAAAAATTATACATCAAATTAAAAGCCAAGTATTTGAGTTACAGAGACGGCTATAATAACGCTGGACATATTGAGATAAGTTGCCATAATATAACCCGAAACAATGAGAACGTTGAGAAGATTCATTGTCACTCTTCTTTCACAAAATTGAAGATTTTGTATGGCAGTCCTTCTAACAATTAATAAGCCATTGCCTTTTCATGTGTGTTTTCATGTTATTTACTCAAGATCTTGTTTATGTTCTTTCAAAAATATTTGATTTCTGTAAGATTTACCAATTTGTTTACTTTAAGAGAAGAGCATTAAAACAAGATGTTGGATTTATAAATATTTGAGAATTTAATTATCGCATTTATCCAAGGTAAAGATTGAAAAAAAAAATACTGTTAACGTATTATTCCATCGAACAAATACAATCTTGCTAGAAAAAAAAAAATCCATTTAAGAGAAGGATGATTCAATATAATTTTTATTGTTTCGTTCCTTAGTCTTTGTGTGGTTCACTGTTACAGACTTACAGTGTCTCCTCTCCTAATAAAGTTCCTATTCTCCCGTGATGACTTTGTCACCGATGTAGCCTTAATTAACTGATTTGTAGGTGTGCGAGTAAAAGCTTGCCGTGAGCTATAATTTTGATCGTCTCTTGCAACTTTGGTTTTTATTTGTTTTTCTTATGTTATAGTTTTCGTATTTATTTAGAATAATGTAGGGGATAAAAAACTTTAGTAATAAATTTACCATAGTTTTTTTTAAAATATTGCTGTGAAAATTTATGTAATTGTAAATTTAAGTATATGATTTATCATCAAAATTACTTGACATTAAATATTGTATAAGGTGAGTATTAAGAATTTAAAACCATATATTTATTAAGTTAATATTAATAATGAAATTAAATTATATAGTATTCAAATTATTTTCTATTTAAGATAGGGAAAAGTGTCTAGTTATGTAACATTAAAATAAAGATATCTTTATAACATTATATTACAAATAAATAATTTTTATAAAGATTTTTTTACACACTTTGAACTTTGAAGACATTCATAATTAAATAACATCAAAATAAATTATATAAAAAATTTAGATATCCAAAAAAAATAACTAGGAGATGGTTTTTGAGCAACTCCATCAATAGGGTGAGGACGATTTTATCATTAATAAAAGAATTGAAAAAAGGAAAAAAATGAAGAGAGAGAGTGAGAGACAGTTTCTTATTTGATAAATCTACTTAACTCTAAAATTAATAATAAAGAAAAAAAAAATCTACTTAACTCTATTTAGAAAAATAAGGCCACAAGTCCAATAGAAATTCCTTAGATTGAGCCAAAAAAATCGAAGAAAAAAAAGATATCCAGTAGATTCGCTCTCTAGGATCAAAATATTACTGAAGTAGCTAAACAGACATTTATGGTTTATATATTATAGAAAAAAACAAAGGCTGAACGTATATATATATATATATATACTAACTTGTTATTTTGTTTCACTAGATCGATCACGTCTTAAAACCTTAATAAGTAATGTCAATATCTAGTTGTACCTATTGTGGCCTCATTCACCGACCTGGCCGATGTAATCCCCAAACTTCAGCCGCACCATCCGACTCCGGCGTGCCCTCGGACGACATTACTCCACATTATTGCTGCACTTGTTACTTTTCTGTGATTGGTTACTTCTTCATTTTGTTTCTCATTAGTCTTCTTCTTGGAGTACTAATTGACCCAAGGCGACGTTGTTACGTAGAGCTTTTTGCCAATTCCGTTTCCGTCTCAAACGCAAACGCAAACGCAAACGTTTCCGCCGCTGATTGGACGATCGGTTTCGTTGCCATGAGTCCAGTCACCGGCTGTAAACTCTCTCTCCATACACTCAAATCGCGTTTGGTCCGACGGGGCGAAGTTATCTCCAACTCATCATCTCCCTCGTCGGATTTTTCCGTCGCCGGAGACAAAACGGAAGCCATTTTCAAGAAAGTGGTTACGCCGGGGGTTATTGGCGGCGACGTCATTTGGGATTCTCAGGTTGAGATTATGTTTGCGATTAATACAAATGTTAGATATTTAAACGGTTTTTTGCTGGCGGCTTGTTCAAATATTCCGGTGAAATTCACGACGGATCAGGCGGCGGGGGAAGTGGTGGGATCTTTGCTCGGAAACATGAGACGGTGTGATTATATATACCAGCAAAGCTTTGCTTATCTGCGATAATCTATGATTTCTATTTACGAGTGTTGTTGCCTGTGTGTTATTTATTCTTTATTATAAGTTCAAAATGGCATGCATGCATGTTATTATTAATCATAATCGATAACTTTATTCTTTTTCATTTCTCTCAAAGTTATAATCATGTGGTTTTACTGTTTCCATATTTTATGGTAAAGATTATTTTTTTAAATAAAATTTCTGGTTTTATATAAATAATCGATTACATAGTTTAGGTAATAGGTGCCATAGCAACAACGAAACACGGGATGAACAAACCCGGTACAAGGACTTTAATGAGAAAGCAGAAAATAGAGCTAGATAGAGAGATTTCGAAACCAAATTGCGAGCAAGGCTTGAAGCCTTGGGATGTCGATTCTCGCCAGACAAGTGTTACGAATTCTCCTATCAAGAGGGAGGAACAAACCTTCAACCGGAGTGCGGATGTTGGTATAGATGCGCGCATTTCTCTCATGCCATAAGGTGTAGATCACTTCTTGAGCGACGATGAGTTTCATAGAAGCCATTTTTTCATCAGAGTTAGGCGATCGCAGCCACATGAGGAGGCGTTCCCAAGTAGTGAGCCTTGTGAATGGAATTCTCATTTTTTCCAAGCACCATCTCCATAAATCGTGGCTATAAGGACAAGTAAGGAATAAGTGATCCCTTGTTTCAAAATAAATTTCACAAAGGAAACACCTGTCATCCTCCACAATTCCCCAATTTCTCAGTCTTGAGAGAGTTGGCATTCTATCTAGACAGCACAACCACATTATGAACGAGTATTTTGGGATAGCTACAGAAAACCAGACCTGCTTGTGCCAGCTAACCTCCTGAGAAGGGGCCTTACAAAGAACCCAAGTGTCATAGAAGTTGAAGCGCTGTTGAGGCTCTCCATTCGGCTTTGCCCATAAGTAGATGTCTTTAACATCCAGTTGAATATCAATCTCAGCGAGATGGGAAAGGAGGAGCTGAGCATTGTTAGTGCGTGCACCCCTGAAAATCCATCCATTGGTAGAACGAGCCTTGGCCACTGTTGAGTCTAAAGGGAGCCCCATTCGTCGATGTGCCTCTGGCCCCAAGAAAGTAATTAGATCACCAAAGGGTGTCCAATTATCAAACCAGAAGGAGCACGAAGTTCCATCGCCAATTTTGCAAGAGAGGAAAGTTTTAGCAATGTCTCTAAGTTTGAGCAGTTGCTTCCACATTGAAGATCCTTGACTATTTTGCTGGAGTCTCCAAAAACATTATGGGATTGACTGATTAACAATAGCAGCTGAATAACACAATGTAGTTGAATTATAAAATATATAGCAGAACAAGTAAAACAGCAAAACATTAAAGCTGAATAGAAATACTAACTATTTTTAAAACAACAAAAAAATTATTTAAAAAGTTAAAATCTATTCACCGCAAGTTTTTGTGAAATGGACCAAATAGTATATTATGTATTCAGCAGAATTACGTTTTCAAACATGAAAAAAAAATTATGTATACTGTCCAAACCCTATATATTTTTCATTTTTAATTGCATTTACAAATATCTGTCTTAGTGGTTTTTTTTTTCTTTCAAAGAATATCAATTTTACTAAGGTATATTTTCTAAATTTTAGTAAATTTAGATGAATTGATAAATTTGATATGTTAAGAAAACTAATAGAAAAAAAATAATTTCTTCTCAAAATGATCACATAATTCAGTTCTTGTTTACATAATAATATCCCCGTAATATCGTAAGAAATTTTTTGGTTGGTGAGATCAAACGAAATTACTGTAAATTTGTAAAACGATGCTCCCAAGTCCCACACTCCCACCCTCTTCTATAACTAACGATAAGGTTAACGATGACGAGAAAAACAAAGAGCGAACCAAAAAAACAAAAAAAAATCTTGCACCGAGCCAATGGCACCGTCATCAGCCTCTCCTTCTTCTCTTGGTAGATGGTGGTTACGACCAATAGTTACTATACCGGCAGAGAATGATCGTAACGCCACTCTCATGGAACATAGTGTTGCCATTATACCCCTTTGCAGCGGTATATTGACTGTCATCGCCATAATGGCATATATCCCTCACGTCATCGACAATGTTCACTGCGACGCCATATTCACCATCCAATCCATCGCCGTCTCACCATCCTCTGCCACATGGCACGTTCATTTTCTCGTCAAGAACCCTACCTCTAGGTACTCTCGTCTAACGAGAAGATTAATTATATTTAATTTGTTCACATGTTAATGCTCGAAGCAATGACATTTTTTTTTGTTTTTGGATCGGGTCATGCAGCTATACAATCTACTACGGAGACGATGAAACTGCCGTGAGGCTTGGTCCTTTAAACGCAGCCGTTTTAAGTACTTCTCACGCACGTAAGTCTCGGAGTCACACGGCTTTCTCAGTGGATTTCGTTGCAGAGGGTAATCCGAACGACGACATTTTCAAACAACTAGATATCAAATTAAGGGCTAAGCATCATGGTTACTATGAGGATGAACCTGACGCTGGACATGTTGATATAAGTTGTTATAATCTGGCCAGGAACCATGAGAACGTCGACAAGATTCAATGCTACTCTTCTTTCACAAAATTGAAACAAGACCTAGAGTATAGTTTAGACGGTTCAAAAATTGTTTAATTTAGGCTTTCTTCCTTGTTTCAATTATCTTCTTGTTTCATTTTTTTTGTTATTCGTCTATATATTAATTCAGATCTCTTTTCTTCCATACAATCGTATAAATTTTATTATATCTTTATAAGAAGAAGAAAAAAAAAAAAACTCGATTCTTAAGACGTTTCGATTGCAAGTGTGTTGACATATGTGATTTCTTAAGTAGTTACGATTTTCTTCAACGAAAAAAAAGTAGTTTAGATATCATCTTTTCTAGTGTTAAAAATTTTAAGAAGTAGTTTTGACTTTTAATTTCCTTTTAACACGTTAACTGACTTTTGATTTTTTAGCTTCATTTGAATGCTTTTAATTTCTACTATTAAACTTAGTTTTTTTTTTTTGCTTTAGAATCCAAACATTTAAAACTTGTTACTAAACCCCTAACTATATATAAGTTGTGTTCGTTTTCATTAGGAGAAATACTAAGGGATGGCAAATTCTGAATGTGCCTATTGTGGCTTCCTTCACCAACGTGGTCAATGTGACCCTAAAAGCAGGCCCATCGACGTTACTCCATTTTTTTGCTGCGCTTTTTATTTTATGACCATTGTTATCTCGTTCCTTTTTGTCAGTCTAAGTTTTATAGGTGATCCTAAACGCAACAATTGTTACGTGGAGCTTTTTGCCAATTCCATCTCCATCTCAAACGCAGACGCTTCCGCCGCTGATTGGAGCGTCGGTTTCGTTGCGAGGAGTCCAGTCACTGACTGCAAAGTCTCTCTACTGACACTCAACTCGCGTTTACTCCGAGGCGACAAAGTCATCTCCAATTCATCGTCTCATTCGTCTGGTTCTTTCGGACAACTTGTCGCCGGAGACAGAACAAATGTCGTTTTCGAGAAGGTGGTGATGCCGGAAGTTAATGGCGACGTTATTTGGGATTTTAGGGTTGAGATTGTGTCTACGGTGAACACAAATGCTGGAGATGTAACCGCTTTTATGATGGCTTTTTGTCCAGATATTCCGGTTAAATTCACGACGGATCCGGCAGGAAAGGTGGTGGTGGGATCGTTGCTTGGAAATATGAGACGGTGTGATTATAAATACCAGAAAAGCTTGGCTTATTCTCTCCCATCATCATGAATATTGCTATGATCTCTATTTCTTGGCTTTTAGGTTATTTTTTTTTACCGACTAGAGCAGCGACCGATTTCTAAAATCTGAGTTTTGTGTTTATTTTTATTTTTTTTAAACATTGTGTAACTATAAGCATCTCTAGGGTATAATCGTAAATTAATTAAAACAGTTAGTTAGAGAAGAAGATGAATTGTAAACTTCAACAATGGCAATTGAAACTCTGCAACTATCTCCTCTTCCAAATTAAGAGTTGGGTTGCATTGCTGTTTTCTCCAGCGATTCTAAAATTATCAAAATTTTAGTCGTGCCATAGAATATAGAGAAGATGAAGAAGAAATAAAGGAGATTTGAGAATCAGTTCTTACATAAAATCAGCCGCTATGAGAATCGCACGATTTTTAAAAGAACATGGCTTATGTATAAGTTATATGACTATTCATATATGTTAAGTTTTCTGTAAGTTGATCTCTTAAAAAATGAAAACCATCTATTTTCTGTTGAAATTTCTAGTTAAGTTTCATAAAAGAAAAGTTAAGTTAAAATTTTCAAAAAGGAAGGATATATCATACAGTTTGGTACATCAATTTATATCTTTTTATTGTGTTTCTTGATAAATAATATTCCCAAAATATCATAACAATCTCAACACATAAAGTTTTAAAGAAAAATAAAAACAAAAGAGATCAATAGAAATTATTGTACATTTAATCAACCATGATCCCCTTCTTGTCTCTTTTAATTAACAACTAGGTTATCGTTTCTTTCCTCTCCAGACTCCAAACTAGCCAAACGAAAACAGAGAGGGAGATCGAATATACGAATGGCTTCCCAAAACCACGACTATTCTATTCCACTGTTCTCTGGCACCCCTCCTCCTCGTCTTGGATGGTGGTTACGACCAATAGTGACTGTGCCGGCACGTCATGATCGTCAAGCCACTTGCATGGAAAATACGGTTTGCATTACACCATGTTGTGCCGCAATATTCACCATCATCGCCGTAATGCTTTTTATGTTTCAAGTCCTCGACAAAGCTCAATGCGACGCCAAATTCACCATCCAAGCCATCGCCGTCTCTCCATCCTCTGCCACATGGCATGTTGATTTTCTCGTCAAGAACCCTAGCTCTAGGTCTTTGCACCGGTCCAACATATATTAAATATATTTTCACTTGTTCCCATATCTTTGTCACATATGAATCTGATGCTCGAAGCAATTACTTTGGCTCCCGTCTGTATATGGTCTTGCAGGTATTCTATCTACTACGAAAAGGATGAAACTGCCGTGAGTCTCGGTGCCTTAAGCGCTGCCGTTTTAAATATCTATCACGAACCTAAGTCCCCAAGTCACACGGCTTTCTCAGTGGACTTCGTTGCCCAGGGTTACCCAAACGACGTCGTTTTCCAACAATTATACATCAAATTAAGGGCCAAGCATAAGACGTACGGAGACAGCTATGATAACGCTGGACATGTTGAGATAAGGTGCCATAATATAACCCGAAGCAATGAGAACGTTGACAAGATTCATTGTCACTCTTCTTTCACAAAATTGAAGATTTTGTATGGCAGAGTTTCTAACAATTAGGCCTTTTCAGGTGTTTTTCTTGTTATTTACTCAAGATCTGGTTTATTTTGATTTCTTTTTTAAGTTCTTGTTTATAGAGTCATCAAAGAGAAGAATACTAAAATAAGATGTTGGATTTATAATCATTTTGAGAATTTAATAATCGCATTTAACCAAGGTAAAGATTTAAAAAAAATGTTAACATTATTCTGTTAAACATATACAATTTTGCTAGAAAAAAAATCTATTTAAGAGAAGGATGGCTTCAAAAGAATTATTATTTCTTTCCATCGTCTTTTCATCGTTACGGTGTCTCCTCTCCTAATAGAGTTCCTATTCTCCCGTGATGACTTTGTCACCGATATAGCCTTAACTGATTTTGTGGGTTTGCGTGTAAAGGCTTGCCGAGATATACTGTTGATCGTCTCTGGCGAGTTTGGTTTTAATTCTTTTTTTCTTATGTTATAGTTTTGTATTTTTTTTTGAAAGTTTTAATGTTTTTTTTTTAATTTTGTTTATATTTATTTAGAATAATTTAGGTATTAAGTGGGATAAAAGTTTTAGTAATAAATTTATCATCTTTTTTTAAAAAAGTATTTCTGTGAAAAATATATAGTTATAAACAAAAAAAAAGTTTTAATCATGTCTTAACAAGTTGATCCTACAACCATAATCAGAAATAGATAACACTTTATTGTTTATAACAATACTTTCGATTATAAGTTTGGAATGGGTAGAATTACATTCTCTCAATTGGGTATTAAATTTGAGTTTGGAAAGCAATTAACACTTTTGAATTTGTAGCAGTTTTTCGTGAGTAAACTTTGTCATGCTATAATTTTGATTTTTTCTCGCAATTTTGTTTTAATTTATGTAATTTTGTAAAAAAAAAAAAATTGGAATAGTGTAAGTACTATATAATTTAGGGTGTGTTGGCAAACTAGTACGTTATTTAAACATAATTATAAATGTAGTACATTTACTATTTATAATTAGCAAAATAGCACAATTTTACTATTTCAGATATCTGTATAGAGAGACAACTGTACAGTAACATATAATTGTACACAAAATATTTGTACAAAGAGAAACAACTACAAATAAACATATTTGCACATAAACAAATATATATATATATAGACCAGAAAATATATGTACACATACAATTATACGTATATATAGACAGCTGTACGGATGATCTTCTGTACATCGACACACACCTATACATAAGGATAGCTAGACGTATCAAAATTTGTGTGAAAAATATATGAAATTATTATTAAAAATGCATATCAAATTATACAGAAAAATATAGATTTTTATGTAATTGAAATGTTATGGAAAACAAATATATTTTGATGAATATTTTAGTTATTAGATTTAAGGAGTTTTTAATAGTGTCTAAATAGTGTCCAAATAGTAAAAATGTATTAGAGCAACATTAACCATGGGCTTTTAACCCATTCTTAGCCTAAGATTTGTTAAGATTGGCCTCTTAAATCTTAACAAATCTTAACAAATCTTAGGCTAATAATGGGTTAAGAGCCCATGGATAATGATGATCTTAGTTTGCTAATAATAAATAGTGAATTTACTACTTCTACAGTTATGTTTGAAAAATTTACTAAAAACCCAATCAATCCTATAATTTATTGTAGAAATTTAAACTATGTATTTATGAATATTTAAGGGGTGTTATTAGTTTGTGAGTTATATGGTGTTTTATTTAGATGTTAGGTATAATATATTGTTATTCAATCAAGATTTTACTAAACTATTTTAAAGTTTGGTGTTATTAGTTATTGATTTGTTAAAAGTCATTCAAAATCTTATGGAGTTATTGGATACAGAGTTTTACAAAGTCATTAAAAGTTATGTGTTATTCAATTAAAAGAAAATAATCTCTCATTATTAATGTATTAAAATTTTGTGTTATTGGTTTATGATTTTAAACTCTTTTCTTTATAAAATAAAGTCATGAAAAGTATCTTATAAATACATAGATTGTTTGAGAGACTTTACAAGATTATAGAAAAATTAATCAACAAGATTACAAAAAGCTCTAGGAAAGTAGAAAAACAAGGCCACAAGGCCCATAAAAAAAGAAAAAAAAAAACAAAAAGTCCCATAGAAATTCCTTAGATTGAGCCAAACAAATCGAAAGAAACGATATCCAGTAGATTCGCTCTAGAAAATCAAAATATTATTGAAGTCGGTAAAGAAACATGGTTTTTATATACTTAAGTAAAAATTAAAGGCTGAACGTATATATTACAACTTGTTTTTTTTTTCTTTTCAATAGAACGTCTTGAAAACAATAATGTCAAGATGTACCTCTTGTGGCCTCATTCACCGACCTGGCCGATGTAATCCCCAAACTTCAGCCGCACCACCCGACGTGCCCATGGACATTAGTCCACGTTGTTGCTGCATATGTTACTTTTCTGTGTTTGGTTCGTTCTTCCTTTTGTTTCTTTTGTATCTTTTTCTCAATAAACTTGACGCAGGACAACTTTGTTACGTAGAGCTTTTTGCCAATTCCGTTTCCGTCTCATACGCAAACGCAAACGTTTCGACCGCTGATTGGAAGATCGGTTTCGTTGCCAAGAGTCCAATCACCGGCTGTAAAGTCTCTATCCATACACTCAATTCGCGTTTGGTCCGAAGTGGTGAAGTTGTCTCCAAATCATCATCTCCCTCGTCGAGTTATTTCATTCCCGGAGACAACACGGAAGTTGTTTTCGAGAAGGTGGTTACGCCGGCGGTTGTTGGCGACGTCATTTGGGATTCTCAGGCTGAGATAATGTTTGGGATTAATACAGATGTTAAACATTTACACGGTATTTTGCTGGTGGCTTGTTCAAATATTCCGGTGAAATTCACGACGGAACAGGCGACGGAGGAGGTGGTGGGATCGTTGCTCGGAAATATGAGACGGTGTGATTATATATACCAGCAAAGTTTGGCTTAATTCATTCTCTCCGGTCTTGAATCTTTAATTCCTATTTACGAGTGTTATTAATTTGAAAAGGGTATGTTATTTATTTGATTTCTTTAACTTTTCTTTTTATTTTTCTCCCAAAGTTATAATAATACTAGCAGTTGACGTTTATAATTTTGTTTTGTTGATTTTTTATTCATATTGTGATATTTTATTATTTTTTTAATTGATTTTCAAAAAATATTATACTTATTTTCTCTTTAATTATTATCTTTCAATATTCAAATTTGGATTAAAAGCACTTGATTCAATTTATGAAATATCATTTTTTTCTTCTTTTTGATCATGTTATAAACTAATATTTCACTTTCATTTTTTTCCTCTTTATAATTTTATATATACAATTACATAAATGTTGTTTTAGTCAACCATAAATTTAAATTTTGTTTCCATTCTAAAACTCAGTAACATATTTAAAATATTAAATTATGATCAATTTAAAATGAAAGTTAAATTATATTATAGAGATTTTTTGAGAAATGCCCCTTTTGGTGTGCTCCTTTTTAAAAATACCTCTCTTTTCTATCAATTTTCAAAAATACCCATTTTCAAATATGAAAAATTATAAACTTCTATATGGTTGATAAGGTAAATCAAGATCATTATTACTACTGGAACACTAAATTCAAATATTTATAATGTTTTAAAAGGTTTTAAAAGGCATTTATAAGGTTTTTATAAGGTTTTTAAAAGATTTACACAGTTTTTATAAGGTTTTTAAATGATTTTTAAAAGGTTTTTAAAAGGTATTTATACGGTATTTATGAAATATATATATAAATTTACACACATATAAAGATAATTTGTGTCTATAAATATAAGGTTACACATATGTTTTTGATAAATTTGAAATTTTATAGTGACTTTTTGATAAAATTAAAAAGAGGGGTATTTTTAAAAAGTGGTATTGGAAAAGGGGTATTTTTGAAATTCACACTAATAAAAAAATTAAAGTATTGTTTTTCTTATTTTAACATTTCATTTTTTTACATAATTTATTTTTATTTATATAAACTTTCTATTAATTAAGTAAGTAACATAAATATGTACTAAATGAATGTTTTAAATTTATTTTAATGTTTAAACAAAAATGTGGCTTAGGTGGATGCTTAGGTGGCATCATGAGAAGAGAGAAAAAGCTAACTTTATATATATAGATTAATATATCATGTTAGTTTTCATATTTTATACGCAAGATAATGGGAATTACTGACTTAGCAGTTTAATAGCACAGATTAGTTGAAATAGTGGAAATGTGTATCAATAAAATAAAATAACCCAAAGAACACCCAAAACCCACTAACCCTATCTTTAAATAACACTATCTAATTAATTAAAAGACACCCAAAACCTTAAAAATAGTTAAATTGGTGCTATTTTACTGAATTTAAATAACCCTATCTTTAAAACGCTTTTTTTTTTTTTTTCATTTATATGGCTGAACTAAATGTAACGATAAAGAAATAGCGTAGTTTACTCTATGAGAAATAAAGAACACAGCATAAACCATTTTTTAGCAAAAGGTATATAAAATCCGGTAATTCATATTCATGATTATGTTTCTAACTAAATACTATCCCGAAGTATCGTAATAATCTTTATATTTTAGAAAAAAATTATAAACTTTGAGAACAAAATAAATATTGTAGATTTGTAAGGCATGATCCCCCACTAGATCGTCTCTATAATTAACGATTAGGTTATAACTTATAACATCGAATCTTTCTTTCCTCTCCAAAGCAACACACACAACACAAAGGCAGGCACTAGATCAAAAAATAAGAATGGCTTCACAAAACAATTATCACACCGTGTCAGAAATAGAAATGGGACATCCATTGCCACCGTCCTCAGCCACCCCTCCTTCTCGTCGTGGATGGTGGTCACGACCAATAGTGACTCCGCCGGCACAGCCTGATTGTAAATCCAATTGCAATGAATGTACGCTTTGCCTTACACCATGTTGCGGCGGTATATTGACCTTCATTGCCGTATGGATATGTCTCGGTAACTTCATCTTCAATGCTCACTGCGACGCCAAATTCTCAATCCAGTCCATCGCCATCTCTCCCTCCTCCGCCACATGGCACGTTGATTTCCTCGTCAAAAGCCCTAGCTCTAGGTAACATTAACATATATAGTTTCATATTTATATATATAAACCTTAGTTTCAATCTAAGATATGTATTTATATTTTTCCCCAAAACCTTTTCGTCATATTAATCTGTGATCTGTCTATGGTCATATATATATATTTGGAGGTTTTTAATCTTCTACGGAGGCGATGAAACTGCAGTGAGGCTCGGTCCCTTACACGCTGCCGTTTTAAATACTTCTCACGCACGTAAGTCTTCAAGCCACACGGATTTCTCAGTGGATTTCGTTGCGGAGGGGAATTCAACCGACGCTGTTTCTGAACAATTACAAATCAAATTAAGGGCGAATCATAATGTTTACGCATTTCATCCTGAACCAGGACATATTGATATAACGTGTTATAATCTGACACGAAACCATGATAACGTCGAGAAGGTTCAGCAGTGTTACTCTTCTTTCAAAGCATTGAAAGAAGTTATTTGATTATCCAATCTACTTTTTCCATCATTTTCTTGTTTTAATTACTTATTTTCTGTTATGACTTCTTTATACTAAAGACCTTTTTTTTCTCTTCCATGCAATTTGTGAAACTATATTATTTCTCCTCTAAGCGATAAGAAAAAAAGGAAAAAAACGACTCCACCTTCATATTCTCGATTAGTTTCCAAAACAAAACAATATGTGACTTCCTAATCCTAACTAGTTCCGATGTTAGTGTTAAAATAAAAAACGGAGTAGTTAAATAGTGCTAATAATGCGTTTTTATCTAGTAATTATACTATTATTTATAACTATGTATTACTTTATATAACTGAAGTAGATAAATAAGACTACTTCCCATAGAACTGAGCCAGAAAAGAGAGAGAGAGAGTGAAAGATATCCCTTAATTAGATTTTCTTTCTCGAATCAAAATATTAAAAAAAAAAAAACAGTTTTGATTTTATTTAGATACTAAAACCCTAAGTAATATATAAGTTGTACTGACTTCATAAGGAGGTGTTAAAAAACTTCACAAGGATGGCAAATCCTCAATGTACCACTTGTGGCCTCCGCCATCAACGTTGCAAATGTCGCCGGGAAACTTCAACGACGACCCCTGCTGACATGCCCTTAATTTATACTCCAGCTGTTTGCTGCCATATTTATCTTACTACCATTGGTACATTCTTCTGTTTTTTACTCTTGGCAATATTTTTTATCAATCTTTCCGACAAAGACAGTTGTTACATAGAGCTTTTTGCCGATTCCGTCTCCGTCTCATCCTCTAACTGGAGGGTAGGACTTATTGCGACGAGTCCAGTCTCCGACTGCGAAATCTCTCTACGTGCACTCAAGTCTAGTTTAATCCGTGGCGATCAAGTTATCTCCAATTCATCTTCGGAGTTTTTTGGACAATTTGTCACCGGAAACAAAATAGATGTCGTTTTCCAGAACGTGGTGATGCCGGCAGTTATTGGCGACGTGATTTGGGATTTTCGTGTTCAGGTTTGGTCTGCAGTGGACACACATGTTCGTTTTGGAAACGGGTTTTTGATGGTGTCTTGTCCCGATATTCCGGTGAAATTCACGACGGATACGGCGGGGAATGTGATGGGATCGTTGCTTGGAAATATAAGACGGTGTGATTATATTTACCAGAAAAAATTGGCTTAATCTATCTCTTCTATGTTTTTTTCTTTAATATGTTAGAATTGATTGATAAAGTATGATGTGATATTTTATCTTGCTTAGAGTTATTCAAGGACTGAAAACAGCTTTTTTCTAAATTTCAGACTGTATCGTAATTCTAAATAAAAATAACAAAGAAAACTTGTGGAGTTTTAAAATTCCATAATATTCACCAAACAACATAAATTAGATATTTAAATATATAAACTGATTTTCTTTTCATCCAACTGATTGATCGCATAAATTAGCTATTGTTTAAACAATATCCCCGAAATATCATGACATTATATTATCGTAAATTTGCAAACAATGCTTCCCCTCTTCTATAACTAACGACAGGGTTAACATCATAAAAACCAAAAGAGAACCACACGAAAACAAAAAATGGCTTCCCAAACCAACTCATACACCGTGCCAATGCCACCGTCCTCAGCCACTCCTCCTCCTCCTCGTGGATGGTGGTCACGACCAATAGTCACTTTTCCGGCACAGTATGATCGTAAACCCACTTTCAAAGAATATATTGTTACCGGTATACCCTATTGCTGCGGTATATTGACTGTCATCGCCATAATGGTACATATCTCTCACGTCGTCGACTTCGAGAATGCTCACTGCGACGCCAAATTCGCTATCCAATCCATCGCCGTCTCTCCATCTTCTGCCACATGGCACGTTCATTTTCTCGTCAAGAACCCTAGCTCTAGGTATCCTCGTCTAACGAGAAAATTAATTATATTTAGTCTGTTCCCATGTTAATGCTTGAAGCAATGACGTATTTTTTGTTTATGCTATGGACCGCGTCATGCAGGTATACTATCTACTACGGAGACGATGAAACTGCCGTGAGGCTCGGTTCTTTAAACGCTGCCGTTTTAAAGACTTCTCACGAACGTAGGTCTCGGAGTCACACGGCTTTCTCAGTGGCTTTCGTTGGGGAGAGTAATCCGAACGACGGCATTTTCAAACAACTAGATATCAAGTTAAGGGCTAAGCATCAGGGTTACGATGAGGATGAACCTGACGCTGGACATGTTGATATAAGGTGTTATAATCTGACCAGAAATCATGAGAACCTCGACAAGATTCAATGCTACTCTTCTTTCACAGAATTGAAACAAGAGCTTAAGTATAATTCTAACGGTGTAGAAATTGTTTAATTGGTGGTCCTTGTTTCCATATCTTCTTGTTTTATTTTCTGTTATTCGTCTATGTATTAAATAAAACCTCATTTCTTCCATACAATTGACATATGTGTTTTCTTATGTAGTTCCGATTTTCTTTAACGAAATAAAAGTAGTTTCAATTTGATATTTTAGTGTTAAAAATGAAAAGTAGTTTCGATTTCCTGTTAGCACTTTCACTCTCTTTTGATTTTTAGCTTCATTTTAATGTTTTTTGAACTTAATTAGTGTAACTAACCATTAGATTTGCCTACGATTAATCAAGATGTTTTTAATTTTGTTACCAAAAAAAAAATGTTTTCAATTTTTGATTTATTTATGTAGTTAGTAAACCACTAACTATAATATATAAGTTGTTATTGTTTTCATTAGGAGGTACTAAACTTCCAAGGATGGCAAATTCTCAATGTACCTCTTGTGGCTTCATGCATCAACGTTGCCAATGTCGCCGGCAAACTTCATCAACCACTCATGAAAGCAGGCCCATCGACGTTACTCCAGGGTTTTGCTTTTCGGCTTATCTTGCTACCATTGTTATGTCGTCCCTTCTTATCCTCTTCGGTCTAGGTTTAACCCTAATTCACCCCCCACGCTACAATTGTTACGTGGAGCTTTTTGCCAATTCCGTCTCCATCTCAAACGCAAACGCTTCGACCGCTGATTGGAGGGTCGGTTTTGTTGCGAGGAGTCCAGCCACTGACTGTAAAATCTCTCTACAGACACTCAAGTCGCGTTTACTCCAAGGCGACAAAGTTATCTCCCATTCATCATCTCATTCGTCTGGTTATTTCGGACAAGTATTTGTCGCAAGAGACAAAACAAATGTCGTTTTCGAGAAGGTGGTGATGCCGGAAATCAATGGCGACGTTATATGGGATTTTAGGGTTGAGATTGTGTCTACGGTGAACACAGACGCTGGAGATGCAACCGTGTTTATGATGGCCTTTTGTCCAGATATTCCGGTTAAATTCACGACGGATCCGGCAGGAAAGGTGGTGGTGGGATCGTTGCTTGGAAATATGAGACGGTGTGATTATAAATACCAGAAAAGCTTGGCTAATTCTCTCCCATCATCATGAATATGGCTATGATCTTTATTTCTTGGCTTTAGGTTATTTTTCCTTTTTTATCCTCGGATTTTGTTTATTTTTTCCTTTTTTATCCTCGGATTTTGTTTATTTTTTCACTCGTTTAGAATTCATAAAATAAGAACATGGTAGCTGAAAAAAAACAAATATGTTTATAACCTAATTTGTAACTTTTTTTTTTCTTTTTCTTGAATAAAAATTAAAAATCCAAATTGTTTATTAGAAAAAAAAAACAATTAACAACATTCAAAACGAGTTCTTTGGAAAGAGGAATAGCACCTAATCTTCTCATAACCGATAGTGAGATTTTGACACCTGATCTCGAAATGTCCAACTGAAAGATAATCCTTGGCACTAAGTTTCAGTTCTAATTCGAAACCTCTAGGAGAGGCTGCAAAGACGTGGCTATGATTACCCTCCGTGGCTAAATCTACCAAGAAACTCGTGTGGCGGCCACTCGAATCATCCCTACGAGAGGTTTCCAAAACAGCGGCGTTTAAGGAACCAACCTTAGCTTGCACGTTATGTCCGTTGTAGTAGACAAGACAACTCGATGAGTTCGGGTTTTCCACAAGGAAATCGACGTGCCACCACGTGGATGAAGAGGAGGGAGTAACGGAGATGGATTCGACGGAGAAGTTGGCGTGGCAGTGAGGTAGCCTGATACCGAGAAAAATGACGGTAATGGTAAAGACAGGAAAGACCGTGAACATGACGTACAAGTTGAGTTTATGTAAAGCTAATTTCTCATTTTTAGTGAGTTCTTTACGACGAAGGAATAATGATTGTAGCTGTGTCCACCACCGTGAACGAGAAGGAGGATCAGTGGAGGTCCTGGAGGAGGACAACGGTGATGGTGTCGTTGGCAATCCGATCACTATTTCCATATCGGCCTATAAGCGATTTTTGGTATAGAATGAAGATAATGATTTTGATGTGATTTTAGATCTTTAATCATTAAATTAGGTACCGTTAGCAATTTTTTCGATTGATTTTTGTTAGAATTCCTTTTTTTTTTACTATTTGATTTTTTAAAAGTTGTTGCGTTTAGATAAGAAAGTTTGTTAGAATTGAATAAGGTAAAAATAATTGAAAAAAACAAAAAAAAAGACTTGGCAATTACGAGTACACTTTGTTAGGAATTAGGATGCTTGAGTTGAGGCTCGTTGCGAAAGTTTTATTAGAAAACCTCCTTTGGTTTATTCATCACAAAGTTTTAGCTAATTAAACTAATTATCTTCTCATGAGGAATCGTTACAGCAAAATGACAAGGTCTCGTTGTACTTCTTGTGGTTTCACGAGAAGACACTGCCAATGTCGTCACAGAGCTTCAAACGCAAACAGTGACGATGGAGAAAGCGCGTTCAAACTTACACCAGCTTCCTTCTGCGTTTTATACCTCATGTACGCTCTCGTATATGCAGGACTCTACTTCATCTTACTTGTGCCGCCATTCATATTCTTTCCCATGCTTATTCGAAGTTGTAACGTAGAGGTCTTTGCTGAGTCATTCTCCGTTTCAAACGCATCAAACGCAACCGCTGATTGGAACGTCCGGTTTACAACAATGATCTCAGGAGGTAATAAATGTAAAGCCTCTCTCCACACGATGAAATCGCGTCTCGTCCGTGGGGACAAGCTTATCTCCGAGTCATCCTCTCCTGATTATTTCGGTTTACTCGTACGTGAAAAAATCAACGATGCACCGCTTCCGTATGTCGTTTTCAAAACGGTTGCAACCCCCCGGGACGGCTTGGTTTTTGATATCCAGGTCGAGGTTTTATCAAGTTTTAAGATAGAAGGTCGATCCCGTTATGAAGATGGTTTCTTGATCTTGACTTGCAACAATATACCGGTGAATTTCACGGTAGATCCGGCCGGGAATGTGAAGGGATCGTTGCTCGGATATATGAGGCCGTGTGAGTATATATACCAGAAGAAGTTTCCAGTCGCATCCTTTTAGACTTTTCCTCTCATCTTATAAATCATGAATCTTTTTTCTTTATAACGAGTCTTATACTCTTGCGGTGCTTTAAGGTTTAGTGAAGTATTTTGTTTTCTATGTTTTCCAAAATAAGTTAGGATTAACCACTTTGTTATAATGTAACTCTTTTTTTCTTTAATGCTTAAGTATCTTTGCAATCACATGCACATAATTTGCAATCGAGATGTTCGCTGAGTTAACGTAGAAACTAAAGATTGAACCAAATAGCTAGTAACCGGCCAAGACGCTTAACAATATTTTGTATACCAAAAAGGTATTTGTTAAGACGTATACTAAAGAGTTTTGAATCGCCAATATCAATGTGGGATTGTCATTGAAGATATCTTAATACGAATTTTGCATATATTAAAATAGTATTATCAGAAGGGGCACAATTTTATATATATTTTTGTATTTCAGACCGTCAATTCCATTTGATCGGCCAATATATCTTACGTGATATTCAAATTTATTTGCTTATAATTACTTATTTATTGCTTATAATTTCTTACTTCAAGATTATAAAAACGATATGCATCATAAAAAAGATTCGTCGTTTGTCATCCAAAGTGCTTTTCGTGGTAACTATGACCAAAAACTGTGAAAAAAGAAAAATATTTATCTTGTTCAGAGTTGATAAGGACTAAAAACAGCCTTTTCCGAATATCGCATAAAGTCAAAAATAAAGCCCATTGGAAAAACAATAAAGTCTCAAGAGTAGCTGTGTGAAAAAAAATCAATAATATGGTTACAAATAGAAACATAGGATTAATTCATAATTACGATACATTAATTTAATCACGAGGCTCCACTTACATTTTCCGAATATCGCATAAAGTTAAATAAAGCCCATTGGAAAAGCCATTAAAGTCTCAAGACTATAGCTGTGTGAAAAATTCAATGACATGGTTATATATAGAAACATAGGATTAATTCATAATTACGATACATTTAATCACGAGGCTCCACTTACATAAATATCCCTCAAATACTCCCACTAATAAAACCTTCCAATATCTTTCATCCACCAAACAAACAAACAAATCTCTCTGCACACCAAAACGCTAAACGCAACAATGACGGAGAGAGAGTGCGACCATTACGACGAATATGATGATCTGAAGAGGAGACGCGTAATATGGGCGTTTCTAGGCCTAATCGGTGTGGCTGCGTTTGCGGTTTTCTTGGTCTGGGCAATACTTCACCCGCACGGGCCGCGTTTCGTTCTCCAAGACGTAACCATTAACGAGTTCAACATCACTCAGCCAAACTACCTCACTTTGAATCTCCAGGTCACTGTCTCTTCTCGCAACCCAAACGACAAGATCGGAATTTTCTATGACCGTCTCGACATCTATGCCTCATACCGGTACCAAGAGGTTGTGTTTTTTTGCGTTTTTATGCTTTTTTTTTAGTTTTTGTTGTTGTTGAATTGTTTGGTGCAATTTGTATATGGATCAGCAAAATTTTTAGTGAATGTTATAACCACAAAACATGACCCATCTTAAGTTCTTAACGTATGTCTTAACTCTTAAGATTATTTAAGAATCAATTCCATTTCAATTTTTTTTGGGTTAAATATTTCATCTATCATCATTTTCTGGATTTATAATAATAATTCTGCAATTTCATCTGAAAAACCAAAACCAACATATGCATATTTGTCTACCACTTGAAGATTAATTAATCTTCTTTCTTTTTTCTTCTTCTTGAAATGTCTAAAGAACTTACTGTTAAAGGATATAGAAATTTTGGTAGAAACTATTATTTGAAAATTTGAAATTCAAGAAGAAACAAATGACGACTTATAATCCACAATTATAAATGTTTTTTGTTATTTGTCTTCTAAGCATTTACGTATATATTTTTTTTAAAACAAGCGTTTACGTATTAATTCTAACTTAACTTTTCCTTATTAATTAGGTGACGATTGCGAGGCTTTTGCCGACGACGTATCAAGGACATAAGGAAGTTACGGTGTGGTCTCCGGTTCTGATTGGGACCGCCGTGCCGGTGGCTCCGTACCTGTCTCCGTCATTGAACGAAGACGGAATAGCCGGGTTGGTACTTCTCAACATCAAGATAGACGGTCGGGTTAGGTGGAAAGTGGGCTCGTGGGTCTCCGGCGGTTATCGCCTCCACGTTAATTGTCCAGCGTTCATTAGCTACCCCCGTCAGTTAGTCGGCGGCGCTGGTCCGGCGATGAAGTACCAGCTTGTTCAGCGATGTGCCGTTGACGTATGAAATACAAAAGAAGAATATATTTTTTCCAGGGGAATATAATTATATAAGGTAAAGGTAAACTAGAGCAATTTCTTGTTGATTTGGCTTGTTAATCAATTTTTCTAAAAGGTTTTTAAGAAACCAAAACGCTGATTAAACTCTTTTTTCTTTACACTAATGTCCAAGGTACTATATATAGTAGAACACATATATAGTTAGTACATGACATATGTTCCTTTTAATTTTCCATTTAGTATAATGTTCAAACTGTGAATACACATATTTAAAAATTAGGCAAGTGTAAAATAAAAATATGGTGATTTATAAATACATAAATCAAATTTATAAATTTACACGAGTTTTTAGCATAATGATAGTCGTTGAAACTTTAACATTTTGAGTACTCTGCACTCTGCAGTCTGCCTACGAATTTGCCAGAATAAGGGAAAGCTTACAAAGGATGGTTTATTTTTTAGTTGGGTATGAGTCACATGACAACGACTATGTAGCTGATGGTCTTTATGGATTGAAATAAACCCCCTCCAAAAATTAATTACATTTTAGCACTCTATATTAGCTCATAATGACAAGCGCTTGCTATGTTTATTGTTTATTAAAAAATTGTTATATGTTGACGGTTTATAATTTGTTTTTTTTGAATAGCTACAAAATCATATACAGAGTTCACTTTGTGAAATCAATTCATTTTTGATGTTATTGGTTTGTACTTGTAGGTTCAGCTTTAAATATGATTATCCTAGTTTCTATTCTGACATGCAGACTTTATTAACTTGGCTTGTTTATAAGTCTTCTACGTCTTTAAATATTTTCTTTTTCTATGGCATGTCGAGAGCAATAAGAAGTGGACTGGGCAAGAGAACTTTAAAGACATTAAATTATCTGTAGAAACTAATCAAGATCAGTTATGACATTTCAGAAACTCAAATTAAACAGCTCAAAAGTCATTTTAAAAGTAAGTTGTCCGCAAATTCATGTTTGGTGTGATTTGTATGAGGACTGACAACAAGAAGATATGTGTAAATAGATTTAATGGACACTCGAAAAAACTCCACAAAATTACAAATCCCACGAAACCAAGTGTGTTAGATGATGATTCGTAGCTATGTAATAGATGACTTAATATGCATGTGAGTTGTGAAATCATCGTCATGCTGGTGACATTTGCACGACCATGTAGCGTGAATCGCAATAATCCTTATGTACTTCATTTTTTTTTTTTGTAAACTTGATAACGTGAGAGAGAAAAAGAAAATCAAAAACTACTTTTCAATATCTACTTTGGAACATTTAATTTGTGTTTTTTTTTTTGTTGTAAAAGTTTCGTTTACAGATTCTTAAAGCCAAAGAAAAAGAAAGAAAAAATTGATAACGAATATTCGTCAACAAACTTTGTTACTAGCCGCGTGCAATGACGTTTCAACTAAACCACACACACTTGTAGTCTTGCAGTAGATAACCTTTTTATTGAGTTGTTCTGAGCCATAAAAATTGGCCAAGAAAAAAAGAGAAAAACATAACCTGAAAGATAATGGGCTTTTATATCACTATGGGCTTTACCCATTTAGTGTAAGATACGATATTGGTTTAAAAAGCCCGTACTTCTGGACTTAGCGATACGACGTTGTTTTGCTTCGACTGGAGAAGACTCTCTGACAAAGCTCTATCTAGTGTCTGGTCTGAATTTTTTTGGTTCAAAACTCACTTTCGATTTCTGATGTTTTCTCTCTGATTGAAAGGTATAATCTCTTCTGTTTTGTTTTCCGGCTCTTTGTATTGATGATCATGCTACGTTTAGTTTGCTTGGTACGTGTACGTTTATCGGTGATTGGCTTGGTTTTTACCTGATTTCTTTTTTTTTGTTGTTGTATATAGTGATAGAAATTGAAGTGTAAATTAACCAATTCCTCAATAGTTTGGGCCTTTTTTGTATATAGTTTTAGTATTACTGGGTGAGTTTTTATTGATTGATTTGTACATACTCAATCACTAGATATTATCATGTTTCCTGAAGAATTGACTTGAATCGGTGGTTCATAGATGTCTGAGGCTCTTATGATCGACACAAAGGAACAAGATTAGCTAATGATTCTAATTTCATTGTAACTGTCAATTAAGGTTTTGATGTTCCTAAGTTTAATACTTATCTAGCTTCTGTAGAACTTGTAAGTTATTCCTTGTAGATGTGTTATTGATCAAAATAGCGCTTGCATTTTGTAAGTCATACCTTTAGTTTGGTCTGTTAATTAAAGGTCTTGATGGTCATAAAGCTTAGTACTTTTATCTAGCTACTGTTGAAACTTTTGAGCCTCTCCTTTTAGATATGTTCATAAATCTGTTATAAACAAAACATTTTGAAAAATGCTCACTTGCTGTATTAGTGTGAATACTGCTTTAGGCGATGGACAGTTTATAGGATCTATTAAAACCCAAAATGCATATACTAAAAGGTTATATGGTAAGGTTATATGGTTTTACTTAAAGGTCATCTTGGTTTTGAGTATTTAACTTATTTTTGTGGGTTTGGACAATGTGATATTCAATGTTTTAATACGCTATGGTGCAGGGTGTTGTCGGGTAATTTTCAAGATGGGTAACAAAGCTACAACTGTGAAAGAAGAACGGGAAGTGATTCACTTGAAGGTTGTACCTCCATTGGACAAAGTATTTTTGCGTTGGCTTGCGAGAGATCTCCAGAGAGTTCATGGATTCAAACCGATGAACAACACTCGTGCGATCACTCCTCCAGATAACTACATTGAGTTTATGCGGCTAAATGGATCGCTGGATGTGGATTTAGATGACCCTGATCTTGCCCATTTGTTCAAGTAAAAAAATAAAAAAGGTTCTTTTGGTGTCTGTGTTTGTTTTGTATGAAGCTTTCAAAGTTTTTAGTATTCACCTTTTGTTTTGAAAACTCTTGACTATAAATATATACAATAGTATTATACTATTATTATCTAACAGCATAGCATTCAGGTGAGATCCGAGTGTCTGCATTCAGATGACACATGTTTCTATGGTCTTGGTGGTATCATTTGGAATCCCTAGGTTTCGAGGTTCCACAAAAAAGCTGTTGAATGATGAGTTACTTCTGAACATAACAATTCATCATTAAATACACCCTACCAAATTATCAGCAGAAACAACTTCAAATCTGATATGACGAGTAATTTTATAGAATCAAAACATAAACTGGTTTACAATGTCCAAAGTTTCCCATTCTTAGAGGACAGTAGTTAACTCCCTCCTGCTCTGTTTCTGGGTCAACCCGAAAACATTGTACTTGTCTCTTTAGTTTTACAGAGTTCAAATGATTTTGTTTTGAGCTTTCACGGGTTTGCAAAACAAACCAAAATTTTAGTATAAATATTCTCTCTTTTATTTTTAATTTTTTCCTCAGTGTCCTATTTTCATTTATATATACTGTATATTTTTGTGTAAAGAAAACGTAAATGTTTTTGACGATAATTGTCCATGCTTAACGCGTGGTAACTGATGCAACAGTTTGTTGGAATCTTTTTATTTATGCTCCAAATTCTTCATAATGAATAAATCCAAAAAATACATTTTTTTCTTTTTGTCAATCTCAAGGAAATAAAACTGTATCCAAAAATAGTTACCCAGCTTATTAATATTAACTTGGTTGACAAAATATAAAAATAAAATAGTAGTATATATAATTAATTAAATAAATAAAAAAGAAAGATAATACAACATATAAGAGAGTAATTTAGTTGAGATATTGGTTAAAAGACGATACAAGTGCGCAGGTTCCCTCCACATCAGTAATCTGAACCAAACGCAACTCATTCCCTCGTTTTCTCTCTTTCTCTTCCACCGTCTCTTTTTTTTTTTTTTTTTTCTTCTTTTAATAAAATCCCTTCTGCTTCCTCTCTCTTTCTTCTTCTTCCTCTCTTTCTCTCCCGCTTTTTTTCGATTCGTCGATCTCTTCACATTCTCTCCCCGGAATCTCCGTTATTCTCGCCGTAGATCTGCTTCCGTATACCTAATAGGATCTCTGCTTACCGGAGATCCGTTTTTTCTGAGGTTGAATTTTCGGTTTCTCTTTCTTTTTTTGGGGATTTTGTTATCTTGTCGAGATTCGTTCTCATGTCGGACGAACCTGAGAAATTCCCACCTTCGAAGCGGCAGCAGCAGCATCCTTCTCTGTCTTCTATGAAGCCTCCCTTAGTTGCTCCCGGCGAGTATCACAGGTTTGATTCCGCCGAGACTCGCTTAGCTGGAGGAGCTGCTGCTGCTGCTGATCACCTCGTCTCTGACTCGATTGTTATTAAATCTACTGTAAGTCTCCACCTCACCCCTAGTGTCAATTCTGTTTGTGTATTTTTCGTTATGGTTCTTCTGTGTTCTTGATTTTGAGGCTTGTGATGAACTGATGATGATATCGTAGCTTGGAGTTTTTCATGAGAATTGTGTTGCGATCTGTTTCTGGCTGTGTAATTGCGGTTTGTCTAGTACATGGAATTAGCATTGCAAGTTGTTATTGCCTTTAGAGTAGTTTAGTTGTTTGACTAGGGTTTTTTGGTGTTACTGTTCTTGCTATTTAGAGCAGATTTATGCATTTTTTTATGCTTCTGTTGAGTGAATTATGCTATGTTTCTCTTAGGATTTAAAGGTTTGCTTATATACCTTTAGACTTCAGCAAAGTGACAGTATGCTGCTCAGCTGCTGATAGGATAAGATTATAGGAATCGAGAATTAGTGTGGTGTCAACTTCTGTTATCCATTTGTTCAAGTTTTTAACTGTACAATTTTGGTTCCCTCTATTGGCAGCTGAAGCGTAAGACAGATGCGGTAAACCAAATAGTTGAGGCCAATGAATTGAGTACCGGTGTTCTCCAAACACCTGTATCAGGGAAAGGAGGGAAGGCCAAAAAAACTTCTAGGTCTGCGAAGTCTAATAAATCTGGAACGCAAGCTTCTGGTTCTAATGCAGGTGAGTTTGGTCCGAATGCTCTGTTTTCTTTCTATCTATACGGCCGACTGTTAGTACGCCAATCATAATTTTTTGCTTATGTGCTCATCTGAGCTAGGCCTTCCTTTTCTTTTTGTTTAGTTGCAATGAAAGACAAGAGTCCAATCATTGCAATGTAGTGACAAGGATCTTTTGTGTTGGCAGGTTCTCCTGGAAATAACTTTGCACAGGCCGGTACTTGTCGATATGATAGTTCACTAGGTAATAGCTTATTTCACCAACCTAAGCTTTCTTATGATCTATTATACACTGCAGGTTTTTTGAATAATAAGCTTCTTCTGTGATCTAATTTGCTTCAGGTCTTTTGACAAAGAAATTTATTAATTTGATAAAACAAGCAGAGGATGGTATTCTCGATCTAAATAAAGCAGCTGAGACTTTAGAGGTGGCATATTCAAACTCTAAACTGCCTTCTTGATGTATCACTTTCTGTCAAATATTAACTGTGTGTTCCTGTTGGTACAGGTACAAAAGAGAAGGATATACGATATAACCAATGTGTTAGAAGGAATAGGTTTGATAGAGAAGACGCTCAAGAACAGGATTCAGTGGAAGTAAGCATTTCTGGCGACTGTCAAATCTTGGTTTTCTTCTATTTGATGCCTCATGTGTGAGTGACAGTACTTTTTTTTTTTTTGTCTGTCTTAGGGGTCTTGATGTCTCAAAACCAGGAGAAACAATTGAAAGCATAGCTAACCTTCAGGTACAGAACATGCCTATGTATTCATTTACCTTTCAGTTAAACGTTTCACTGCTAGCTCCTTTATTATTTTAATGTTAAGGGTATGAAGAGGTTAGCTTAGATTGTCTTCTTGAACATCTTATGAACATTTGTCCGGTTCTTGTTTTGCCTTTTTCCTGAGGCTTGAATGTGTTAAGGGGGTAACTAAGATACCAGAAAATATATCCCAAAAAACAAACATTGACAGCAAGCTTTGTCTAGTTTCCCTCTACTAGCACATTTTGAATGACCGGCTTCTGTTCATGTTTCTTATAGTTTAATTACATAGATGTTGACAAAGTGTAATAGGTTACTGCCATTTTTCTTCAATCTCAGTCACTTAGATTTATTTCTTGTTTTGGTTTTCTGTTTGGAAAATTATTGGGTCTACTCAAATTCCCATTACCAATTTAGTTTGACATTTTGTTACCCTCGATCCTCGTACAGGATGAAGTACATAACCTCACAGTTGAGGAGGCAAAATTAGATGACCAAATCAGGTATTCACATAGGTCATTTTCCTTTCTTTTCCCTTTTTGCTGTTATTGTGTCTTGTTGAAAATCGACCTGGTTGCAGAGATTCACAGGAAAGATTAACAAGCTTGAGTGAGGATGAAAACAACAAAAGGTAAGCTTCTCCTGTTATTTCTTCTGGCGAAAGGTATGATATACCATATATGTTTATTCTGACTCTCTACATTTTAGGTTACTGTTTGTCACCGAAGACGACATCAAAAACCTACCGTGCTTCCAGGTTTGGTCTTCTTCTAGTAATTCGTGTGTATTTCTCTGCCTTGTATTCTACTCACTGGGGAAACATGTTTTTGTGGCGTTTCTCATTCCTTGCGTAGAATAAGACGCTGATAGCTGTGAAGGCACCACATGGAACAACTCTTGAGGTGCCAGATCCTGATGAGGTAAGCTTAAGAGCACACAAAATCAAATGACCGATGCACAGTCTGTTAACTGTTTCCATCTCCATTAATCAGGCTGGTGGTTATTCTCAGAGGAGATATAGAATGATCTTAAGAAGCACAATGGGACCAATAGACGTGTACCTAGTCAGGTAATCCCTGTCCTCAAACGTTTTGCTTGCCATTGATAAATCTGTGAAACGGAAGTGAGACTGACAGTTATATTGTGTTTTTTTTAGTCAATTCGAAGAGAGTTTTGAGGACATTCCTCACACTGATGAACCTTCAAAAGTTCCTGATGAGCCCTCAAAAGTACCTGATGGACCCTCAAATCTTCCTTCAACATCTGGTCTCCCTGAGAACCACGATGTAGCCACGCCGATGGAAGAGGACAGCACCGAAAGAAACATGGAAACACAGGAACTTGATGATACCCAAAGAGTTTACTCTGAGATCGAATCTCATGACTTTGTCGATGGTATCATGAAGATTGTTCCTCCAGATTTGGATGTAAGTCCCAGCTGTTTCCTCAGTTTTAAAATATTTTCACCACATACATAATTACAGTTATATTTCATCACATACATAATCACAGGCCGAACTCCATAATAACAGTTCAGAAACATATAGCCAGGAAAAGTAATCAACAAAGATCATATCTAGAAAATTATGCTCGGGTTAAATCATTATTTACATGTATGTTGCATCATGTACAGATGGGTGTAGATTACTGGCTTCGATCAGAGGTTGGTGAAGTCAGCATCACAGACTTGTGGCCAGATGAATGTATCCTTCGACTTCTGTCACTTTCTCTGCTTTGATCTTATCTCTCTTTATGCGGCTTGAGTTTTTCCCCCCCAAATATTAAAAATTTGTTTGGAGCTCCTTGACTCATTTTCATTAGCTGGACCGGACTGGAACCATTTGGGCTCATTTGATCAAAACCACGCTGAACCAAGCAACACAACCTTGGAGCAGCCACAAACTCCATCGAGCCCAACGCCAGAAGATTCAACTGCTACGAGATCTACAGGTAGCTGAAGTTACCATACAACAGGTCAAGCCCCACCATACATCTGTACATAGAATCTGATTTGGGTGCATGCATCCAGAGTTATGTTGTACTTGTACAGTAGCTGCATTGCGTTATCATAGAATTAGAGATTGCAAAAAAATAAAAGTAGAGAAACCAACCCTTCGTTGTATCTTTTTCTATTTTTTTAGCTTCTCGGCTTATATAGAATAGCCCGCCCTTAACCCATTGTTTTTCTTCTCTAGTCGAGTGAAACTGCAAAATACCTTTTAGAGTTTCTTCTAGTCAGGAGCGTAAATAATAAGCTTTCAAGGTACCAAATGAAACCATATTTTATTTCGGTCTAGAATTTATAGTTTCAGTTAAATAGTTAATTTTTGCTTAATTTCTCTTCCGGTTTATTTTGGTTTTGGTGATTTTAGTTTCGTTATTATGATATATAGTTTTTATGGGTATACAAGCTCACTAGGTTCGTCGTATTCAGTTAGTTAGGCATTCATTTTATTTTTCTTTTGTATAAAATAACTTGTGGTTCGATTTGGATGATTTCATTTTTGTTCGAATCGGTTTTTATCAATCCCTCTACTAGAGGTAGTGCCTTAAAAATGATAGCATGACGTAAAATATAACTTTGAATTCACCTCAAGCTCGAATTAATTATTATTCTTCAAAGAATCCATCAAAATTGCACATCCCAAAAGCAATGAGCATAGCGATGCTGAATCTCCAAGCTAAGTCTGAAAAAAAGGTTCCCTCTTTTAACAAACTTTCCCACACCAACATCCTCACTCAATAATCTCAACTTGTCCTCTCTTCCCTCTTTGTAAAATAAAAATAAAAATGCATTTGAAGAAGAAGATGATGTATACACTCAAAACCATATTCAAACCCATCTTTATGGCCTGCCGTTGCTGTTCTACCGTCCCACCTTCCTCTCACAACCATTACATCCCCGGGCCACCGGTTTCTCCTACGGTTCTACGCAGTCCATGTCCTAAGATCGACGAGAGCGTCGCGATGGCTAAGGAATCAAACAATCCATTCGAAGATTACAAGAAGTCGATGAATCAAATGATCGAAGAGAGAGATATCGAGACAGAAGATGACCTTAAGGAGCTTCTAAGGTGTTTCTTGGATATAAACCCTTCTCCTCATCACAATCTCATCGTCAGAGCTTTTGTTGACGTCTGTTCACATCTTCGGCCACCACACGACCGCCGTGGCAAGTCGTTTGGGAAATTGCTTCGCTTATATGTTAATAATCCTCTTGATAATAATAGTAATGATGATGTTGACGACGACGATGACTTACACCAAACTTCTTCAATTAAGATGAGAATGAGGAACTGATCCTTCCTCCTAGCTCTTGCATCTCTTTCTATACATGTTACAATATTGTGAATAATTTGATTTTCTGATTCCATGCAATGCTATATGTGAAACCCTTAAACAACAACAAGAAAATGTGAAAAATGTACATTATGTTTTCCAATATCAATTTCAGGATCAAATGATATATGGTTTAAAAAAAATTATTTTTCAGTTTTCCTAATGATTACAAAAATACAAAGTTATACTTCAAAGGCTAAGCTCAAACAATATTGTACTCAACGTGAAGTATGAAGTGTAAATTGGCTAAGATATACCAAGTTAATCATTCACATTTGATGTTATAGTTGGTCATTTTTTCTTACCAATTATTCCGGTTATAAATTTGGTTAAGCGAGGGATGATTTTTTTTTTTTTAAATGATTTCTGCTGTATAAATAAATGATTAACAACAATAATTAATTGAGTTAATTAATTAAATAAACAAATAAATAAAACTCAAAAAGCCTCTAAACCAAACAAAACTCCGGCGTGTTTCTCCGCCCCATCCTCGACGAAGTACAAATCTCTCATCCTCTGAAACGCCTGCCACGTCAGCAAACTATCCGAACCGGCCTGATGACATTTCCCAACCGCCCGGTTAACATCGAGCGACTGAGCCACCCGGTCCAAACCACCGTAGAGTTTCCTCTGCTCACAAAACCTCATGATGTGTTTCACATCGTAAACCCTCTCGCCGAAGAAAGCTCTGAGCAGCCCCAAGAACTCTCGCAACGCGCTCGGAAGCTCCCGGCGCGTGAGTATCTTCACTAGGTAACCGAAATCGTACGCGCTGTGAAACGTCACCCAGCTCACCGACTCGTTACAGATCAGTCCGGAAGACATCATCAGCTCCGCGAACCTCTCAGATCCGACACCTTCGCGGCGGTTGCGATCGAAATCGATACCGTGACGACGGAGCAGCTCGATCGAATCTGGCGCGTGTGGGTCACGCTCCACGTCGAAGTCACGGAAATTGAATTCCCAAATGAAGCGACGGCTTTTTTGGCCGAGATCAGGGAGGTTCCCGTCGGCGTCGGAGAGGGTTAGGCCGACTTGGATAAGGCTGAGAGCGTCGACGTTGGATTTGAGAAGGTTGTAGAGATAATTCGGGTTTCCACGGCGGAGTACGGCGAGATCCGCCTTGAAAATCACGCCGGGAAACTCTGTATCCATGGAGATGAATGGGTAGTCCTCGACGATCCCGCTGATTAGCTCGAACTCCGATTCAAGATTATGAGCCCAGACATCACGGATCACAACAACAGAGAGATCTTTATCTGAATTGAACATAGTTTCCAAATTGCAAAGTCTCGTTTTTTTTTTGGTAGTCGTCGTCGTCTCTAAAAGTCTCTGTTTTTATTTCTTCTTGTTGTTAAATATTTAAAAGTCTCTGTTTTTTTTGTCTTTGTTGTTGTTAATCTGAAGAGTTCAGAAATGGTGTATGTATAGTGGAGTGAAGGGTTACGAGGAAGGAGAAGGGAACAAGTGTGAGAAACGCGCACGTTTTTGACTCACTACTCTGTTTCTTGGACTCGGTCTAAGTCGGCTTCTCTCTCTTCTTCATGTATCTCTAATTATTGCACTCTAATAAACGTCACTTTTATTACTTCTTTTTCTTTTTCCGGGAAAATTCATAGAATGATGACTAAATGACTTGTATTAGATATGCTTATTACATTAATCTAGTTAAACAACCATAGAGCGATCTTTTATTTAACAAAGATTTGAACCCCTGTGAGCTATCTTCCTTTGACCTTGAACGTATAATTAAACATGACTGTGTTCTGTGTTGACGAATAAATGTTTTTTTTTATCAAATTCCAAATGCAGAGACTACACAACATATTACGAGAGTTAGTGTGAGAGTGGAGCAAGCCACATAAGAAAGGGATTGGTGAAAGGGAGATCATGGATTGCGTCGGTGGCAAGATTGTAAACACCACTATGACCAAGGGCAGCAAAGTAAATGGAATTAGGCTTAAGGCCTGTGAACTGGCTCGATTGCAAACAAAAGGCTTCATTATGTTGTTGACCAAGAAATATGCAGAGATCCCCAATGTCATACGTGTAACAGTCCTCATCCTCTCTATAAACCATGAACCTCTTTGTTTTTCTCACCACCTCTTTGTTTTTATATTTCTTGTTACACTCCTTCCAATGTATCGCCTTTCCACCGTGGGATAACTGAAGAAACCTGCCTCAGAAAACAAACCAGGTCATACTACACTTAATTTGCTAATAAGAATGAAAGCAATCAAAAAAGTTTTGATTACTTTACTCACCACATGATGTCAAAAACTTCGCCGGTGGGGGACTCCACTAAGTGTTCAGTGTAGAAACACGACTCTAGCAGCTCAAACTCCGACCATAGCAAATCAGGTAACTTGAGACGGTCAAATCTCTGGTAATAACTAATAAGTCACCTCGGGGAAATCTTGGTGACTCATCTTGCACGTGCTAGCGTCATATGTTTTGGCAGTGAAGTGAGCTTGGAGACAAGCCTGAAGGTTGGCGAGTAAAACTTGGAATCACGGTTGGAGTAGAGCACGCTGGAGCAATCCAAAACTTTTGAGGAACTTTCCGTTTTGGTCCAGGCTGAGTCACCAGGCCTACAGAAACACATCCGACCTCCATAAAACTTGATGGCCACGACACATGAGTCGTCACTTGGGAAAGAGGACAGCGACATGTTGATTATGGCATTATAAGTACAATCAGGACTTAGAGGAGGCAAGGATATGACTTTGTGATTCAACATGTTGGTGAGATAGACGCTGGGATCATTAGAATTCATGAAACCAACCCATCCTCTGGATGCTCCTATGTAACTTAATTGATACGTCATCATCCCCTGGTCAGCTACTACCGTCTGTTCCTTCCTTGGATCGTACAAATTCATTGAAGAGCCTCCTCTCACAGCATATGTCCTGTTCAAGAGGTACGGAGACGACTCTACCAAAGAGGACAGAAACCGAACCCGCTCTGCTTGCATCTGTCCCCAACATACATGTATTATGTAAAATAGCGAGTGAAAACAAATAAAAATAAGAAAAAAAAAACCACATAAATAGAGAAGGCTTACGATGGCATCGGATGAGTTTCTAAGGCCAAGTTTCCACATCCTACCAAGAAAAACCAGAGACATTTTTTATGCTGTTGTTGTTCTCGTCTATTATGTGTTTTGAACCTTAGATTTTGATGTTCTCCTACACAGAAGGTGGGGATAATATATTCAATGGAAGAGTTGGGTATTTCTACATACGTAATTACCCTAACTAAGAGATAATAACATAACTATATAGGAATTAGAATATTAACATATATCTTTAGGCCTATTAAGTTGTTTCTATTTTCTTGGGTATTCCCGAAAAATTAATACACGTCGAGGTATACAAGTTATGTATTATGATGTTATAAAGATAGAAAATGAAGGTTATAGCATGAATTTCTTGATTAGGGTAAAAAAGAGAGAGGAATAAGATGTTGGTCACAACTTTGACAAAGAAAAATCCGAGGAACTTCCTCATTATGTTTAACACCAACACACCTTGTGTGTTGCCATACTTCACAAATGTCACAACACACCATCCTCTCTCCATCTTCTTCCTTTGCTCCACACTCACACTCGATTCTCTTATCCTTCTTCTTATTATCATCTGCGTAACATTTCATCACTTCAATGTTCATCATCATTCCTACACTCCCTTCTAATACCAATCCTTTATTCCCACTCATTAGTTTTGCCATTTCATCGACCCTTGTGATCTCCCTTTGACCATCCGCCACTGACTCCACCACGACGTCTCTTAGTTCCCAATAGATATCTCTAAAGACTCTCTCCGCCTCTCCATACACTTCACTCAATGTTGCATCTTTGCTCACCACTATGCATTCTTGTGGAGGCATTGTCATCTCGTTGTTATGATGATGATATTTCCGCGCGATAGTACAGAATATTCCTAATTTGTCCCCTTCATCTAAGTGTAATGTTTTCGCCGATGTATCCCTTATGTAGTGATATTCTTTGAAAAAGTACTTAGCGTCGAGGATTGCCCTTGAAGCCATTCCAATTTGGTTCAGTATGCCCCCTACTCCCTTGTGGTCCATGAGAATGTGTTTGTAAAAATAAAACATGTCTTTCATCACTTGACCTCTTGTGATCTTGTTGTGACCGTTCGTCGTCATCTTCCCCATTGAGTTTTGGTTTTGAAGTGGTACGAGTTCATTGTTACTACTTGGTAACAAATTTGATATGTCCTCCAAGCAATACTCTAGCACTTTCTTCACCGGATTTAGACTACGTCGGACCAAATAGTTCCCGACCACCTGGTTCCCGAGCGACTTCAACACGAAATCAAGCAAACCAGTGTCCCCAATGTAATTTCTAGCTGCATCCCTCACTTCTTGTCTCGATATCCATCGGTACTCGACTCTTTTTAGTGACTCTATGACCACTTTGATAGCCATTTGGATCCTTTTTTGAGACCATCTGCAGTTGGTACTATCAATGGAGATGATTTGGTTTCGGGAGTTATGCATGTAGTTATCTTTTGGAAGACGTGAATGGATTTGAAGCATGAACCTGAAGAGGTCACTGAGAGTGATCAATGGCTCAGTGGATAAACTTTGGTACTTTGACAAGAGGATTGGAGTTTCTCGGTTTAGGCTGGTTAGTTGTTGGTTAAGCAAGCACAAAGGAACGTTACGGACCGATCCAAGTGCCTTCTCATAAATCTTTTGGGTCACTCCATATGTCCCTGACCCGAACCGGTAACCCCAACGACCGAACCATGGCTCTCCTTTTGCTACCCCGTGCAGCAGTCTCAGCTCCATTCCTTTTTTGTGCGATGCATCGTTCAACCCTATTTTCCTATATTAAGCAAAATAAAATGACTAACTATGTGTACATCCCAAATAATAGCTAGGAAGACTCCAGTATGATACGAACACTAATATATCATATATAATATATATACCTGGCCTTTAAACCGGTACAAAGCCGATCCCACAAATCCATGACTTGATGACCGGTTAAGTCGGAACCGGTTTCAATGCCGTTGAGAGAGAGCAAGTGACCAAATCCGTTGGAGTGAAAGAAGCCGTGAAGGACATGGCCTTGAAGCTCCACCAGATGCGATAAACTTTCCCTTTCGGGAAAAGCGTAGCCTCCACCTTCCAGTTTTAGAAAGGCTGCCATTGTTTCCTTTGAGGGGATCACGAAATGGTACTTCTTGTTGCATATCATTTGGTTTCCCCAACCTGCAAGATTCCATACAAACCAATTGTATAATATATATTTTTGATCTCTACATATAAATGCATAAATCTTTTTTTCCCCGGTTGAGTATGTAACTAGACGATGCAACATATTACATTTTCATAAAACGTGGAGTAACAAAACATATATTTTATCAAGTGAGGCTTGACCTAAAATCCTGCAGCGATGAACATCATCTGATCTCTATTACCATATATATTGTTTTTTTTTTTGTTTTATGTATAAGCATGCATAGATATATGCAAAGAAAAATGCGGTTCACAAAAAAAAAAAAAGATGCAAAGAAAGATGCTTAATTACATGTTGAGCTAGGTCATTTCTTACCAAATTTTCTGCTTATGATCTTAGTACATATATACGCATGCATAGATAGATATGAAAAATTGTATACACAGGTCACACAAAGAGAGAAGGGAAAAGAGAGAGAGGACGTCACCAACATATTGGCAATGGTTGCAACGGGGATTGAGAGAGGCTTCGATGGGCTCTTCGACGACAAAGAGAAGCACATAGAGAGGATTCGGGTGGCGATGAACCTCAAGCTGAAAGGACCAACTTCCCATGAGACCGGAACTCTCAAAGTGACCAAACTCAAGTAGCTTTCCGAGGTTGTCTCGAAAAGACAGCTCGTTCATCTCAGCTGGATGCCCTGTCTCCCCAAACGTCTTCAGCCTGAAAACCCTACTTTCACCTCTCTTCCTCTTCTTAGGAAGATGCTGATGATGATCTGTTCGGATCAGATTCGCCATGGAATCAACCAGAAACTTTGATTTGATCTTCGACAAGAGGAAATGATCGATTTTGGATTATATATATATCTTATGGGGGGGGGGGGGGTTTGTTATTAAGAAGAGGCCGAGAGAAGTGTTGAGGAAGTGTGTGTGAAGGGTTTAGAGATATAGTAGTCATTAAGATGACGATCACACAATTAGTGCTTTTTTGTGGTGAAAAGGAAAAGTGAGTGAGAGAAAGAGAAAGGGTTAATTAAAACTCTGATTTAACAATTGTTACTATTGGATTGGATGTTAGGTCTTGATATGTGCATGACTTGTAACACTAACAACTTTTCTTTCTTAGACATATATATACTAGTCTATTAAAAACATTCGAACCCTACTGATCATTCCCAAATTCTATTTCATTTATACTAGTTTATATCTATTTGTACACATATGTGTAATTGATCTTATGTGGCAATGTCATGCAAAAAGATCGAGGGTGAGGAGGAATGTCACGTGACTTGGGAACTATGGAACTATGAGAAGATGAAATAATAAAATAATGAAGACATGCATTTGAGCTTTTCTCACTATTTTAAAGAATCAGATTAACTCTGTGTTCCGTCAATTTCTGTCATGAGCTACCTGCACCTATCGTCTATTTATATATATACATACACTAATACACGTGTGTTGTATAGTTGGTGTTAGCGTCGTTGGACATATTTTTTCAATCTCGTTATTGATTTTGTCATAGTGTTGATGATTTTTTGCTACCACTCGTTTCAAACCCACATAATTAAACTTTGGTAGCCACTGATAGTATAAAGATAACGGATAAGGGTAGGGTTAGTGAAATGTTGATAAGTTGTAACAACTAGATTCGTGAAACAATGGCCAACTATATGGTTTAGATATATGTTTTCTTAATAAAATAGTTAGAGAATGGAGTTTTTTTATTACCCGACTAATTTTACAGGAATAAGTATAGCCGGCAGGTAATTCGTTTACCAATAATCATATATACGTTTTATGGTTTGAAAAGACAATTGTTATTAGTTTAAAGTTGTTGGTTGAATGGTATATATATAGTTTGTGTTCAATGACTATAAAGTACACTTAATTTTTTGGTTGTTACTTGTTAATCACTAATCACTTATTGATGAGGACTACAAAACAAATATCTATATGTCTTACCTTTTGATTTATAAGAAATTGTTTACTGGGATTTATTAGAAAAACTCATAAAGACCCGATAAAAATTATCTTAGTCCTAATAAAACACTTTGGAAGGATACAACTGTAGATGCAAGGTTTTTGTCTGATGAAGTGGCTGATTAATACAGGACGTGATTCAGGATGTTGATATTTTATGTGTGTCCTTGGGTTCTAGAAGACTTAAGAAAACATGATTGAAGGATGAACCAAAAGGGAAAAAGGACTATTTCATTGCTTGATGAAATTGGAGTTTGATAAGGAAAAGGAAAATAGCAAAAAGGAAAAAGTTTTTCCTAATGGAATTTGGAAAAGTTCTCTTATGGGATTTGGTATCAGAGCGGGTTCTCGATAGAGATTCAGTCTTGTTTCGAGTAGATCAAGGGTGAGGATAGTAGTTCAGTACGTAAGTCAGAGCTGATATTTGTTTCTGATGAAGTCATATAAAAAAGGCATGTCTATGACAAAACCACCGTTGTTTGATTCAGCTAATTATGGATATTGCAAGGTTCGTGTGCAAGCGTTTATTAGTAATCTTGATGAGATGGCTTTTGATGAGTTTGTTGGGATTCTTAAAGCTTTTGATCGCACTTACAACAACAAAATACACTCAACGTAATACAATATCATTAGGAGAATCTAATTAGGGGCCACTCAATACAATTTTTTTTTTTAATTTTCGAATATAAATCTTGGTTGAACTATATATATCTTGGTTGAGCTTACTCAATGTAAGAAAATAAACACAAGAAGTAAATTGGAAGTTTTGGGAACGATATTTTTGAACTAGAACTTGTTTAGTAAGATATATATTTAGTGTCAAAGATTTTGTAATTGTTCTGAAGTGTTTTGATTTTAGTTTGTTCAATTGAAATTTGCCAATAGTGGTAAATATAACGATAAATATGCGAGAGAACTACTCTAACTAAAAGGATACGTGTTGTTTCTTTTGATAGTTGAGAAAGGAACAACACACACGTAATGTTTGAATCCGACATTATTGTGAAAACCAACATGCATTTATATATATATATATACTGTATATATTAGTAAGTCTAGTTGAATAGATTTCACATATATATAATAAGCACAACTCTTTTTCATGTTCTTATAAACATTTAATTTTGTTAGTTCAACAACTTTGGTAACAAGTAAACCAAACATATTTATTGTTTGATGTATGATGTGTTTATATACGTATATACTTTGCATTTAACGTTAGAAATGCATATTGCAAAAGAGGAAAGGAAAAAAAAAGTCATTGTTCCACATTTTTCATATTTAAAACATAACTAATTATATATCATGTACATGTACATATACATTGAACTTACAACAAGTCAACAACAACCATTTTCCATTTATAAAAATTTAACATCACAATAGTCAAAAGAAAAAATTAAAAAAAATATCAAGCATCCCAAACGGAATATTATAATTTTGTTTGATGAGGATACATCCATCATCATTACTAGCCATTAAATCCAATATTATGATGGATTAACTTTATAATTTAGTCTATTTTTTAATTTATAGTCATTGCTAAATGGTCAATATTACAAATAAATCTAACGATGTCTTACAAAATATAAGTATATGAACATGTCCGTTCGTTTATAGATTAATTCAAACTATCAATAAATGTGGCAACAAATTAAGAAGAAGAAAAAAATGAAAAAAAAAAATAACATCCTTAATTTGATATAATTTTGTTTTTCTTAATTAGTGTTCTTCTTGCTACGGTTGTTTCCGGTGAGAAAATCAAGCAAAACATGGTTGTTGCATCTAGGGCATCTAGGATCACTGTCTAAAGAGATGATGATGTACATGATGCAATTAGGGCAACCAACGACCACCATTGATTTAGCCACTCCTCCACCTTCGACTTCCTCCGAGCATAACGATGACGATGAGCTCTCAGTGAGCAAAGAAGAATCCAACGACGGCGATATATTTAGTTTCAGTTCAAGTTCAAGGTTACTTGCAGCTTCTTGATTCATGTTTCTTGCCTTCCAAGAAGAGTACGTACTACGTACGGTATGTTGATATATTACTCTACAAAAATCACAGTAAGAAACACGATATAGGTTTAAAACCGGGGATTGCGTGACAAAAGTTTAGTTGGAGATCGATGCTCAATCAAAAGGTGAAGATGACAATAACAATATGGATCTCGGGGTTACAAAAGAAGCTTACCTTGGTGAAGACAAGTAGTAAAGTTCTTGTTCTTGTTCTTGAGATCTAAAGAGAGATTAGTTTGACGTATTCATGTTAGTGGGATGTTGTTATATATAGATAGAGATAGGAAGATACACGCAAGGTGAGAGAGAGAGGCTCTCATTGAATGTAATATTAATTAGGATTAGTTTCATCTAGCTTTCAGAATAAATATTCTTGTAGAAAATATAATTAACAAACAAAAATGAGGTGTTTGTAGCAATAAATGTGATTTGAAAAAAATAATACTAGTATGCAAAAAAAAAAAAAAAGATTGAGTATATGACTTGTGCTCTCAAAATTGCATTTATTACCAAATAGTATTTGGATAAATACAAAACGAGATATTTTGTCCTTTTTCTTAATTCCTCATACTTTTATATCATCAAAACTGAAATTCAAATGTAAAAGTAGACTATCCATTTGTTTCAAACTTGTGTAGTTAAATAGGTGTTGACAATATATATAATATGTAGTAAAATGGGTAGGTGATATTATAAATAAAAAATCCAAAAATAATGTTTTTCAAAAGTCTTATAGGGATACAATTTTCATAATTATTGTTGAAAAAATTGATTAAAATGGGTGACTAAGAATTTGGAATAGCTAGGACGCACGGCCAACAATGGCTTTTTGACTGTTAAGATTATTATTGACTTCAGATAGCGAAACAAAAGGAAGTAAGTATTTAATGAGTTGGTGAAAATTCCCATATGGGATTTGGTTTTGTTTGACTTATATATATATATACAGAGAACAAATATGGAGTTTGTGGCTGTTGTCTAATTATAGAGAGAAAGCTCTGACCGATGGAATCATGCAAACCATTTAAAATAACATATGACATTCGTATGACATAAGATTGCTTTTGTCATCATATGCAGTCAAAGTAAAATCTAACAACACAACCTAAAAAGTTTTGACTTTACAAAGATGAAGACATCGCTTGTGTTTCATGTGTGTTTCACTTTTTTTTTTGTAAGATAAATGATAGAATCAACCATAATAAGTACAAATATTACACGCACCCTAGTTCTCAAATTTTATTACAAGTACTTCCCAACATTTCTCATGAATAAGGTGATCCTCCTAATCAAAACATCATCGTCAAGGTTTTTGACAAGACAGAAATAAATTACAACAGTCTTTTTTTACGTACCATTATGGGTTATTTAGTAGAGTTGTTGTTACATAGAGGAAATATTAGTCTTCCACGATGTGTTTCCTCTCGAGTTCAATGAACTGTCTGTTTAGATGGGTGGTTTCTGTGGCGTTTCGTGTCTCGTTCTCTCCTTTGCATCGCTGTAACTGCATTTGAAGAATTCGTACAAGGTCATTTAGCCTCTGGATATGTCTCTCTTGTGACAAGATGATCTGTAACCCATTAATTAACAAAAGAAGAGTTCGAAATTGTCAGGTCTTCCATTTGAATATGTATGTATATCAAGGTTCAAAACTATGCCGAAACTTGAGGTTAGCATACATCCAATGGAGCTTTAAGGTTGCAGCTTGCAAGACATAAGTTTCTATACTATAATTTTCTCCACTAACGTTATTTATTTGATGCAATCAGGGAAAACACAACAGACGGCTGATACCAATATTTCTAAGCGACACTAAGAACTCTGATCAAACACTGATGGATTCCAGACATATTCTCTAAAGAGGAAATGAAGTAAAGATATGAAATCTAATCCCATGAAAAGGCTAAAGTTTTTTCGCAAAAGTCCCATGTAACTAGATGTATTTCATTGCCAATAAAAAGCCAAACCAAGGTATAGAAAAAATGGCCCGTGATGCAGATTTAGGAATCTCTAGAATCGGAACATATTAAGGCAAGTAACTCTTTATCTCTTCTGAAGTTTACTAATCTATAAGTCACGATTCCAAGACCAATACAGATCATTCACCTACAACTGAAAGCACATCTACTATTGAGGACACACAGAACTTCCAAAAAAATGATTTAGAACACAAGTAAGAAGTACCTTCTCCTTGACAGCTTCTTCCCTCTTTGCAATTTGCTGATGTTTCTGAGACAAGCTAGGAGCTGCATCAAGCTCAAGAAGTGGTTGCCTCCATTCAAACTGAGAAGTGACTATGAGTATGACCAGAAGAAACACAAGCATGATCGGCCTCGACATTTTCTCTATTCAGCTCCTACAAAACCTGTTCCAAATTCACAAAAATCAATAACAATACCCATTTCATACTACCCCAAACACACATATCCAAGAACACGCCTAATTAAAAATAACTAAAAAAAAACTCACCCACCAGTTCAAAAGTTTCTAAAACAGAATCAAAAGTAGAACAATTCAATCAGTGTAAGATACTACTATAACAAAAAATGCAAAATCCATCAATGGCCTTTAGATTTCAACACGAATCCTCAATTCTTCTTTTAACTACTAAGGACAAACCTAAGAGCTACATACAAAATTGATTTCCTCAGCACCACCAAAACGAAATTGAAAATAATCTCCTTACCGATCGAATTTGAACAGCGAAAGCAAACTTCATTATCGAAATCCTCGTCTTCCCTAGGGTTTTTGTTTCCGGCGTTGCGCGAAAATTGAAGAAACTGATCGATTAAATCGATTTAATGGAGTTGTGTAGGAACCTTGTCTTCTTCTCCAGAAATGGGTACTCGTGCAGGAGGAAGAGAGAAAGAAAAACGCAAAGCAGAGGTTTTAATGGCGGCGAGAAATCTACAAATCTTAGTGCAAACCGTCTGGAAGAGAAAAGAGAGAAGAGTACGGAACTAGGAAAAGTACTAATTTACTAAATTGCCCCATCATTTATCAGTTCTCACTAAACCACACCAACACTTTCTTCTGTGTTCGAGATTTCGAATTTCACCGGTTTAAATTGGTAGATTTGGAGTAGAATTGTAGAACATAAAACTCAAGAAACATAAACCGCCTACACACAAAAAAAAACATCATCTATATTTTCTTGCAAACATCGCATCGAGAAGGAACACACTTAGGAACACTGGTTTACTACTTTTCCATAAAAGGTTTATTCTAGATAAAACAACATTGCTATCAGAGCAACTACACATATAATTACGTCCCATCGTGCCCTGTTCACTGATTTGATCGAGTATAGACCCACGAAGCAGCTCGATAATGATTCCGAGGTATCTTGTCCTTTCTTCTTCTGTGATGGCCTTTCTTCTAACAAAGAAGACATTTGTTTGTCTATCACATTCGGCAAAGGAAGTACCCTTATCTCCATTGATGCTGATTCAAGTGTTGGGATTTCGTTTGGTGTGTTCCCTGTCTTCACCGCTTCATCAAGATTGATGATTTCGTCCTTCAGTATATCCGCAAAGAAATCCTCGTCATTATGCACCTAAACACACAAAATTGATTAAGAACGAGAATCAAGAACCACCATCCAAAAGCTTTGAGACTGGACTTTACATGGATATATCTGTCGTATCATATTTACATGGAAGAGTGTTATCAAAAAAAACATGTGATTACCATCTTCCATTCATGCGCTATACATAACGTATAATCCTCAATGGTTGATCTTGTTCCCCAATGACAAATGGGGAAGAAAGTAAACAAAAAGAAGGTGACAAACCTGTAGATTTTCTGATGATTCTGCCATCTCAGCAAGTAATTTCTCCCCTGACTCATCTGCTAGGTAAAAATCAACCAAGTTGTCCCAATCAGATGGGCTCTCTGAACTAGTAGCACCATTTTGCAAAGTAACATGTTTCTCGGCTGCTAAATTTGGCTGTGGTGTCTTCTGACTTGTACCACTATGATATTCTTTGTTCCTCCTGACCCGGCAAACAACCATAGCATCATCCTAGAATGTACAGATATTAATCAATCAACTCAAGCCAAAGAACAAAATCCTAAAACGTTACAGTATTCCTCATCTAAACGTCTTGGAGACTCTTAAAATCAGAAACACTATTGAAGTAAACTATTTTAATTTCCTCAAAAGTAACCACTCGAGTAGGCAAAGTCGCCTCTTATGTAATTTTAATAATGAATTTAAGACAAACAAACTCTTAGGAACAGTTTACCAGAGATACTCCTTTCATGCAGTACTCGTGCATAATCCAGTCAGTTCTTTCGCCTTTTGGTGCACGACCAATATGAAAAACAAGCGTCCTCTTTGTTCCAATGACCTCAGAACCCGACTTCACATCACGTTCTTTCCCAGTGGCTTTCCAGTATCCCATCTTTGTTGCTCTCCTGTTCTGTGAACCGTGTGGATACTTTTTGCCACGGGCACAGAAGAAGAACCACTCGCTATCAGATTTAACAATCGACTTATCTGGAAAGAAAGACACAATTTTTTTTTTTTTGTCAATTTCCAAAGCCAACAAAAAATAGAAACACTAAACATAATCTAAGAGAAGGTATCATGGAGCAAAGACACAGTCCTACAATTGCCAAAGGTATGGACTTTTCGAAACAGGACAACGCTTACAGATTCAAGTAAGAGAGAACCATGAATTAAAGCAACCAAAGCATGTCACAGGCCAAGATATCGAATTCTACACCAAGCAGTATATAAATAAGACGGGATTAACCGAGTCATATCATACTGAAATCATAATTCACAACTTCAAATTGATCCAAAAGTAGCTTAAGTTTCAACAATTCTGTCTCCAGATATCAATATGTACCCAAAAAAAAAAAAAAAAAAAAAAAAAGAGAAATAAATTAACTAAAATAATTCAAAACGAAGTAAACGAAGACACACATCCCAAAAAAAAGAATGGATCGGTTGGAAGACAAACCGGGCAAATCCCAAGGCTCGAAATTGTAAATGTCAGCGTCCGGTATAACCTCGACGGACCTCTCCAAACCATCCATCTTCCGCTTCAAGTAATACGAAATCAGCTCCACATCAGTCGGCGAAAACTTAAACCCAGGAAACACCGTCGACGCTTCCACTGACGCCGCCGTCGCCTTAGACACCCCAATCGCCTCCGCTTCCATGAAGGCTCGCGCGTTCACTACAGTCGCCACGAGGAGCGTTAATACTCAACTCACCGCTCACCGGGAATTCTCCAGAACCTCTCTATCTAACGGAATTTGTTTTTTTTTTTTTCTTTTTTTTCTTTTGCTTCGCTCTTTCTCACTTACTTAGCTTTGAATAGTTTTGCTTCGATTGGAACACTTCACAGGTGCACACATATGGGTTTTTTGCATACGTGTTTCCCCGGTATTGCTTAGTCTACGTATAAATGCCACGTCACTAAACCTAGTAAAGATTATGGTTTTATTTCACTTTAGACCCTTAATGTTTTGACGCAATCTCAGTTTACGACTGTTAGTTTAGTTTTACTAGTCGAAAGACACTTGAATCAGTGACTGACCAAACAGATAACCAAATCAGATCATACTGAAACCTTTTCCTTTTCCTAGTTAGATCTAGACCTTTTTTAATTATTATTCTATTTCTTTTATTTATGGAATTGTTTAGTTAAAATATTTCTATAATCTTAACCAATCGAAAAAGTCTAACCATAGAAAATTGTAATTCGTATACAAATTGTTCATATTTCTATTTTATGTCACGAAAATACGAAACTGACATTTAAAAAAGGGAAAATTATAAAAAGGATAAAATACGAAATTGTCAATGTTTGTTTTTAAACCCAACCCGGATGGTGAACCGGACTAGCTTCCGGGCAGAGCTGTCGTTGTGTTTTTGAAGGCCACAAACAAAAGAAAAAAATAAAGATCGTTTTTCATATGTAAAAAAAACACTACAACTAATCAACTTGGAGTTTCGAACATGTATCACCTTAACCGTTAGACCACAAGAATATTTTCAAAAATAGAGCCAAAACTATTATATAATATGCAAGGCAGCAAGCCACTGCTTTATTGGCTTAACCTTTGGACCGGTTTTGTTTCCGGGTCACCGAATCTTTGGGTTGACCGGGTTCGACAACGGGTTAATTAATTAAAATTTATTTATATATTATATATTTTTATTAATATAAAAGTATAAAGATCATAGCATATTTAACAAAATTTAAAGTCTAATAATAATAATAATAAAGTGACTAAAATTTCAAATCTAGAAGAAGTATAAAAAAAAAACAAAACACACTAATAATTTAATAAAACATCACAAATCAAAACATGAACAATTAGCGATATATATTTAACATCAGATAACCATGAAATTTTAAAATAAAAGAGAAAAAATAAAAAACTAGAAAAATTATGATCAACTACGAAAAATGATGTGTTATGTGTTGATTGAGAAGGTTAAAAAGAGTTTTGAAATAATTAAAATATTATATTTTACTCATAATTTTTTTCAAAATCATAATTTAATTTTTTGACCCGAGACCCGGTGAGCTGGTTGTACCAACCGGGTCGCAGGTTAATAACGAAGTTTTTTGGATTTTTGCGGTTTTGCGATTGCTGGATTTTAGCACAAAACCCAAACCGGAGAAATGTCCGGGTCACGGGTTAACCGGTCGGACCGGCGCGTGAAAACACTGGAAATTGTTGACACGTAAGAGAAAAAGAGAGTTCAATCTCATGTTTAGTGTAAAAAGGCGGCCTACTACTAAACTATACGAACCAAAGAAAGATACTCTGCTAGAATACCAGAATCCACTCATTTCCTCTCTCTCTCTCTCTCTCTCTCGTTCTCTAATGACCAGTCAGCAAGAAATGTCTCTCGTCACGGCGGCTCCTCCTGTCAACGTTGATCAAATCTTCCCCGAGGTTGACATGTCCGCCGCCGACTCCTCCCTCTTCGTACGAGCTACCGTCGTCCAGGCTTCGACCGTCTTCTACGATACTCCCGCCACATTAGGTTCTCTCTCCTTTTCTCTGAATTTTTTTTTTCTTCTTTTAAATCTGAACTGTTTCTTTCTGGAAATTTGATTCACTTTTGATTGGTTGATGCGATGAGAGAGTGAGGTCAATTTATCTACTGGAATTTTGTAGATAAGGCGGAGAGATTGCTTGCTGAGGCGGCGGACAATGGTTCCCAGCTCGTGGTGTTCCCGGAGGCTTTTATCGGCGGTTATCCTCGTGGCTCTAGCTTCGAATTGGCCATTGGTGCTCGAACTGCTAAAGGAAGAGATGATTTTCGCAAGTACCATTCTTCCGCCATTGATGTTCCTGGTAAACTCTGAACAGATAGTTCGATTAGCTTATCAAAATTTAGTCAATTAGTTCGAAGTTTTTAGCTACCTCTGATGTGGTTATGATAGTATCGTCTTCTGAATTTCATTTTCTTTGAATAATCTGAAATTGCAGAGAATGAAATGATTAAATCAAACATTGTTGATGAGGTTAATGATGTAGTATTAAGTTTACAGATGAATGAGCTTGAACTTGAGCTTCAGTCTCTACTTATAGTGTTTCCTGGATCACCAACTGTGTGTAAACTGTGAGATAATGGATTTTATTTATTCATCTGTGCATCTTTTTTCCTAGGCCCTGAAGTGGAACGATTGGCGGAAATGGCCAAGAAGTACAAAGTATTCTTGGTTATGGGTGTGATAGAGAGGGAAGGCTATACGCTGTACTGCACCGTTCTTTTCTTTGACTCACAAGGTCAGTTCTTGGGCAAGCACAGGAAACTCATGCCTACAGCTCTGGAACGTTGCATTTGGGGATTTGGAGATGGATCAACCATCCCTGTTTTCGATACTCCCATTGGGAAGATCGGTGCTGCTATTTGTTGGGAAAATAGGATGCCGTCTTTAAGAACCGCAATGTATGCCAAAGGTTAGTCTTTCTTTGGCTTCCACAGAGAGACAATGTAATTTACAGACTATTTGTGAGTACTAGATGTGCGGCTTGTGATATGTTGCATTGTTATGATTTTTTGCAGGCATTGAGATCTATTGTGCACCTACTGCTGATGCTAGAGAAACTTGGCAAGCATCGATGACTCACATTGCTCTTGAGGGTGGATGTTTTGTTTTGTCTGCTAACCAGTTTTGTCACCGGAAAGACTATCCTCCTCCACCGGATTATATGTTTTCCGGTTCAGAAGATAGCCTAACACCGGACTCTGTTGTCTGCGCCGGTGGAAGCTCCATCATTTCACCTTTGGGAATTGTTCTAGCTGGACCAAACTACCAAGGAGAGGGTCTTATCACAGCTGATCTAGGTAAATTACAAACACTTGTTTATCACTTACCTTTCTCATTCTTACATAGGAAGAAAACCAATCGTATCCTGAAACCCTCTGACAGATCTTGGGGACATAGCACGAGCCAAGTTTGATTTCGATGTGGTCGGGCATTACTCGAGGCCTGAAGTGTTTAGCTTGAACATAAGGGAGCATCCAAGAAAAGCTGTCAGCTTCACAACTTCGAAGGTAACCAAAGATGAATCCGTCAATAAATAAACAGACAATTGTAAAAGACCCAAACTTTCTCAATAATTTGATGCCATTGTGTATATGTAAATGTATATTAACAAACGTCAGACTTTTGGATTGTAATCATTATCAAATCCAAACCGTTATATTGAGTTTGTCTTCTTACCCTCGTTTAAACTTGTGGTTTCGTTTGTTCCATGTTCTTCAAATGTGTGCATAAAACTTGTGATTCTTGTGACTGTTAGGATGAATTATAACTAAACCAAAGAATGGTTCTATTTGGTTTCAATTTCTATACTTAAACCGGATTCGAAGACTAAATGTCTGCCCATGTTTGAAAGTTGATACGATCTGTCCACTGACAAGTTGCTAGTTGAATTTGAATGTCTACAAAACAGTGATTTGAAAGGTTCAATGTATCAAAGTTTATGGAAAGACAAAGGAAAGACAAAGAGATAGACCAGACACAAACTTGATAAGATCACACTGACAAAATATCTTCTTACCTATTTAGTAGAATGTTTTTAGCATTTGACCTTTCTCATACAATATATAAACGAGAGAAATTGTTTATCCTAGTGGCACCAAATAATGCTCTCACTCTACTATTTGTTAAGATAAAATTCTTGGCTCCCAAAAAGCCTTTGATTTGATTTGATATTATATTTAATCAAAATGGTTTATTTTTACAAACATAATGGTTCGAAGTCAAAAAAAATAATATTAAGTGGGCTGTGGGGGACATAGAGCAAATTCTGATTGTTATATGCATTTTTTATTTTCACAAGAATTTGGCCTATTACGGTATTACCTAAGAGAAGGGCCAATGAGCCATTTTTAAGTTTTGTTTTTCATCTTTTCACCTTCTAATTATTATTATTATTTTTTTTTTTGGTTAAATTTTTACGGGAAAACGAATTATAGGGGAGAAACGTAACGGATAGTTGAGACAATATCACATGGGAAGATGGAACGATGCTGTCCGAGAGATGTCTACACAATAATAGAGAATAATGTCTTTGTTTCGTTTTGTATTAACAAACAAAATCTTTAAACTAATCCCCTTCTTGAGTCAATTATTTATATCACATTCACATTATTGCTTTTTTTAAAGAATTCTTCTAATTGTTGTAATTATTAGTATGATTTAATTTACAACAAAACGACGTTTACATGTCATGTGTATATAATCATCAATGCCAAAAATATATAATTTATCAAATATTTAACAACTCAAATAAGTTATAATACAATTTACCTTTACCTCCAATTTAGTCCAAACATATGATTTGATTGGTAATTCCGATAATAATCCTCTAATCCTAATTGGATTTGACATATCAACTAATATAAATGTAATAATAAAAATATTAATTACACAAATATGAGTTGTAGCCAGAAAAATGTAAATATTTCGACTAATTGGTTTAACATGCGTGTATTAAATTGTAAACGACAAAACATAAAAAAACAAAATCTTGAATTAATTTTGTTTTTGAACTTAAATCCAAAAACCAAATCGAATAAATTACAAATAAATAAATATGTATATATACTATTTTAAAAAATTGATACATTTTGTTCTCGCCGGCGCTAGTGCCGGTGTGTGTGAATCACACAAACTCAGAGCTTGGTAGATTCCGATGATTCCACTGCTCCGTTGACGAAGGACCGTTACATCTCACATTCGAAACAATGTACTCTCTCAGAGTCTTTAACGATTCATCTCTCTCTCCATTCTCAACAATCACTGATCTCTTCTCCACAGGATCCTCATCATCATCATCGTCGTCTTCATCATCTCCGGAGACACCAAATCTCGTTTCCCTCCGGTGATCAACATAGCCCCACTTACTTCCACTCTCCATATTCAACTCTATAGACTTAAGATCACTCTCCTCCTCTTCCTCATCATCATCATCCTCATCAGAACCAGAACCATCAAGTGTCTCTAAAACCCTACGGATCTCCGACGATACTTCTCCATCACCACCATCAAAAACCCGCCGGAGCTCCTTCTTCAGCCGTTCCACGGCGGCGTGTTTCTCCTCGAACTCATGTCTCGCCTCCGTAAGCTTCATCTGAACTCTCTCTTCCCTCAAAACATCAGCTATATGCATCATCTCTCTCTCTTTCTCCATCTCCTTCTTATCATCTCCGATACCTTTGGCTAGCTCATCACAAACTTCTTCAAGAACGTTTTTTGCTCTCTTCTCTCTCTCCATCTCCTCTTTCATCTTCCTCTCTGTTTCTTTAGCCTCCGCCAGCTCTCTCCCTAATCTTCTGTTCATCTTCTCCGTTCGTTGCCGGAGCTTTCTCTCAACCGCCGCTTCTTCTTGTAGCCTCTCTATCAATCTCCGTTTCTCCTCTTCCTCCGCATCGAATTCACTCATCAGATGCTTTAGAGAAGATCTTGCTCTGTCTAGTTCGCATAACAGAGCAGAGTTTAAACGTTTGTTTGCTGTCTTGTGATCATCTCCTAGCTCACCTATACGTTTTAAGACCTTTACGAGTTCTCTCGACGTAGTTAACCCATCGCTGACATTCTTTAAACGAGCTTTCACCTGAAATTTAACTAATCAGATCTTTCTTCTTCAGCAAGAAAAGGTTTTTTTTTAAGGGTTAAGAAAGCAAATCATACCGAGCTTGTATTGATGGTTTTGTATTCGACTAGTTGTAGCTTCTGAGGATTTGTTGATCTTTTACGAACTATATCTTCTTCTTCGCGGAGATCTATTCTCTGTCAGATTTTTGACTGTCAAGACAAAGAATATGAGGAAAACAAAACAGAGGAAACTTGAAACTGAAGCAAACCCTAACCTCTGAGCTCTGACGAGAAATGGGATCGGATGATTTCGGCGGGAAATCAATGGAAGAGAACTCTAATGGTTTCTTCGCTCTGTTTCTCGATGATTTCTTGCTTCCCAAGTAGTCTATATTGGAATTTACAGGAGGGTCTGTGCCGTCGTTGATCTCCCAGAGAGTCGCAGCTAGCTTTCTCGCCGAGACGCTGCTTTTCAGAAACTGATTATCTATAAGAAGTTTCTCCGGCGAAAAAGATAAGAGAACAGGAGTTTTAGCAGCGGTAATGGACTTGACCGGAGTCCCTGAGCCACCGCCGCCACCACCGTCATCTTGTGCGGTTGTTTTCCCGGCGAAAATGGAGCGTTTCAAACGGTTTTGACGAGCAAGAGAAGAAGAGGAAGAAGACGAACCACCTCTCTTCCTGATCTTGCAACCTTTCCTCCGTTCCATGATTATTATTATTATAATAGAAACACAACACAATTGTACCAAATGAGAAAAGAATGAGAAAGAGGGGTTTAAGAAGTAGAAATGTTTGGTGCTCTTTAGGAGAAGTGGGTCATGATGATGAGTAGGTTGATCATCTTTCTAAGATCAGAGAAGCAGTTTCTGGAAGATTTTGTCTTTCTTTTGATTTGAATCTCTTAAGGAGACTTTAAAAGTGAGTGAAAGAGAGAGAGATAACACAAAAAAAGAGAAAGTTCAGATGATGTTTTCTTTTATCTTCTTTTTGCTTTTTTCTGTTGAAGGAAGAAGAAGAAGAGAAGACTCAGATTCTAAATTCAGAAGTTGAAAAAGAAGGGTTTGAATCTGGGAAATTGTGTTTTGATTTCTTGGGGCAAGAGAGAGAGAGAGAGATGTGGAGGAGGAAGATGAAAGATAGAGAGAGATGGAGACAGTGTGAGGTGTAGTGTGTGTTTTGTTTTCGTGCGTTGTCTAATTGGGGCAATGTAAATTTTCTTCTCTTTTGGACGGTTCATGAACCCGAGTTTCCCAAATTTGTCAATCATTTTAGTTTATCAATATATATATTTTTTCCATAATCAATAACAAATCTTGTTGCCGCTAACTCATTAATGCAAACAATGACTTGCAAAAAAAGGTATCATGGGATCCATCTTTTTCCAAACTGTAGTGCTTTCTAAAGAAGAGTTACTAGACATCCTTTTTTTAGATCACGATTTAATTTTAACCTGGTTTGATCGGATTAGACCGGATTCAATCTACTACTCTTGCATAGGCTTTTCTTTTTGGTGGGGGGGAAACATATATGAGTGTCAAATATAAAGACAGTTAATGTACTATCAACAACCTCTATGTTATGTCAAAATCTAACTTTGTCTAATTGTCTTCAACAAGACATAGACAAGATACTTCACATTCTATAAAAATCTTGAAGTTTAGTAATTTTAAGATTGTTAATCAAAACCTAATAGTTCCTAAAACAAACTTACGAATTACTTATTACAATCCAATCCAAAATTCACAAAAACTCCAAACCAAAAGCAAAGAGGTGAAAATTTTAGGAAATGTGGGAATAGAAAATTTGTGATCTAGTGTTTGGCATATGAAAGAGAGGCACATGCAGAGTACAATAATAATAATAATAGAACATCCCAAGATATGCCTTCTCTGTCAGTCAAATCAAATCCTTTTAACTTCTTTTTATATATATATTTTGTTTGAATATTAACAATTTTTAAAATAGGATTTAAAACGAGTAGTAAATAATTTTTCAATAATATGTGAGGCTAAGAGAGGTCCTACGAGGCTACGATGGATGATGATACAAGAAAAATAAAACATAAAGATGAACGGCTCTAAATTAAAATAGGTCCTACTCTGTGTTTAACTCTCTTTATCCTTTTTTGAGTCTTTGACTTCGACTTGCAAAATCACATGGAGAAATTGACAAACATGTCATACTACAATTTTTGCAACTATTCGAAATATTTTAACTACTCTTATAGCAATGCACCATAAAGTCTCCTCTTCTTACCATTAATTTCATAGTTCCAAAATTCAAATCATCTAAATTTCTACATTTATAATAGTCTACGTGAAAAATTAAAAAGAAGTAGAAAAAACAAATAAAAACTTGTTACAGTTTTAGATAGGTGATACTAAAGTTTAGTTTAAGATTATAAATTTTTTTTTTCCCTCTAAATCAACATACTGTACTTTGGAAGTTTGGAACTAGTAGAGTTTGTTTACGACATCAGATGGTTTATGTCGGATGGGTCAGCTATGTAATTAAACAATAGGGCAGACTCACGAACATGGTCAAAATGGTCCCATGGTCTAGTGGTCAGGACATTGGACTCTGAATCCAGTAACCCGAGTTCAAGTCTCGGTGGGACCTCTTTCTTTCCATTTCTTTTTTTTGTTCCAACTTTTTTTGGTAATCACTACAATTGTTTCGAAATTTGATGGCTCAATCTCAATGACAACTTTGTTAAACCAAGTGCCTTTCACACAAGAAATCCAGATTCTCTACAAAACTAGAGCTTCTCAAAACTACAAAACCATTTTATGAAGGAGATTGAAATCACTAAACATTTGTTCCTTTTATATGTTCGTAAGTCTTAACAATCAGATAGTATATCAAAGTACTTTCACCCTAGCCGTTTGGGGCTTTAAGACATAACAGTCCCTTGTCTCTAAAGTGTGAACACTCTTCTGTTGAACCACCGGAGTTTCAGTTTGTTTCCCGGTTTTATTCCCACTTTGACTCTCCTCCCAACCCGATCTCAACTTCCATGGGAAGATCAATCACTACACTTTTGCTTTGGTTCTTTTCTGTTTTCTTCTTCTTATTCTTCTTGTTATCTATCACTCTCACCAGACCTGTCTCTTTCACGCTGCTTCTCTTCTTCTTCTCAACACTGTCTTCAGAACCCTTTGACACTTTGTCCCAGGAAAAGATTTCTGCAAAAGAGGTTTCCGCATCATCGATAGCATCGAGTTCCTCCTTTGGATTAGCCCTTTTCTGTTTCTTCTCAACATCATCTTTGTTACTTGGGGGTTTCTTCTGTTTATCTTCTTCCTTCTCTTCTGTTTCAACTTGATCTACATTTGGGTTGCTCTTTGACTTCTTCTTCTTGCTCTTGCCATCTTCTTCTTCATCTTCTTCTGACTTGTTTCTCTTGGAGCTCTTCTTGATTTTTCGATCTTCTTTTGATTGTTCTTCTTCTGCTGATTTGTTGTGACGAGCATCAAAGGTTTCATCATCGGTATTAAACCGGGTATGCTTTTCTTTCCTTGAGATTTTATCTAGGGGTTGAGCGTTGAATACATTCACTGAAGGGGGGAGCAACTTTCTCACCTGCAAGATTAAATCATTTTCCCTGATTCTTATTTGAAATCCCCACGCATGAATCACTAGTCACTATCGAAAATAGAAGTGCAAAGAATGGTTTTTACCTGCTTAACTGACTTATCGTTATCAGAGATCGGGTTTCCTCGAATATTCAAGTTTCGCAAGCAAGATAGTGTACCCAAAACCTGACATTTTGAGGAACATACAATTTTGACAGTTTATTATTAGATCAACGCAAAAAACTTGCCACAACCAAGATAGTGTACCCAAAACCTGATATTTTGGGGACTTTGTTTTCTTTTTATCTGAATTACAGTTTACCTCTAAACCAGAGATTTTTGTGATCATGTTGTTTCCCACATCCAAATTCAGTAGTCTTTTGTTGACAGCTAGTTCAGCAGGAAGAGCCTGAAGAGTTAAGCGTAAATGAAATAACCATTAGCAACATAAACAGAAGATTGTGGACAAGGCTGGTGTGTCCTGTAAATTTTATTAATGGAAGAAAGATCACCTTAATCTCATTGTGGGCGAGTCTTAGCTCTTTCAAATCAGAGCATGACTTGAGAGAAGAGCCAATAGCTTTTATTCTGCAGTTAGACAAAGAAACCTGAAATCGGTGATTAGACAAGGATCAGTTTTAGTTGTGAATCCAGAACAGGAGAAAACTTGAGATTACCTTAGAGAGTTTTTTCAACTTTGAAAGTGAGTCACCAATTTCACTGATAGGGTTCCTAGAAAGAACTGCATAAAAAAACAATCCATAACGAAACAACAAGATTTAACAAGATGAAAAAAGTGAGTTACGTTGAGAGAATAACATGTTGATCTAATGTAAGAACTAAGAACGTACCAAGACTGTTTAAGTCTTTCAGTAGGTCTAGCTTACAAATGGAGGAGATTTCATTGTCTGAAACAAGAAAAGCAATAGAAGACTAAATCATCAGTACTCGGTAGTAAACTCGTGGATGCAAATACGAAACCGTTGATTGATTTTGTGTCTTAGAACTCACCGTTCAAAATCAAGGCTCCCAAATTGACAAGAGAAGATACCTCATTCATGGATTTGAGCTTATTCTTTCCAGCATTTAGCACCTAATACAAAATGAAACCATAAAAATAAATTCAGTTTAGATAAGTGATGCACATCTTCTTCATATGCAAAAGAAAACAATCAGTTTCAATGAGGATAGAGGGAAGAGCATTGAGAACCAAAATATAAAAAAAAAATTGATTTCAGTGGAACTTACATTAAGCTTAGTTAGTGTTTCAATTCCATTTAAGCTTTGTAATTTATTCTCCACAACTGAAAGCCATTTCAAATTCACACAGGACTTGAGTCCCTAAAACCAATGAAACATGAACATCATAAGCTATGGCAAGTAAAAAGAAAAAAAGACACCACTTTTGAATGCTATAAGGCTTATCAATCAACCTGAAGATCCTTGAGATTGTTGAAACGAAGGTCAAGCTTCTCCAAGTTCTTGAATTTGCTCAAACAAGAAACCTAAACGATATACAATTACACCAATTAGGGTTTTCGTATCACATTTTCTAATGAGAACAGAGTATCCAAAAAACAATACTAACATCTGTGAGAGCTTTGTGGCCAAGATTAAGTTCCTTTACGGAATCTGGGTCACTGGTCTTCTTCTCTTTGAGGACTTGTTCAACGGTTAACGAATTCATCTCCGTCTTCTTCCTTGTCACAGACAAAACCCTAGTCTTTTCGTTCAGAGCCGTCACCTTAATGAAAGATTGCCTCTGTTCCCGAGTCCCGACCGTGCTCTACTGCTATGTTTTTACCGGAAACACCCAACAGTTTCCTTTGTTTATAAATTTGGCCTGTATATTATTATAAGGATCAGGGACAACCTCCTAAACACTTAAACCCTTATCCCTAACTTAGTAGTACTGTAGGTATCATCAGGGACAACTCTTCAAAACGAACTAGAGAGAGTAGTTTAGGAAGCTGTGCAGATCGCTTTTGGGCTTCTTGAAAATTTGGTTTTGTTAAATCACATCTTTAATTGACTTGGAACAAGTCTTGGGACCAATGTGATCTAACAAAACCAAAAATTCAATCTCAAGATGGCCCCAAGAATTGTGGTCTCAGTTTCCACTAGTTAGCACCACAAACAAAAATATTATCAACTAAGAAACTTCATATTAGAAATTGGCACACAAGCAATATGAATTCCGGAAACCAGTTGTACACCATTGAATTAGCTAAAGCTTTCTCCATGTTATAGCATTACAAAATAGTTCAAAGAAGAACCCGCAGAATATTTTGCCAATCTTTTAATGAAATTGTTCGCTGATTAGTGTTCTCAAGAGATGTATTTTTCTTGTTGCTCATGCAATAGCTTTGCTGATGATTTGGCATCCAGGTAGAGTGATGTTACTTCCTCTATATCAGCCTGTCATAAATTAAGATGAAGGATTAACAACATACTCATTCATATATTTTTATATTGCTTTATTGTTCTAGGATTCACTGGTAAAGTACCTTGCATATATTGTCACGTCCATTCATTTTTGCAACGATGCTGGCAGGAGAGAGAAGCTGCACCGCGTGCCTGAAAGTGAAAGGTGTTTAGTATAAAGAAGAAAATAAATCTAGCATAAAGGAAGGAATGATGAATGTTTAGTCTCAAACCTTAGTGATGTTCTTTGCCCAATGTCGCCAAGTAGAACCAAGCATTCTTCATCCACAGTTAATTCTTCCACTTGCGCACGAATGGCTATAATCTGGTCACATCACAAATCTATTAGACTCTTGTTAATCAATTAAAGTCCAAAGACAAAATGACGATTGATTAACCTGTATCATTTCAGAGGGATTATAGATTTGAGTCCGGATAATGACCAACCGATCCAACAGGTCAATGGGGACTCCATGGGGACTGGGCATATCAGTTCCTCTGCACATAAAGTAAATTACAGTACTAAGTTAACCAAAACTCGCAAGATTTCTAATTTTTTTGTTTTGTTTTGTTTACTGAGGTCTAGCGAATTACCTTACGTTGCAGACACCTCTATTTGTTGCAAATATCACTATTGGAGATAATGAGCTCTCAAGAGCGCGGTTCAAGTACGAAAAACACTCCATATCAAGCATATGAACCTGAAATTTGATCATTTACGAAAGTTATTCTTACTGCTCCAGAGTCTCAAGCAAGATCAATAAGGTGGAATGAGAATAAACTTATTTAGAAAAAGACCTCATCGATAAACAGAACACCTGGAACAAGCTCAGCCACGCCTTCATCGATATAACGGTTCACAACCTGCAATTAGCATAACAATACCATTTAACAATATTAGACCTAACAAGGAAGAGGTAAGATTCAAACAAAAATCAACCTCCATGTTCTAGTGAAAATTACCTTGTTAATTTCTTGCCTAAGCTTATCAGTTATCTCGGTCTTCCGGGGTTTCATCATTTGACCCATCAAAGAAAGTATATCCTGGCCACCTTGAGGTCGAGCATTTGCTGCATCCAGATCTTGGAGCGTGACATCCTATCCACAGTGACGGAAATTTTAGAGTTTACCATAAAAGAAATGTACAAGTTACAAGTATACAGCCTAGTAGAGTAATTAGTAGTCATAATAAGCATAGGAACTAAGACTAAACATCACATACACATTAATCAAAGAAAGGTAAAAATCAATAAAGATGATAATTACTGCTACACAGAAGGGATAATTCTTGTGATAAGCGGAAGTCTTAGAAGGTAAACCTGCACTATCTCTTTCTTCTTGTGAACCTCTCCTTTGGGTAATGGGACATATTCTTCTGCTTCCAGATCAAACTCAGTGGCAAATGCATCACTTCTACCTACCCGCTTGACAGCTCCACTGTTTGCTTCGATATATATAACATCACCAACAGCTACCTACAATTAACAAAAATATAAAATGAAATCAATCAGAATGAATAGCAACTTCACTAGCCACAATTGTCCAGACAGAATGAAATAGTTAGAAAACCATACAGATTTAGAGAATACTAGGTTTTGAAACATGATTGATGAGCATAAATTTAGGAAAAAATACAACATCTAAAACATAAAATCACGTCCAAGAATGTACAGAACTGACTTTTTCCTTAATCAGGGCATCGTATATAGTGGGATCCAACTTCAATTGTTTGGTTCCTTTGACTGTCTTAAGTGCAATGATAACATGGCTGATGCTTTTACCATATCCTCCAGTGAGGCTTTCAGTTTCTTCTGGGGTTAGCTCTGTGACCTAGAACAAAATGCAAAACATGTCAAAAATCTAACAGCTAGACACACTGTTGCATAAGAACACAGCAAAAGTAAACCGAAAATAGCATCACACCTCCCCTTCATAGACTTCTTTGGTTTCCTTGATACGTAGACCAATTGCACGTCTAAAATTCTCCATGAGAACCTCTGTTTTCTTAACCTCTGATGAGTAAACCTCGGACCCAACCATTGGACAGAATGGAACCTGCAAGCAAGAAACAGCCCAGATGACATAAGCTGAAAGTAAAATGAAAATGCTTCATACCGTGTAAACCATATCTGATGAAGCCATGTGGAAACATGAAATAAAGCAGATGCAAAATGAATTCATCCAAGATTACCTTACTTCCTAGCTCTTGGGAAATTCCAAGAGCCAATGCTGTTTTACCGGTTCCAGGAGGTCCAGCAAGCAAAAGAGCCTTGCCCGCCATTTTCTTCTGCTTAATCATGTCCACTACAAGACCAGCTGCCTCTCTAGCCTCAACTTGTCCGACAAATCCAGCCGCCAGTGTTATAGGGATACCAGTTGGCTAGAAAAGGAGACACATCATTAGCAACGAAAAATGATGCTATTAGTAATGGAAAGAGATCACACTAATGCTTGAGAAAATACAGTCAATCAAGGAACCACAGATAGTCAATAAAATCACAATGCAGTGTCAAAGTAGAAGAGCAACATCAAGGCAAAGTACGGGTCTCAACGCATCCTTCAGTACAATATTTACTGCAATCAACTATAAACAAATCTTGCTGCATTCACAAAAGTCGAACCTTTTAAAAATGAAAACTAGGATTTGGTTGCGCAAGAACCGAAAACAGTCACTGAGAGTACCAAACTAAGCAAAGGAGCTTTAAAACCCTAAAAAGCATAGGACTTTATAAACCCCAACTAAACCCTAAAACCCGAGCAAACTCCGAGCAACACAAGCATACTACTGGAATCTACAAGAATCCAAGAAAGAGAGAAGAAGAAGACGAACCTCGAGGCCAAGGCCTTTGATATGGGTGTGAGTAGCAATACGCTGTTTCTTAGCGGTGGACTGAATTTCTTCAATCTTCACTTTATCCATCTCCGTCAACCGTTACTGTGATCTTTTAGGTCTGTTGTTGTATTCTCCGACGATAACGACGGCGACGGCGGAAAAAGTTGAGCTTTCTCTTGAGTTTGCAAATTGACAAAAACCTCTTTCTTTCTAACAAGTTTATATGTTAAATCTTGGTTGCAACAATGGGGCTTATATTCTCTTTCATTTACGAAATCAACTCTTCACTTTCTTCAAGTAAAATATGGAAAGTAAACAATTGGAGAAAAGGAAGTTTTCTTTAACAGGAGTTACAAAGAAAAGTTAAGGGGCGAAATAAAGAGGACTTAATAGTCATAAATGTAAATTAAGGGGTGAAAATAAAATATACGAATAATAAAAGGGTCTTCGTTTTGGTAACTTTTGTTTCTCTCCATCAACAACAATAAAAGATAAGCTTCTTCTCCTGAGAAAAAAACCAGAGGCCGTCGCACTCTCGCCACATGGAGACTCTCTCGATTCCCGCCGCTTCTTGGTTTTCCGGCGGCAACGTTCCTCCGTCGCACTCGAAACTTTCTCCGCTGTGTCACCTTCGGAAACTACCGAACAGGAATTTCGCACGTTTGTCCGCCATTAACGCCGCTTCTCGTTCTGGTTACAATCTCTCTCTTCCTTTGATACAATGAAGCTTATTTCCTCATTTTTTCTCTCTAATTCCTTCGATTTTGTGGAAAATTTCATGTCTTTTGGTGTTTATTTGTTTCTTTAGTGAGTGAGCTAGTGGAGGAGGATGTGTTGCAAATGTTCTTGAAAGACAGAGAAGAAAATGGAGATTTCATTTCTAAGGTTTCTGATAGGCTCTGGTTAAGAGACATTCTCGAATCTATTGATCTTAGTTCTACTTCTAATGGAGCTGCCTCTTCAACTGTTGGACTAGATACTCAGGTAATCAGATATGTGTTAAAGGATCTGCTTAAACAACTAGTAGTTTATTGTATTGTGTTGATTTCTTTCAAATGTTTAAAAATTTTAGTTTGCTTCTGAGGATTTAACATATGTAGTTTGAGAGGTATATGATCCTGTTGCAATTATGTACAATTTCGTGAGTACCTACACCTTTGTGAAATGTAGTGTTAATTTGTGCTTTCATGAAGACAACAATCTTCTATTTGGAGTTGTTACATTGATTGGTTGGTATACCTTCTTAAATAGTGTCTTTATATTGATATGCAGGAAAGTTCAATTGATGGCGTAGATGAGGAAGATGAAAGTGGTTTCTTGAAACTGAAACCAACCCAAGAATGGATTGGTTGGGAAAGTGATTCCGCCCCGATAAACAAGAAAGCTCTAGCTAAGGTGGATGATCTTTTTTTTTTAATGTTCTTGTTCTCATTGCAGTAACAATTTGCTGTGTATAACCCATTCGGTTTGATTGCAGGCACTACAGGATGATAGCGAGAGAAGGAAGAAATTTAACATTCTGAAATATGAAGCTGTATGAAATTTCCTTTCAGTATGTTTCTTAATTAGTCTGCCAGCCAAATCTTTTATGATTCAACAGAACATTTTATTGTGGAATATGGCAGTTCATTATTTGACGCCAGCAGTTAAACGATATGATTTAGTTAAAAACTTTGAATCGCTGATTCTTTTTCTTTATATTGTAGCTGAAACGGGAACTGATGTATCTGTCAATTGTAATTGGAACCGGGTGCAGCGGATATTGCTTACTAGCTCTATCAGCCCAGGTAAGCTCTCTCATGGGTGTTCTTTTCTTTCTTCGCAAGGTCTATTATATGAATCAGCATCCCTGAGAAGCATAGTATTTAACGGGGATGATGGAGAAATAAAAGTGTATACGAGGCTCATTTTGGCTTAGTACAAGGCACTTTTCTCTGCTGTGTCTCTTTAAATTGACCATATAATCGTATCTGTTTTTATGTTAAAGAGTTCAGAAGTGCGCTTTGAATAGCTATAACCAGTTTAGGCCATGGCTTCTCTGTGTTCCCTCATTTAAATAGTCATGAGAAAATGTGTTTGAAAGATAAATTGTGTCATCTGACAGGCTGCTGTCAGTTATGCAGTTGGAGTTCTTTTCAGGTTAGTTGTCTATTTTAGTTGGTAAATTCACATTGTAATATATAAGTTCTGCAACATGCTTGCTCGTGTATTCCTAACCAAATCTGGTTCCAGTGCAGTTGCTTGTACCTTCAGCTTTTGTATGGATACGCTGATGGTGTTTCACGTGAAGTAGTGCCTGATATCTTCCTGAAGAGAAAGTCTAAAAAGTAAAGAGCTTGAGAACATAGTAGTCTGGTCACGTTCTGTATGAGGTAGTTCCTGTTACTCACATTGCTTTAACTATTGTTTGTATTTTCCGAACTCAGAATCGGGATTAGAAGTGAAGATCTTGAGGACTTTGTAGAGAGGACCATCAGGGGCAGCGGCATGGCTCTCTCTTCTCCACGCCTGGTGATTCCAGCTGCAATTTATGGTTTGTGGGTACTCTCACACAAGTATTTCCAGAATGACTTGTTCGACTTTCAGGTAAGCTATTCTAAGCTAAATTGCTTATCTAACTTATGATCCCACCTCAAATTCAGAAAAAATCTTTCATATGTCTTCTTACAATTTTCACCGTCCTTAACAACATATCACTAAAGAGGAGGATCCTTTGCATATTCTTGTCAGTGTTTACCCAAACATTAGCGCCCCAGAGCTTAAAATCAAATTCTTTATAAAGTTTCCATCTCTATATTTGTACCGTCCTTCAGGATCTTCAAGTTCTGTTTGCAATGGATTCTGCTAAAATTGCTTTCTTTTGACATGTTCTTGTGACTAGTTTGAACCTTTTTAATCTCCACAATGGTTGCGACTTGCAGATAGTTCCAGCCATGGTTGGTTTGTTTGTATACAAAGCCGCAGCTCTAGTTCAAGTGTACAGAGACAACCAAGATCTTCAGTTCATCTTCCCAGATGACTACTAACTACAAAGTTCAAAAGTATAAACAGACCTTCAGAGATAGACCAGGGAACCGCGGATCTGTGAATTGTTCTGTACATATTTTCAGAACAGAAGCTGAACTCATCTGATAATTCTGAGGATGTAGTGAGGATTGTGGTGAGATATATAAATCAAAACAGCGTTGTTTGGCTTTTCTTTAAGACAACCTTGTATTTTTGTTTTCTCCTTAATAAAAATCGCTTGTTTCTTTACTCTGCGGAAATTACTTCCCTGATATTCATTCATTCCTATATTTTCACAATTTTTGTTGGACATACTCTTGAGCGAAAATGCATATATGAAGATTCGAGTAAAATAGGTCAGTGCCTGTAACCAGTGCATATTATACACACTCTGATGGTCAAATTTCATCGAGAAAACAATACACACGTATAAAAATAAACTTTTCACTTCCTTTATAATAACACAAAGGCCACTCCGATTGAGTAGCAGAGATTTTTAGTATTTGGCCTATTGGTAAAACATTATCAGCAAAACTTAAGGGCAAACTAAAGTTAAATGACCCTTTTAAATGGTATAGATAGTCACCTTTTCTCTCTTTCTGCACAACATCTGATTCTCTTAGGCTTCCGTTTCCCCAGCTTTGGACAAAATGTAATTCCGCAAATAAATGTTACAGCAAAGAAGAGTATAGCATTCAAGAACGTAAACTCCATCCACGTGCAGCCAATTCACGTCGTATTCTCGTAGCTGCCTCTGCTGTGTCATTCAATGGCGGATAACTCCAACTTTCCGACATCTATAAAAAACCATTAGAACGATATCAGTGAAGATATAGATGGTATAACAGAACTCTCACCAGATATCCCTCTAATCTTTAACAGGATCCATTGGCATGAAAAGAAAAGGGATAACAGATAGCTCTACCATGTAAAGATACTTACATCTTCGAAACCTGTAAATGAGCGGACAACTCCTCGCTCCCTCAAAGACTTCTGGAAATCTGCAATCTTCCATTTACAGTGATCGGCTCCAACAACATACACTGGTTTCCTGCAGCAGAGAGGGTATACTCAGATTATAGTTATAAGTTGCTGGAAAAAATAAAGGATTTGTCTCAGCATATTATGATACCCGGTGCTACATGCTTCGCTTATCAGACTGACAGAATCTGCTGTCACCACAAACGCATCACCCCAAGCTAGATGTCCCATGTACGGATTTGGTTCTGAAGCAGAATTTAAACCATAAGAAACTTTCGTCAGTGCATTGTACTTGTGTACAAAGCTGAAGCAATAATTTGCTATGCATTGTCGGTACCTTGGCCATTACAAATATAAACTTTAGGGTTATCTCCAAGTTCTTTGAAGATTACTCTTGACACCTGCTTGCATAGTAAAGTACCAGGTGAGGCTCGAGAAGAATATAACTGTGGGTGGAGAGAAAAAAAGTGTCAAAAGACCTTGGCAGGGGTTTTGTAGGAAAGAGAAATTCTGACACTTCCACAGGTAGCAAGAACATTAAGAAGGGAGTCAGTTAGCTGCTTTGCGAGGTCTGCTCCATACCGACAGTTACCTGTTCAGAAAGACAAAACAAAACCATGGCAAAAAAGGTTAAAGCTTCAATATTCAAAAGATTTAGGCACTCATGTGTTATATACTGGAAATGTAAGAACGCCTTCTAGTAACTTAAGAGTAAACAGAACGTACTTCTAGGCCATCCGATGTTAACCACAACTAACGGCTTTGGAAGAGCAGCAAATTCATCATGCCAGGCACTAGCTGCTTTACGGAGTGAGGCATAATCGATCTGGTGTAGAGCTCCAGTAGTCAAGACCTGAAAATAGGCACGCATGGTACTTAAAAACAAAATCACCACAAAAAGATTCATCTACTGTAATTCAACACAGAGAAATGAATTGAGCAAAGCATGGTACTTAGAACTTACAACATGATCCTGAGGAGGTTCACGTGGAGTTATCCACCTACGCATAAATTTAGGAACCTGCTCTTGTGCTTCGGGAGTTAGAGGATAGTAGTCATGACGAGGTGTGATCACCATGTCAAACCTATTTAAATGTGATCTAGGATGTTGTATCTACAAAATGAAGACCAAACAGCACTATTTTAGATTTCAACAGACCAGGAAGAAATTCTCACTCACTAGAAAATTACAGGATATAAATATACTAAATCAAAGCTAAAACTATGCCTTAGTAAGTAACATAAGAAACAAGTTAAAGCTTATAATAGACCTGAACCACGAAAACATTTTCAGATGCCAAACGCCTTATCGAGCTAGCAATAGAAATTGTATCTCTTCCACATGCAATCACTACCAACGGGCCTTCCCTGTCACAAGGAAATAAAACCAATTAGCGACTTGTGCAATACGATTCCCAAACCATGGACAAACAGAAATTCGTGATAGAGGAGGGAAAGGCATACATTCAGGCTTGAATTTTATACTTGCAACTCATAAAAACGAAATAGTGTCCAATTGAGCAAGCATCACAAAGAAATTTCAGAAAGATTACATACTTCTCATAGGTTTGACGGGCCATATTTACAATGCTCTTCACATCAGCCTCCAGAATAGAGGCCAAACCTACATTACCACCATTCTCTGAGGGTGCAGATGTGATGTATTTACTTTGTCTAGATCCAAGCATCAATCTGGAGTAGAGGTAAATATGTCTGAGGATAAAGTGCAACTTCTTGTGAAAACCGACTGGGAGCCAGTGCAGCCACTCATTTATCCCTCCTTTAGGCCTGGTCACTCGCTTGCATCAAGAAAAACAGATAATCTCAGCGAACTAAAACTCATGTTAAATGTACATTTACAGGAATGTCGAAACCATTGATGATCAAGAAACAAGAGATGCCAGACACAGAAAACCAGTCTAATATGCGTCCAAACTTATCTAACAGCATATCAAAAACTCCACTAACACTGTTCCTTCTAAACGAAATTCAGTAGTTGCACCAGCATCATGATCCACCTAGGGCTAATGCTACTATCAAGACGTAGCACAACTCTAACATGGTGCCAAATTGGCACTACTTCTCTCTCTAAGGAAAACCCTTGATTCAGTCCTCTCATATCTGCCAAACCTTTAATTCCAGTATCCAGGCTGTTTTCATATTGTTAAAATAAAGTTGACATCCCACAACAAGAATCTTCCATTTTTTACCCTAAATTTGCAAAACTTGAGATATTGGGAAATTTACATATCCAGTCAAGTCCTTGTTTCCATCAAAATTTAAATAGTTCCGCCTCCTCTGAACATTGTCCATACATGCTAAAGAAGTACTAACATTTATGAATTGACTACTCCTAACTAGACCTAACAAGCTCCGAACGTAGAATACATTGGCCATAGAGCCGAAAGCAATCATCAATCTCACTACCAAAGCACATGCCTAGAAAAACCAGATGTAGGTAATCGAATTTTCGAGTATAGTATCAGTGATATAGTTGAAGAAATGAAAGGAGATGCTATAAAAAAGAGTCTAGAGCCTAGTAGAAGATCAAGCTCACGTAGAGTAGATGATTATCCGCTAAGCCGAGCGCACGAACGAGACCGATACACTGATTCTCGGAGCCAGGGAAACCGTTACCGATGACGACGGCGCGTCTGACGACGTTCTGAGGTCCGCCTTGTTCGAAAATATCAGGTACACCGGAAGATAAACTGGGTGGATCCGGCAATAGGATTGGCCTCATGCCGGTTCGATTTCGAAATCTGATCAGATCAAAACCCTAGAGAAACCACACCGTCACGATTGATCTGAGGAACGAGAGAGAAGTCGTGCTTGCGAATTGCGAAAGGGTCGCAGAAAGTGATTATTTTCCTTTTCTCCTTCAAGAGAGAGCTCTTTACGCAAAATTGCCAAAACAAAAAGGGATTAATTAATTAATTGAACTTTAATTCTTAAAAGTTTAAACTAATTAAACTAATTTTGACAAAACAGAACAAAACATACAAATTAATATCCCTTCATTTTTGTTTAATTAATCAAATGTTAAATTATAGGGTATAAATGTCAGATTAAACAAATAAATACAATTCTGCAAAATAACATGTTACGAAATTGTCATCTCCAGTTTACGTAACCATGGTTGAAGCTCTTCTAAGGCCCAATTTGTGGAAGTTTTAGATGGAAAAAGCCCAAACCGTTATTGTTTTGACTTCTTGTGCCTCACTCACACTCCTACGAAGCAAGTTTCTTTGACTTCTTGTGCCTCACATTCTCATTGTCTCCTCTGCACATAGAACCTATAACAATCTGAGCTAGAGACGTTGAGCTATTCAATTGTAAGCCAAGATTGCATATTGGAATATCACCATAGTTTTCATCTCTTTGATCGATCAATAAATCTTGAAGACTGCTTGCGGAGTGGAAGAAACATTGTTGTGTCATTGTGTGGTATGTTGTCTGGTTCCATCCATATCTAATAAATGATCTTGGCTCTACAACAGCTCTTTGTTTTTCTTTTGTGCAGTTGTAATTGTGGTCTCTGTGAACACATTTATCTAAGCTGTGTTGCAGATTTATCAGTCATAGTATTTACAAAGATGCTAGAGATATATCTCAAGACTTGAGAGTAACGTTAGGAATATGAAATTGCAGAAATGATTATCTTAGCTGTTAACACGTTAGTTGTTGAATTTTTTAAAAAATATATTATTGGGGTATTTTTATACTTGTATTATATTCATTGGTTGTTTTAAGATGATAAGATAATTTAATATGCAGGTTGTATACAGTTAGGAATATGTAAATTATTCAACTATATATTATAATAGTTTAGTTGAATTCGCAAAACATATGATGGTAACATTTAAGGTGGTTCGTTCACACATATGGAGTGCCACCTTGAGATCTCCAAAATATAATACAAACAGCATTCGAATCAGGAAAGATCGAAAACAGGAAAATGGATCCATCACACAAAATACTACCAATTCACAAATACCCTTTGACCATTTCGTCTCGTTTTGTTAATGATACTTGTAGAGGCTGCAATGTAAAAGCTCCCATCTATGGTGGCTACCGTTCCAACGAGCCTTCTTCTGCTGGTTTGTTCTTTCACAAAGAGTGTGCCGAGGCTCCATCAGAGATCCTTGACCATCCTTCTCATCCTCAGCATCCTCTCAATCTCCACAACTCTCTACGGAAACCATCTAAATGTAATCTATGTGGCAAGTCTTTTTTTTCTCCTAGTTATCGGTGTTCATCAGAATGCGACTTCACCGTGGATCTCACATGTGGGATTAATCCATTGCCGGTTACTATTGAACATCCAAAGTCTCATCATCATCCAGTTGTCTTCTTGAAAGAACCAGCAAAGCCGGGCCGGTGCCAATGTCAAATTTGCAAGAGTTATAACCGTGGGTGTTCTTATGCATGTCTTGAATGTGAAGTCCACTTTCATGTAGAGTGTGTCAATCTTTCACAAGAGGTGAATCATCCTTCTCATCCTCAACATCCTCTTGAGTTACTCGTATATGAATCACTAGATAGTGATGCCGAGAAGACATGTCTTCTATGTGGAGAACGACCAGACAAGGTGCTTTATCGTTGCTCGATATGCAACTTCAGCATATGCCGATTCTGTGCAAAAGATCCTCCACCTCTTGCTATAGAGCATCATAAGACGCACGAGCATCGACTTGTTCTCTTATCAAGACAAATCTCATTTGAATGTAATGCTTGTGGGATGCAAGGTGATCGAAGTCCTTACATGTGTATTCAATGCGGGTTTGTAGTCCATCGGACTTGTATCGATTTACCACGTGTCATTAACATCAACCGTCACGATCATCGCATCTCTCTCACTCATCATCTCGGTGTTGGGTATTCGAAATGTGGGATTTGTCGCAAAGATATAAGTCAATACAACGGGGCTTATACCTGCTCTCGTTGCCCCGGCTATGCTGCTCATTCACTATGTTCAACAAGAAAAGACGTATGGGATGGGGTAGAACTCGAAGGGACCCCTGAGGAGAACGAAGATATTGAACCTTTCAAAGTAGTGGGGGATAACTTGATCAAGCATTTCAGTCATGAAGAGCATAATCTAAGACTCAACAGGGACGATATCAATCGTGACGAAAGCTCACGTTGTGAAGCATGCGTCCTTCCTGTGTATTCCGATCCGATCTACAACTGTGAGGAATGTCGTTTCATTCTCCACGAGAAATGTGCTAATCTTCCAAAAAAGAAACGACATGTATTCAGCACAAAACCATTCAGACTATGGCCCAGACCACCACGTACATTTGCTAGCAAAGATTTTAGATTCCACGATGTTTTCCGTTGTAAGGCTTGTAGAACGAAGTCAACTGGTTTCAGGTACGTTTCTGATTGGTGGGTTCTAGATGTGCGTTGTGGTTCGCGTTCTGAACCGGTCATTCATGATGGTCACAAACATCCTCTATATTACGAGAGGAAGAAGAATCACTGTTGTGATGCATGTTATACACAGATAGATGATCATCTGCTTTGCTGTGATACTTGTGACTTCGATCTGGATTTAAGCTGTACCGATTTACCAAAAGTGGTAAAGCACAGCTGCGACGATCATCCTCTTTCCCTATGCTATGGCGAAAATGCAAACGGAAAATATTGGTGTGATATTTGCGAGGCGGAAACAGATCCAAGTAGGTGGTTCTACACTTGCTCTGATTGCGGGGTTACCGCACATATCAAATGTGTACTTGGAGACTTTTCACGTCTCATGCCAGGACGCATCATCAACTACAATAAAGTTATAGTTGAAGTGGTTCCTAACAACCATAGTTCTCGCCCATTATGTGCAGAATGTCACTCAAGATGCAGAGCCCCTATCATTTTAAAGCTTTGTGATCCATACACTGGATACATTTGTTCCGATGCATGTGCAGTGGCTATCACTACAACTAGGAGAACAACTATATAGCTCTTCATTTCATTCAATCGTTTCTCTTAAGTTTATTGGATGTAAGAGTTTCTTTCCAACTATCACCATGTAATACAGAGATATATACATACAAGGGTAAGGGTTTAGCATTTCCTGTGCTGAACCTATTTATTTACCTTTCTCTTCTCTAATGGTTTCTAAACGATTATTGCAAAACTTGCAATATGCTTTCGACATAAATGTGACAACAATCGAAAATAATATTTCCTAAGTTCCTAATAAGAACTTAAATCTGTGACAAAATTGCTGAAAATATAGTAGCAACCAATATGGTTTAATTAATAAGAACAGAGACAGGGATGAAGGGACCAAATATTTGTAAATCAGAAATGTAGACCAAGATGAAAACTCGAAGTCATTTTTAACAGCATAAATGACAAATATGTGATGTACATTGCAAATGCAAGAATTATAAAGAAACAGCAGATTGACTTTTGGAAATACAGAGAGCAAACTCACTCAAGTGACTAAAATCTACAAGACAAGGCAAGTGTTTAATGAGCCTCTGTATCATTTTGACATTTACAAGAGTTACATAAGCGAGAGGATCGTGACATGTAATCTCAAACTCACTGTCACTATCATGCAAAAACCAAGACTGGATTTTGAAAGGATGCGACTGAGTTGATTTACAAAAACAGTGGTCTGTTTCGGGTTACCTAAGATAAGGCCACCAGAGATTAAGATCTGCATGACGGTAAAGTGATGCCTCCACAGAAAGAGGCGATTATTATGTACAGGACAAAAACTATCAAGCACGTCAGCAGTACCCTGTTGAACACAAACAAGGATAGTCAAGACCGAAAGATTATAATAATTATCTGGATCACGTTGAATATGAAAGCATCAAAAGTTCAAAACAAAACAATTATGAAACTTCTCTACGCAGAGTTGGAACTAAGGCAGTATAGCTTCTCTCAGCCAATAATCAGAATATCGAGGAGAATTTCCCAAACTTAGAACTAATGTATCTCTAGTTTAAAAAATAAATTAGTAAATTATGCTGCAAAAAGGAGAGTTAAAACACATAGACTGTAGACAGGTGTATCTTTCTTAACCAAAATCAACGAAAAATAAGAGAATCTAGAGATGACAGAGATCCTTACAAGAGCTTAGCGTTTTTCATCCAAAGAGCTCGGCGGAGGCGCTTAGATTGTTTTTTGAAGTGGAATGCACTATCTTGCATTGTTGCTGTTTTATCAACAAGAAGCTCAATCCTATCACCTCTCTCCATTATTTTCTCAATGTTCTCAACCATGACTGATCGAATCTGTAAACCCCAAAACACAAAAATGAGAAAACTAACTTTTTCTACCAGAGATAACAATTAATGGTACATAGGATCCCATGAACCTTGGAACAAACTGAAACACTTCCACCAAAGATAGGTTAAGATAAGCATGTGAGCTAAAGCGACACAATCATACAACCTTCTTGATGAATAACATAGCAGTTTACCTCACTGACTTCTCCTCTAACACGATTGAGAGTATCAACACTAGGATTACTAGAGAAGAACTCCATCTGCTGATGCAAAACCCTTGAGAATTCATCATTCATTGCATAAGCTGGAGCCTGATGAGCAACTCTTCCGTAGTTTTTCATAAACCTCATATGAATATCTTCCAAATACGAAAATGGAATCCTCCCTATAAATCCAATCGCCAACACCAAAACATAAGTTACACAGAGTAGACTAAATAATTCGGAACCAATTACAAAGACTTCAAATCCATGGCAATTGGCATGTATCATCAGCCAAAGATGAATTCGAATTCTATTGAAGTCAAACTATTCTCGTCGACGTTTACAGTTGAAGAGCATAAGTCTCAAACAAACCCCAGAAATTTGGAGAAGATGAAATGATAGAGAAATTAGGATTCGGAGGAAGTTAAAGGGGAAAAGGCCTACTTCCGAAGGTATCATTGGCCATACAGAGAAAGGTAAGACCATCAGATCTAAGAATATGGAAGATGTAACGGTCTTGAGAGAAACAAAGTCTTTCATCGGCGATTTCCGGCGAAAGCTTCTCGAGGATCCGTCTCACTACGGCGCCTGTGTTTCCCGTAACGGCGCTGAATTCCGCTAATACCACCGTACCTCTCGCCACCACCGCATAAACAATCGCCATCGGAGAATCTTAAATCGGATGAAGTCGACGTTAGAGGGTGTGGATCACGCGCTCCGGCGGCGAGAAAGTTCAACGTCGGCTTTGCTGCGATCCAAGCACAGACTTTTTAAAATGCGAAGTTATAGGTTAGGAGCTAACGTTTCGAATAAAACCCCTTCTTTATTGTTACGTTTTTAATTGTCACCTACATATTATTTTGTAACATTTTAAACCCTTACCAATTGAATCAGCAGCTTAGGCAAAACTCAACGAACCGAACCGGCCAGAATTACGCTTTTCGGATTCGTTTTCGGATACACCAAATAACCCAATCGGGTCTTTCAATTTAATTTCGATCTTCCGGTTCGGTTCGAGTAAAATTTAATTAAAGCACTACGTTTTAAAAATACCGGTTGCGAGAGTCTCCACTGTTGACGAGCTACTTCGACGAGTCTCCGGTGAAACAGGCGACTGAGGTGAGCCTCTCGTGCTTCTATCTCCGACGAACTACACAGGCGAGCTTCTCTCTTTTCTAGTTTGTCTCGGGTTGAGTCAAAGATGAGGGTTATGTTCTTGAATCTGTGTTCTCTGCTTCTCTTTCGTCAGTGAAGTGTTTGTTGCATTATAAACTAGGGTTAAGAATTGGGTTAATAATAACAATGGCGGGAGTGTGTGTTCTCTGTTTCCGACTGAACAGATGAAATTTTCCGATTTCTATTGTGCTACCTGCTACGAGCTCAGTGATTAGACTGTTGTTTTGAAGGGCTTTGCTGTTCTCTACTGAATATTCATTGTGCTTTGAAATTAATGTGTTTTTTCCTTTGCTTCTGATCAGATTGGTGTCAGTCTTTTTCTTCTTCTCCAAGACCATGGTGTTTGGACAAGTAGTAATAGGTCCTCCTGGATCAGGCAAGACCACTTACTGCAATGGCATGTCTCAGTTCCTCCCTCTTATCGGCAGGTTCCATATTCTTTCTTTTTTCTCTCTCTTTTTGGATCTAAGAAAGAAGCGTACTTTTGTTTATGTACTCCTGTTTGTATTAGTTGTTTTCTCTGACTTTAGCTCTGTGACGTTCACAAAGTTTCAAACTTTAATTTACAAGATTGCTAAATTCTAGAAATTTTAGCTATTCATGTTTACTAGATTTGTAATGTTCTTGCTTCATCTATTTCTTGCAAGAGAGATTGATGAAGACTTCTTCGAAAGTATATTCTCTTAACATTGTGTTACTTTTTTTGGCAGGAAGGTTGCTATTGTTAATTTGGATCCTGCAAACGATGCATTACCGTATCCTTTTTTACACCAAAATTATAAAAATGGTTGCAATTGACGAATAGCCATGGAAAATTCTCCAGGTGTGAGTTGTTTCTTGACATTGATCTTAGTTATGAGTGTGCTGTGAATATGGAAGACCTGATTAAGTTAGAAGATGTTATGCAAGAACACTCTCTCGGTCCTAATGGAGGTGAATTTTACCTTCTTCATTCTCCTTTTATTCTTAATACTTTTATTTATCTTTGGTCAAATCAATAATATTTCTAATGAAACAGGTCTTGTATATTGTATGGAGTACTTGGAGAAAAACATTGACTGGCTGGAATCGAAATTGAAGCCTCTTCTGAAGGGTTAGCAACAATAAGTCTCTCCTTTTTGTTTTAACGTAATGCCACTTCGTTAAAGTAAAAAAGTTTCAAATTTTTTGCAGACCATTACATTCTCTTTGATTTTCCTGGGCAAGTGGAGTTGTTCTTCATTCATAACAGTACCAAGAATGTTCTCACGAAGCTGATAAAATCATTGAACCTTAGAGTATGAGCCGTTTCATACTTATTACCTACTTGCTAAATGAGCCTTATTGAGAGTCTACATATACATATATCTGATGAACTTTTGTTTGTTTGTTTGTTCTGCAGTTAACTGCTGTGCAACTAATTGATGCACATCTATGTAGTGATCCCGGGAACTATGTAAGCGCATTGCTTCTCTCCTTATCCACAATGCTTCATATGGAACTCCCACATATCAATGTCTTGTCTAAAATCGATCTGATTGGCAGCTACGGGAAGCTAGGTATCTTTTTCTTCTCTCATAACATCGATCTTGCAAAAGTATAGCATGGACTCACTAACTACCATCTCTGGTGTCATGTAGCTTTCAATTTAGATTTCTATACCGATGTTCAAGACTTGTCATACTTGGAGCATCATCTTGGTAAAGATCCTCGTTCTGCTAAGTACAGGTTGATATAAAACATTATCTGAACATACATGGAACGTTCAGTAAATTCCCGCTTAAAATGCACTCTCGATATCTGATGAGTTTGATGGTCTTATTACAGAAAACTGACGACAGAGCTATGTAGTGTCATTGAAGATTACAGTCTTGTAAATTTTACAACCTTGGATATTCAGGTTTAAGATCTCCCCTGCACCTCTCTCAATCTCTCTCACTCTGTGCAGGCATCTCATCACTATTTTGTTTTTGTTTCCAGGATAAGGAAAGTGTTGGGAATCTTGTAAAGCTCATTGACCAGAGCAATGGATACATATTTTCCGGCATTGATGCAAGTGTGGTTGAATACAGCAAGATTGCAGTTGGTCAAATTGATTGGGACTATAACAGATATCCTTTTTCACTAGAGTTTTGATTTTTCAACCATTTGCTTCTCTCATCAGTTGCTCTGATTTTTCGTTTTACTTCTACAACAAAAGAAGTTGTTTCTTTAACGATATAGTTTTCACAGTTGCGGCTGTGCAAGAGAAATACATGAAAGACGAGGAAACTCAAGACTGAGGACTCAAGACAGAGCTTGAAACTTCCAAAGAAGGCTGAAGAATCTGGTAAAAATCTCTCTGAACCAAACCATGTAAACATTTTAAGCCTAAACAACATTGATGATTATTACACAACTTTACCGGTTTTGGTTCATTGAATATGCTAATTTCGAGACAAGTAAACTAATCATAATTGATCACCTTTGTACCTTTTATATTTTCTGCCTATCAAAATTTATTCTGGCTCACTTTTTTCCTCAAAGTTGAGTATGCTACAACGTCAAGGTTTTTGACTTTTTGAGTTTCTGATACACACGTGCTCATGGCTCCCCACATTCTCAAGAGAACATCTCAAATGTCACCTTTTGGGACATTATTTATTCTTTGCTCAAATTCTCAAGTTACAAGGTAAAATAAAAAGAAAAGAATCTTTCAGGTCATAGAATTCAAACTAACAATAAGCAGTTAAAAACAACTTTAAATTTTGCATTGATTTATCAAATCTAGATAGCCTTCAAGACCAACTCAGCGGTTCCCATTCCCATATTGATTCCGTTAATCCACCTTCAACAAAGTCTATATTCGTGGAGAGATCAACATGTTCACCACCTGAAATCGAAGTTTCTGGTGAGCCTTCAACACGAAACGATGATGTCCCAGCTACTGCAACATCACTTGTAGGCATTCTCTCTGTCTGCAAAACTCCAACAGAAGGACGTCTATCAAAAGCTCTCGAGCTTCCTGTTGTTATGTAGACACGACATAAACTGAACTCATGTCTTAACTACAATATTGCAAGAAATCCAAAAAAAAAAAAAAACTTGTTAGTTAATTAAAAACTTTAATCAAGAACCATTTAGCTAAAACTTTTATTGTACCTTAGGTATTGTGGACGAGTTGACTGTTTCGTCAACGGCTTTGTACTCATTCATCTTCCATTTTGTTTTTCTTCCGGTTGGTGCTTTCCCGGTGTAAAAAACCATAGTTTTCTTGACTCCTATCATTCGGTTGTCTACGGAAAAGACTGGACCAGGTGATCCAGTTGCTTTCCAGTATCCTGAACCAGTGGTTCTGCTCGGTCTTCCTCCTCTAGCTTCGCGTTCTTGTCTTGGCACGAAGAAGAACCATTGCTCAGTGTCTCCTCGACATCTCTCTCCCGCAATATCTGCATATGTGTGTAAGTTTAATAAACCAACACTACCATATACTATAGTCTTTGTGTTATGCATGAGTCATATCAATCTGAAAATATTTGATTAAACCGACTAAACCGATCTATAATCGGGTAGCTATTTTTCTAAAACAAGAAAACCGAAGAACACCACAATGGAAAAGTTTACGTGCTATAAAAACCTAACTTGTGTTATGCCCTAAAATGACTAAAGTAACATACTAACATGATGATGTTTATGATGCCATAGTTAACAGCGGCATTAATCTGAGTGAGGTTTAACGTACTTGGAAGATGACTAGGCTCGACATCAAAGACGTCAAGAACAGGAATGACACGGTGCACCGAGACATCACTCCTTCCTTCGAGCTGGTTTCGTAGGTAGAACGCAACAAGTTCGTCTTCCGTGGGATAGAAGCGAAACCCAATTGTAACCTCATCAGCCATTTTTTTTTTGGTATGAGATCGACAATGAAACACACGGCTAGCTAGCTATATTATTAACTTAAATGTCATGGGGACTCATTGGCATTAAATAAGTTTGTCGAAGTAGAGATTGGTTTCTCCGAGTGAAAGGAGAAAAGTTCTCTACGCGTTTTTAGATTTTGTTTTAATTCCCTTTTTGTACGAGAGAGATTTGGGAACGACAACGATCTTTTTTGTGTATGTGTGTGTGTGTAGGTGTGTTAATTTGATTACTGTTTAGTAAACTTTTAAACGTACGAGAGCCACGTCTATTGAATAAGTCAATCCCTCGTCTTGCCGTCAAGTTTCAGTCTCTTTTCCTTAGGAATTTCTATCTTTTAACTTTTGCTTGCCAATTTTTTATAAAAAATTGTTCTTTCTGAAGCAAAAAAAAACTCAGTAACTTTCTAGTTTCTAGGGTTAAAGAACATGTAATGCAACGTAATATGATGATGTGCATGTGGTGTAATAACAAACTATTTAACCCCCAAAAAAAAACTATATGTATATATTATAGTTATAATTTGTAAAACTGAATTCTTATGTAAAAATTCTCGTTACTATAATTAGATATAACACTTTAGTTATTTACATACAAACTATGTAAGTATTAAGTAATGTAATAAGTTAATTAATAGAGATGAAGAAGACTTGGCTTTGGGGTATTTTAGTTAATTCAAGACATAAATTTGGCCATTTGCAAGTTAGTTATGTTGGTACATGCATTATCTTTTTATAGTTGCAAATTACTTTCCAAAGTTTAATCATTGAGTATGATTACATTACATGACGACTTCTTACATACCGTGATACTTTTGTACCTCATAGATCCCAGATTTAATTAAATAGAGAGTATACATCTTAGAGATGTTTGAATATGTAAGGTCTAATCAATCATATATAAATGCACAAAGAAAAAAAAAAGTCTAACTATTCATAACTATTGACCAAAATATTACAAATTAGAAACACTCTTCAAATCACCCATGTATAGACCAATACAGATAGATAATCACTGTCATGAAATATTATTAGGTGGAAGGAAGTGGTCCATATCAATAATTCGCTTTTGATCAAGTATTATTGCAGCGACTTTGGTTAATCTTAATCTCAATAACTTATATAACTTAAGAAACTAGTCAACTCGAGACTTTTTCCTAATGAACTAATGTGATTGTTTTTCTAATCAATATATAGAATTGTCAAAATGCAATTAGAACGTCGTCTACAAAATTTTGTTTGACATTTTGCTTGGTTTTGAAAAAGGTGCTTGATCACTAGAGCAAGGTAGACATAATTAACATAAGCAACGACGACGACTCATGCTTAAATGCTATACCCACGAGCCACTTACGACAAGTACCACCAATTATATACTTTTAGTCGTTCACGGATATAAAGAATCAACAAAAGAATTAATCCGAAGACTTCCAAACAAAATTTAATAAAACCATGCGTAGACAAGGTTTTGACAATCCGAAGACTTCTCTAGTTTTTATGAAGGCAAAGTCAAGGGAGAAGGAAAAAAAAAACATTAAACCAAATCGATCGAGATGGAACCACAGATAATTACAAAGGAACAATTAAAAATCTCTGTATTTATTTATTTTCTTATGTTACGACAAAATTGTCATCATACTAATAATTTTTTGAGAGGTGTCTTTTCTTGTGGCTAGCAATAGATTTGAGACTTGGTCCGTTCTAGCCAGCCAGTGGGGCTACAGAGAGACAAGTTTATTACGTAACGTTTTACTATTTTTAGAGCATAATTTGTGTCCTATTTCATTACAACGTGCGATTTTTTTTTCAATTAAAAAATATTGTTTTCTACTAACGTATGATACTACTATTAGTTATAATTTAGTGGGGAGCTTTTCATAATAAATTGAGTGAGCGTGGGGTTTCGTTATTAAACGAATTTGCATTAAAAACCGTATAAAGATGGCACTAACGTTTTTTAACAAAAAAAAAAAGATGGCAACAGGGTTAAAGAAAAACTTACGTTGTAACAAAAATTGATCTTTACTTTTTTTTGTACATGTTACATATTTTCTTGTTAATGAATGAGAAAGATGAGAAAATGTCAACTGAGTTAAAACTTACTTAGTAAACTGTAACGCAAAGATATGAGTTTCGGTTTTTGCCTTTATATGTTTCATCTTTTGGCGACAAAAGGGATCTTTTTCTACGAAATATGTCCTAAGCTCCGTAGAAGACCTAATGAAGACTCTTATTAATCGTATATTGACTTGACTTGACAATTTTAAAACGAACTTTCTAAAATAATATAACAATAATCAAATTGGTGCATTCGAATGAATCATCGTCCAGCATATGTGGGCTTTATTTACAATATCGATCATACACATCTCTGGGCCTTTGCTATACGATCATTGTTCATTTTAGAGTACTCCTACGAAAAATATCTTTTTTTTTTTTATTTTGGGTACACACGTTTACATTTGGTTATGAATCGACAACAATTGTACCTCTTAATTGTGTTGATAATTTTAAAAATTATTTTGTTCAAACATAGTAAATAAAAATATTTTTTTTGAGGTATAACTATAATATACTAGTGACTTTTTTTTTTTGTGTGGCCAAGAAGTCAAAAGAACCAAATTTTGTATGCTATATTATTTCCATATCTTCTTAATGTTATAAAATCTATTCTTCATGGATCACATAAACATGTTTCGCTTATATATGAATAAGCTTTTCCAAAACCCTTAACAGAAAACTAAAATCGAACTTCTCGATGATTGACCATATTAGTAGAATTGTAGAAGGGTATGATAAAAAAAACTCCGCAAAATAGCTTGAGCAACAAAAGCATGATTTAACTAGAAAACCGCATAAATTTAAAGAAGCTTTTACATTTTGATCTTGCGGAATAATTTAGGTATAAAATTATTATGTGAAATTGCAAAATTTATTGCTCTTCGTCGACATGCTTATGATCTTTCTCATTTTCTTCCTCTTCGTCGTCATGGTCGTCGTCCTCAGGCTGAACCAACTTCAACCTGAGTCGACCATCTTTACGGCTGGCTCTTAGAAACTCTCTCCTTGGAATCCTAACTTCTTCCAAGACAAGCCTTCCTTCTTTCCTATACGTCTTGAAGCTCATCCTATTCATCGCCGGAGGATACTCTCTCCGTTCCTTTCTTCTTGGTTCCCACTCTTCTAATTCATCGTTGCTGCTTCCATCATCTTTAACTTTCACTTCAACACCGTCTTCGTCATTAACGTTGACTTTCTCGTCTTCCAAGTCGTAGTAGCTCTCTGACCCTAGACCTTCAGTACAAAGCTGTAGGCTGCTGGTCTCGGCGGCTGAGGTTTTCTCGTAGGAAGAATGGGATGTCTCCCTGAAATGAAGCTCGCCGAATATCTCCGTAAACGGAGGCGGCGTTTCGTTGTCTAGGTCGGTGGTGGTGACGTGGAGCCCTTTGCTTGGGTTCCAAGGTGAAGTAGAGGAGAGAGTATCAAGAAGTGACCTTGGAGAGTTGTTTTGTCTTGGGTTCTCGAATATTCGGTGAAAGCTTCCATAGGCAGCCATTAGAAGAGACTGAGAATTTGCTCTCTCCTCTATCTTTTTTTTCTTTTCTTTTGGTTGGTTTTGATGAGGTTGTGAGAAAGATAGAAAGAGAAGAGAGGACACGAGATGAGCATGAAGGAGAAGATGGTATTGTCAAATATATATTCTTTAGAGGGGGGGATATTAAATTACTCGAATAAATTGATAAATATCGTTCTGTTATATTCAAATGGTAAAACATTAAATTAATTTAGTTGACATCTTTTTAGATGATGCATGATGACAATTATGTTCTAGTTGATTCTGTGACTTTTAGTATTAGTTGCTGCGTAGCTACCAATCATAAAAAGCAACTTCAAAGTGAAGGAATTCATATTTTTACTCGTCCTATAATTAGTCGTCTAGACCGATCGAGTACTTTTTGTATCTTATTAATTATATATATCTTACGTATGTAACATGAACTATTTTAGTATTGCATGCAATACATTAGTTAAGTATAAATCTTACTTGAATAACTGTAAATATGTACTTGAATAAATCAAAGATTTCTTTTTAGTGAAAGAATGAGGAGAATGGAATAAAGAGGAGCGCGACCAAGTGGTGCCAATTTTGGTGGCTATAAATTTATTTGGGCAATGCGAAATAACTTTTATATGGACAACTTATATATTCTTTTAGATTATGGAATCATACAAACCATTCATCTCTCTTTTCAAATTTTGTTGGATTTGATTTTTCCTTAAAATATCGCATCTTTGTATTAATATATATAATTATCTGCAACAATTTTTGTTTTTCAGGATCTCTTAAGTTTCAATGCTTTTTTTTTTTTTTTATTAAGGTTTTTATAGAAACACACAAGAAAAAAAGAGAGGGAAAGATTGTATATTGTAGCTACGTGGAAGTATTCTAGAGATATATATATATACAGTATAACCTCTATAAATTAATACTCGATAAATTAATACCTCGATAAATCAATAATTTTTTTCGGTCCCAAATTAGTTTTTCGGTTCAATTAGTATATCGATAAATTAATAATCACGATAAATTAATAAAAATTTTAAAAATACATAGGTCCCAACATTATTAATTTATAGAGGTTTTACTGTATATATAACAACAATTTATTTTTGTTTTGTCGACAAAAAGATACATTGAATTGCCAATGGTGGCAAACCACGACAGATTCGAGATGTAGTTGAGTCGCGATGGTGATTGGTTGGGACCGTGGGAGCCTCGTGATCCTCAACCACATAATCTAAATTTTCATGATATTCTCTTGTTACCAGGTGTTATGGCCGGATCACTAATCACAAATATACAAAACTGAATGAAGAAAAAAAAAGAAAATATCAATAAATGTATCGGTCAATAGTATGAAACCTATTTATTATAAACATATTTTAAGATATTTAAATTGTACACGAGTTTAAATTCATACACTACAACGACAATAAATTAAAACATAGACGACTTGGTGCAGTTGTGCTAGTAGGTGGTGGTGATGTCTGTTAATGTGGAATGGTCGGTCTTCTCATTATACCCGTTTCAGTATAGATATATAGGCTGCATTAATTTCATCTTTACACCATGGTAAATATCTAAGCACATATCCACATGCACCGTCACATATATATGTGCCCACATATACACTTTTCTTATAATGTAGATAATATTTTCGTTTATAGATATATAGTGCAAGATTTATAAAAATGAGAAGTTCTTTTCATGTATTTCTTTTGGGAAGGAAAAAAAAAAAAAAAAAAAAAAGGATATATGTATTTTCATTTGTGATGTATGAGAGGAACGTCTCCATAACAGTGGTCCGTGGAGACATGTCCGAATCTATCGATCAACCACCAAGCAGATATCACGACTTCACCTTTTCCACTACTTGGTCAATGACCAACGACATCTCCGTCGTCTTTACCTCATTTTATCTATAACTTTATCATATGTATATATACTCTCCCAAACACACGTAGACAATTATAAAGTCGAATAATTCTATAACACGAATTTTGATCAACGTCCACAAAATATGATTTAATCGTCAGTGACTGGTGGATTGGGATACCCAATCCATAGAATGGATCAGCCTTGATGTATCCTCTCCTAGTACGTATTGGAGCATTTTGCTCCTCGTAAGATTTATAGCCATTTAGAATCTTATTCCTCAATGTGTTCCCCTGACTTGATTTAACGTTTTCTAAACTTTAATATAATTATCTTTCGTTGATTACTAGCTCATTAATATTCGTATTCTTGTTGTATATCTAAAATTAGAATGTAACTAATACATGAATTATGAGATTTTATTTTGCTAAAGTAAACACATTAATTGTTGTATCATATTTGGTATGAGTGGACTATACTGTAGTTTATTTAAAACAATTAACAATATATGTTTTATATGGTCAAGTCATTATCAACATTATAGCCAAAATCTTTCATGCAAAAAAAAAAAAAAAGGTAATACCATAACAGAAATTAGTTATAAAAAATAAATAAAATACAATTGATAAACACACGTGAGAAATTCCAAGTGCCAACAAAAAAAATAAAGCATGGTCAAGAATGAATCCCATATCATAATTCATGGATCAATATAGTATTCCGATATAGTATTCCGATATAATGCGCATGATAATTCATGGATCAAAAATACGATTTTGTAGAAGTGTCTTTGATGCAAAGATCAACCAAAATATAAATAACTCTAAATACATCATTTTAGTTATAATTTTTAGAGTCGACTATACTAGTAAAACCTCTGTAGTTTAGATTGAGTTTTCTTTTGTATATTATGTGTTTATAAGTAAAATATTTCAGCTTTCATAAATATTAAATAATGATATGTATAGTATTAAAATATTGGTTTTTCTCTTTCAAAAGTATGTTCAATAAAATCATTATTTGGGAAAGGCGTATCCAAAATACGTGTATAATAAGTATGCAAAATGACGTGCAACCTTTTTTTATTTTATTTTTTGACCCACTAGAAAAAAGTTAACATGACCAGTATGCAATATGTTGAATTATTCAACTATATCACTAATGATATTCTCCTCTACAATATATGCTTTTGTCATGCACTTTTTTGTTTGGGGGTTTTCGAATGGTCCCTTGGTCCATTGAAGAACCAGATTTTTCTATCCATCTTTGTTTCCCATCATCTCAATTTTTTTTCTTTTTTTTTGTTGTGCGCTACTTTTATCAATATTTCGATTTTGTGACTAGTAAAACATGTTTACATTACATATATCATGTTTATTGTTGGTTCCATATATGTAATTAATTTGCAGTTTTTACGAACAATACCAAAGTATATAGGAAGAAGAAAGACCATGCTTCACCATTTTCATAGTCAGGAGACGAGAGAGACGCCGGTTCAATACGGTTTACAAGTTTGGTTTGGTATTGGTATGGACGGTTTATCACAAAGAAGGCAATTGAGAACATTGACCAAATAAATTTATAGAACAAAGACATCAACAGAAACCACATTAACACATACAAAAACGAAGCAAGCAAAACATTTGATTCTGAAGAACAGCTCAAGTCCTCTCAATGGATTCTCTTTGCTCCTCTTTCTTCACCGCCAAGCTTCAGTACGCTCTACCCTTGAACCTACACGGCTCAAGTTGGTTAATCCCTTTGTACTACTCACAGGCCACTGAGCTGGAGGAGCCAGAGTCAGCACCTGTAGGTCTGAGTCGCTCCATCCCCTGGTTTGACATTTTCCACAGTCTGATTCTCTCTGTTCAGATGCATTGTTCTCTGGGATTAATTCGTCTGATATCTCGCTGCTTGAACTCTGATTTTCTGTATTTTCGACGTAGTCTGATTGCGTCTCATCACTCTGCTCAATGGAGTTAAAAGCCAAAGACTGTGAAGGACTTTGGTGACCGCTCTCATCAGAAGGTTCTAAAGGGAATACATGAGCTTGCTCGACCACTGAGTCTTGCCTTTCCCTTAGAATTTTTTCGATTAGTGTCTTGAGGAAGTTCATCACTTGAACCGCATACATCAGTGCTGTCAATGGATCATCCATCTACAATAAAGAGTATTTCTCAATCATTTTTGTTTAAATCTGACTCACACTGGTAAAACTTGATAATAGACCTTGTCGCAGACTCACCTGTGTCATATTAGGTGCAAAAACCATGGCAATGTTGCGTGAATTCATCTTGTTAAGATGTTCATACTGAACAACATCAGCCATTAGATTGATGGCCCAATCAAGCAGAGCAGCTTCTGTAGGTGGAAGAAGCCTAACAAGCTCGACATATTCCTCTTCTGTTTGGCACTGCATCACCTGTTCAGGTGACAACGAATCAAGAACGCTTGTAGGGAGTTCTCTAAACCATGCCTGTAACAGAAAATTAGAAAGAAAAAAGATCGAAATTAATATATAATTATTGCAGAACGAAATACAGTGCTTCTGCTTAAATTACATACCTTAATAAGCCCTGCCAAACAGTGAACATCGATTCGTTCAGGTATAAATCCTCGGTTTAGTTGCTCCCTAACCGCCTCTTCCTCGCTATTCTCAGCAGTAAGTCTAAAAATGCCCTCTGCCTGACAAAACCGAAAGGACGAAGTGATTACATGGAAAACTTATAATATGTTCACTTTGGAGGAAACTCAATGAAGCAACATACCTGCAAGCCTCCTTGACCATATAAATAGTTTTGCATCAACAAAAGTATGGTTGGTACACAATTGCCTCTTGAGTCATATGATAATTGCATTGATTCCGTTGATACCCCAAAGACTGTTGCACTAAAGTGATGAGATAGCAAACGAGGTAAGGAGTTAGACAGTGACCAAGAGCCAATTATACTAATAACAATTATTTCCCAGAAGAGCAAAGTTGCAATGCATAGGCAGAGTTTTCCCCATTTTTAAATAGTTGGATAAACAATGCAACCTTCTCATAATCTGACTACATGTAAGACATAGTATCTCGGATGGTTTCACATGGGTCAATAGCCCAACGATCTACACACAGAATGAGCCAATATATGTTGCAGCGGAAACATAAAGCTCTAAGCTCCTGATGAGACTAAAAACTGAGAGAGACAAGACTCCGGAATAATGAAGGATTCCACTCTTTTTGGTTTCACTGATTCCACAGAAACATACAACCTAACCTTAGATGTTCCAGAACTAGAGGTTATACAGACAAGGAAGCCTAATCAGAAGCACTCTGTATCCATCTACAACCGATGCTCACCCGGAAAATGCAAGGTAAGATTGGATGCTTGCTATATAACATCGATCATAGTAGTGAGAGAGGCATATTTTAATCACACTGAAGATCAAATTACGATCCTAATTGTAAAGTTCTTGAAATGTTGTACCTTTCTACCACAATACAGATACTTATGAATCTCTACAAGAGAACTAAAACTCGTAGCTCATCACCCTTAAAAACCCTGATTGCAGGAAACAAAAGGAAGGATCTTTGGAGTTTGGACAATGTACCTGGCGCTTGGAGATCGTCTGTGAACTTCAGGCTCAAACTCAACAGGCAAACCCAAGAAGCCATTGAAACGATCGAAGGTAACGTGAGCCACGTGGCGGACATTGGTAGGCCATCCGATCTCCATACTACAGAGCTCCCTCCGATTACTCTTACAAGAAATCAAAGATCTCCTGAAAATGGCGACAAGGAGAGCCAACAACGAAATCTGATCTTCCCCACCATCGTCTTCTTCTTCTTCTTCTACTCCATCGGTGCTGCTCCGTCTTCTCAAGTCTTGTTCCTCGATTGAGCCATGAAAGTCAACATCTTGCGAGAATCCAGCAACTGGGTTCCTCCGGAGAGCAGCCGCATTGTAGGATAAGGAAGAAGGCGAAGGAGAAGAAGAAGAAGAAGAAGGAGAAGCGCTTGGAGATGAAGGGAAGTGAAGGACTTCAGTCATGGCGCTTTCAGACAGATTGATTGATTTCACACAAAAAAGGAAACAACTTTAATTGTTCAAATGTGGGATTTTTGAAGACGAGAAAAGTTACAGAGCTCGAAGATTGATGATTAGTATTTTTTTTTTTTTTTTTTTGTCAAACAATTGATGATTAGTATTTAGTAGGTTTGGTTTGGTGGGTATTAACTGGTAATTAACTGGAAACTGTTTTGATTCAATTATTCAAACCCTAGTTTTTATTTGATTAACCAATCACAAATCAGTAAGTAACCGGTGAATACAAATAAATAATTTTAACGAAATATTGTGGTAAACAATATCAAAATAAGTTTTAAAACTGAGAGAAATGGTAATAAGATAATGTATAATTATATATAGAACATACTCCATAAATATATGAGAGCATAATTCGGAAAAACAAAATTTCAGTCGAGTAGCGAAATTCCAGGTAAGCAACAAAGCAAATGAGGTCAAATAAAATGACTAAAGATATAGTTTTGTATGATTGATAACTCTAATGATAGTTCATATAGTTCACTTAGGATTGAGATTAATTCATATGAATACCAATAATGTTAAACTATTAGAAGTCCATAACCATAAGTATTCTTTTTTTTTGAATGCATTACGTTTTCTGATTATGTCAAAGTCATTATCCACACTAACTATATATGATTTTATGATAAACAAATGATTAAAGAAATTGGTTTTCATTAAGTATTAACTATTCTTACATCTTTTTTTTTTTAAACCCTTGATATATTATTATTAATGTTTGAAGTCCTTGTCACAATGGATTTCGTTTGCGGCAAAATCAGTATTCTTTAAATAATTTTTGCACGTCTTTCTAAAATATGAGACCATGTTTATGTTATGTGCGTAGATTAGTAGTATCCACGTATCCATATAATACACTATTCAAAAGTTTGATCCAGAGTCGCTAACCAGGATTAAAGAAAACACTTCTTTTTTTGAGAAATTATTATTAAAAAAAATAAAATAAAACAGTTTTTGAATTTGATAAAATAACATGAGCTAGGGATCTTATTGTGTGTTTAAAGAGTGAATGAACAAGAATCAAATATTATATCCATGAACGCACGTTGGAGAATCGTGCTTGCCACACATGTTATGTATATATTGTTATAAACTTTGAACACTACCTATAAAAGTTGTAACATTTTACTACGGTTTCCCATATACCGGGGAATTCATATTCAAAGTGTCAACCAAAAATGGCCGTGAAGATCTTCTCGACCACTTCAGTATTGATTCTCTCTATTGCTCTGCTCAGCTTCGGCCATTGTTGTTATGGCCAGCTTCGAGTTGGATTCTACAACAAAGATTGCCGAAACGTAGAAAACATCGTCTTTAGAGTTGTTCGAGAGGCATTCATCAAGGATTCATCCCTTGCACCCGCAATGATCCGCCTTTATTTTCACGATTGTTTTAGCAATGTAAGTGTAATTGGTTAATACAACAAATTTCTAGAAGTATTGTTCTAATATATAAGTATTAATCTTTGATGCATGTATTGAAAATGTATATAGGGATGTGATGCATCGCTTCTTCTAGATGGTACGAGCAGTGAGAAAAAGGCGTCACCAAATCTTAGCGTACGAGGATACGAACTGATTGATGACATTAAAACTGCAGTCGACCTAGAATGTCATGAGATCGTTTCTTGTGCTGATATCATTGCTATCGCGACTAGAGATCTTGTTAATCTTGTAAGCAAATCCACCTCAGTTCTTGTTACTACATACATCTTGCATTTTATATATGTTATGTTTTCCTAATCTGGCTGCCAAAAAAACTCTATATGATCAGGCAAGTGGAGGAAAAACATGGTATGCGATACCAACAGGACGATTTGACGGTGTGGTCTCTTTGGCTTCGACTGTAGATTTGCCATCTCCTCGTATGACCGTCTCTCAAACCGCTCAGAAATTTGCTGACAGGAAACTTAGCCTTACCGATATGGTTCTACTTCTTGGTATGTAGAATAAACATATTACAACATTCTTCTTCACATTGTTACCAAAATATATATATATATATTACAACATTCAAAGAATATAAACTACTACTAGGTTATATGTTCTCTAGTCTTAAATAGTATAAATTCATATATGACATTTTTAATGGTTTTATTTGAGTATATAATTATAGGTGGACATACGATTGGAGTGGCACATTGTTCGTTCATTATGGATCGATTATACAATTTTCAGAATACTAAACAACCTGATCCATCCATGGACTCTAAATTGGTCCAAGACCTAAGAGCCAAATGTCCTCAGGGTTCGTCAAGTGATGGCATCATTAATCTAGATCAAAACCTAACGAGTTCGAATACTATGGATGTATCTTTCTACAAAGAGATAAATTCTCGCCGAGGAATCCTCCACATCGATCAACAACTTGCCATCGACGGAATGACGAGTAAGCTAGTGTCGGATATAGCCAACGGTAACGATTTCTTGTCAAGGTTTGGTCAGGCAATGGTGAATTTGGGATTCGTGGGAGTTAAAAATAAGGGTAACGGGGAGATAAGAAAATCTTGTCGTTCTTGCAATAGTCCATTTTTTTGCGCAACTAGTTAAAACTTAAAAAACTAGTTGCCGGCCGTGTGTGTTTCTTCTTTTTATTATCATGTGTTTTTTAACAAGTTTTGTAATCCATCTTTGTAATTTTAATTTGAGTGATCTTGTTTACTTACTTTTTTATGTTGTTGACCTCCTAGTACTGGTTCAGCTCAAAGTTATAAAAATTGTGAATGATATTACTTTAATGGGATATAAATGATGCAACCACTGACTAACACTGTTAATTACTGTTGAGCAAACCTTCACGGCTCATTAAAAGTTTTTTTTAAAGGACAGTTGCGAAATATATGTTTCCCCACTAGCTAGGCTTTCTACTCTTAGTATCATTTTTAAACTCTAGCGAGTGAAGATGGTTAAAGTATAGTTAATACCCCGCATAAGATAGAGTTGCTAGGATTGTTATAGTAGTAAGTATGGTTCAAGTAATGCAGTTTAAATGCTGCACTAATAAATTGAACAAGGGTATAAATGTGTTTTTAAGAATATATGTTGTCACTAAGTAATAGATCGAACCCCCCCTTCTTTGCATAAATCAAAGTTCGAACACTTGAATTATTTGAATCTAACAAATTGTTAGGTTGAATAAAAGTTTGCAGCAAATATGAAGGTGGGATGAATTAAAGAGCCGTTAATATAGAAGAAAATGGAAAAGTACGTTATCTATTTTTCGTAAAGCCAACCACCAAAACTATCAACTCATTTTGGTTCCTTTAATAATCATTTCTTTTATATAAACCTTCCACATACGTTCCCCATATCTCACTCAAGATATCTGAAGCCATCAAATCCATAAACCTATTTTGTTTTAGTTTGAGCTTTATCGAAATGGCGAACCAAGCAACCCTTGCAGCATTCTTCCTTTTCGCTTTAGCCGTCTTCTCCAACTTAGAGCTCTCGGCTTCTTCACTTGTTAGCGGCAAGGTCTCCTGCCTTGACTGCCACCGTGATTTCGACTTCTCAGGTTTACTCTTTTAACTAGTTCAATCACATAGTGTGTGTGTCATCGAAGTTTCTAACTTATGATATCATATTGCAAATCATTTACACTACTGGTCCTATTTTTATCTAACTTTTAGTCAAAAGGATTATGAGAGTTGATATATACACTATAAGTTTCTTGATATCTAGATCATTTGTATTGTATATGATTGTTTTCAGGCATTAAGGTGCTCTTAAAGTGCGACGGAGAGAAGAAACAGATAACCGCGATGGCGGCTTCTGACGGATCTTTCCGGTCAGTGCTTCCCGCAGCTGACAAAAAGGGCTCCATGAATTGTCTTGCAAAGCTCTTGGGAGGTCCTGACCAACTCTATGCGCACAAACACGATTTGTTCTCTGAACTCGTCATGTCCAAACACGATTCCAAAGTTTTAACTACCTCAAACCCACTTGCCTTCTCTCTCTCCTGCCCTAAACCAACCCAAGATAATGTCGGAGATATGATTGGAGATTCGAAGACAGTTAATTTTCCGGGGATGGGAAGTTTTGGATTCCCACCTGCCAGCTTCTTTCCCTTCATACCAATCATTGGTATCCCATGATTTGATTAAAAGTTAAGTACTTTAAAGACATATCTATACACATATGTTTTAGTTGTTTACGTGTGAATCTGCTACGATTAAAGCCAACAAAGACGAAATGTTAGCAAGTTTATATTGTTTTGTCTAGTGAAATATATATAAAGTATGTTTAAGTGTTAAGAAAATGTTGTTTATTGGGTTCTTGTAGTTTTAAATCAGTTGAACGAGTTTGATGTAATAAAAAGATTGGGTTAACCAAACGATATAGACGGTACTTTGTGATATTCTATGTTTTATATTTTTCAAACACAACCAAGAAACTGATTAATGGTGCTCTAAGCAAGAAATCGAAATATCAAAACAGAATCGGATTTTATATAGCACCTAGATAACAGAGCCGAGTATATAAATTTTACAGCATCGCATTTGGTTTGATTTGAGAAACGTTAGGACGACTTAAAGACAAACTAAAACAATATTGATAAACAAAGATCGCTCAAAACTTGAAAACTTGGGAATCCACTAATGATAATAGTAATCAACAATAAAAGCAAAATTGTCTTTAAACAAAATCTTGATCCTACCAAGTAAGGATTCTGAAATTTTAACCCAAGATGAATAAGGCTCATGACAGAAAAAGAAAATCAAATTTCCTCAAAGTGTGATGATGATACCTTAAGAGAAACTTTGTAATAAAAAAAACTTAGAAAACCCTGTTTGGTGGACTCATGGTACTCTTCAAGTACAAGCACCTCACCTGCAGATAAAATTCAACAAACAACTTGGGTTTAGAAACCGCTAAGTGAAAAATCGAGAAAGATGGAGAAGAATTGTTTCAAGAGGGTGTTGTTACTAACATTTTGCCAGTTTTTCTTCAAGAGTGAAACAAGGAAGTTAACACTCATCTGAACATTCTGAAAGATCTGCTTCTCTTCCATGGAGAGATTCCCGACAGCGACTCCCATACAGAGAACCTTCTTGAGCTGGAACTTCACTGTTGCCTTTGTCTCATTCACTTTGGCTTCCAAAGACTCTTGGTGGCTAACAAGAGTTGGGAACTTTCCTGTTTTGATATTCAAAAGAGCCAAGATTTATAAATATTTGAGATCAAAACATGTCAAATGAAGAAGATGCTAGAAATGGATACATAAGGTGACTAAGAGACATGCCTGCCTTGTTGAGACCAGGACCAAGAAGACGAGGAATCTGCTTAATGACAGATTCGGAAGCAAGGAAAGCATGGTACTTCTTAGCAAGCTTCTTAACAAGTTTCTTGTTCTTGTTCAGCTTCTTAAGAGCTTCAACATCCATAGAGTCCAACCCAATCTTCTCAGCCTACACAAAACCAACCTAAAATTATACTACGACCCATAACATTTTCAAAGAAAACACATAACTTGACACACAAAAAAGACTTGTATTTGAGGAAAAGACAAGATTTGAATACCTCTTCGACATGCTGAGCGTCTCCGAGCATGCAAATCTTCATCTTAGGCCTAGGAATGTGAGGCAACTTAACGGAACCGCTAAACCTCTTGTCCTTTTGAGGGTCATAGTTCTTAAGACCAATCTGGAGTTCAATGGTCTCAGTGAACTTGCGTGGCTTTGTCTCCTTACAATGAGTAATAATGGCGGATATCGCCTCTCTCACCGCTTCACTCTGAAGCTTACTACACCATTCAAAAACTCAAACTTTAACCTTCTATAAACCCAAAATGACAAAATAAAGCACATAGAAACCAACACCTTAACAATTCCAATAGTTCTGCATAAAGTTTCAAGATTTTTCACCTAAGCTATCTATGATTACAGCAATTTGATGCAAGTACCCAAATCAACAAGCCCGATTAATCATTTGATAAGAAGAAACACATATAACGTTGATTTGAGAATACGAACCTCATTTTGACACTTCCTCAAACAAATTTGCTTCCTGAAATTTCAGAAAAAAGACAAGAAAATAGTTAACAGTGTTGTCGAGAAACGTAGAAAGAATTCTCAGAACGAGTGAAGAAGATGATGAACCTGTGGGAAGATCGGAAAACAGAGAAAGAACGGCGAGAGAAGCAATCCTCTGTAACTTATATGAAACCAGAGAGGAGATTAACTCTAGCCCTAATTATTTCTGCTCTTTGAAGCCCAGTTGTTTTACGATTTAAAGCCCAATATTTAGGCCCACTTATGGAGATTATTGCATTACCGATTTCTAACTGTAGCAAAATATAAATACTCAAGCCTTCAGTAAGATATTTCGAACACTTGCCCAAATTTTTATAGTTATTAGATTTGTAGTGAAGTGTCATCCCAGAGCAACAAACGTATGAATACTTTGAAAGATGGGAAATACATAGATTATATATTAATATCAAATCAAAGTTCAAACAATACTCGGCCTAAAAGGCAGACTATCACTATTCACCACAAATCTTTATATACATAAAATTAGAAACAAAAATCATAAGAAATTATTAACTGTTGTTGTATGCGTCAGACCAATTTCTTCTGTCAAATATGTTTTGCCCATCCTTATCCAAACATAAATGAGAGATCATCCATAGGAACCTCGTCAAGCCCTGCTGTATCAATATCCTGAAGACCATCGAACCAGCTTCCAAGATCCGCCTGGTCGTCTATTTCCTCTAGATCACGGAATGCTAATTTGGAGAAATCGATGGGACCTTCCTCATCAACTGCACCGTCTCCAGAGGTACCTCCTCTGTTCGTGGTGCCTCTGCTTGCTGGACCTGTTGGGTGAGTTGATGTTGTTGTTGATCTTGATTGGTTTTCGTTATTGTTGTTATTGTTCTTTTCTTTCGGTTTCGGTTTGTTCTTGTTCCTGAAACCATCTTCTCTCCCACTTCTCTTACCTTGAACCCCTCCTCCACTAAGAATCGCGCTGTCTATGCTCGTTGTGACTTTAGATGAAGCGCATCCGATAACATCATCTATCAATGCTTCTCTTCTCTTTGTACTAGACACTGCACCTACACAACCCAAGTAGCTCATCAGATTTTCCGACAAAAAGGTTAGCATGTGACTACTGTCTAACTATTTCATCAAGGGACTTGACCTTTTGTATCTAATAAAATACATTTGAAAGTGTTTTCGCATTTATCTGAAATAATCTTTATTCATGTTTTCATACATGTTATAGCAGAAGAATCTACTAAAAAGTCAATTACGGAATCAACATGTGAAGTTCAGATTTTGTGTACCTGAACCCTTGGCCTCAGCCTGATGGTTAGAAGGTTCATTCAGTGTGTTACTGGCTGTTCCAGAGCCACCATTTTCTGATGACTTTGCATCGTTGCTGGGAGAACTAAACAATATGTCTTGAAGTGCAGGATCAGCAAAACAGCTAAGCCCAGTTTCTTCGAACTTACGACATCTAGCAACTGTCCGCCTGATGAACGACAGCGCTACTTGTCTTGAAACCTTGTTGACTTTCGCTGATTTACTTCCACGGCATGCCTATTTTCAGAGTAACATCAATAATTAAAAACCTCACGTGTATATATATATATATATACACACATATGTACATCCAAATTAATGTTGGTTTCTTACCATTCTTTTCTTGTGCGCTGTTTCCACCAGCTGGTCCATAGCAAGATGCTCAATTTTCCTGCACATAACCCTCATCAGCAACTATGACTTTGCAACTTGAAAGACAGTGATCTAGTCTGCCCAAAAAAAAAAAAAGGAAGACAATGATCTGAAAAAGACAAAGCCAACCTTTTCTCAACATCTTTCCCCTTCTGGATAGTAATATTTAGCTTCTCCAGCTTTTTCTTCTTGTTTCGGATCTAGTATTGGTCAAAAATGAAATATGAGAAAGGTGACGCAAAGACGAATTTTTAATGACTACGAATTAAATATTTGTTTTGCATGTACCTGCTGATAAATGCCTTCCTTTAACTCCATAACATCAGTGCTCATAGTTTCTTCAGCCAGATCAGGCTGTGATAACAATGGAAATAAGTTTTCAAGATGAGTAACATTTTTTCCGTAGCTCAAGATTTTGACAGATTAAATGACTGGAAACAAAACCTACCATTGCATCAGGAAACACACCAATGCTCTGTAGTTCCAGAAGAATTCGCTCATCCAAAGACATATGTTGATACTGGGTGTCAGATACTGGGAAGTTGGGAATGTTCACTTCCCTAGCTTGCAAGTGACCCAAACTATTTGAATATGTCTCATTGCCGAGTACGGCGTCTGCATGTGAAAGATCATCATCCCCAGTCCACTGTTCATTGCTATGAACAGATATAGACATGCTACCATTTCTGAAAGGGTTAGACACGACACTCCTCTCACTGGAAAATCTGTCAAACAAACAACTCTTAGGTGTCTGGAAATCCCCACTTGACTCTACTTCAAATTCCATTCTGTCTCGCTCTCTGAACTCGGTGTCAATATAGGTACATGAACCACAGTGAGAATCGTCACTAGCATAATGAAGAGACAGATTCTTCCCTCCATTGAACTGTACAACTTCTTCTCCATCATCTTCCTCAATTAAGGCAGAAAGTACCCTCTTATACAACGGAGTACTCTCATTCAATTTTCTCATGTCCAATCTCTCAAATGAAAGACCAGATACACATGATGAGGTTGGACTTGAATAGTCAACAATTCCCTCACCAGGGCGATGTAGTACTTTGGGCAATTTAACACCCTGAAAAAAATATTTTCTTTCATTCAGGCCACATTCATATTATAAAAAGAGACTATAAAACTAGACATTGCTGCAGGAGTTTGCAACTTACCAGGATGTTATAACCATCTAAGATTGCCTTTGACAGAGATTCATCGAGTTCTTCCGCAAAATTCAACTGTTTTTAGATAATTAAAATTATCAAGAGCTAGCATCCTAGAGAGAAGTCAAATAAAATATACTATATATTATCGATTATTACCTGATCCTTCATGTTTTGCATGTCGTCTGCATTGACGGCAGCAAAGATGTGGTCCATCTTCTTCCAAAACTTACCAGAACAAGCAAGATCTACAAAAACATATTTCTAGTTAGAAGGAAATTTGTGGCAGTAAAACTTGAAAGACATGACACATGGAAGGATGAATACTTGCTGCCTTCCGTGCCGAATTGGCTGCTGCAAAAATATCTTCACGATCATCATCAGATTCACCTGAAAAGCCAAAAATCCACTTGCATTCATGCTTAGGAACTGGCACCATCAGAAGCATGAGGTGCTCTATAGGGAATCATACAGCTAAGCTGACATGCAGAGATTACATTCAACTACCACCACTATCCTCTTAGAAATTAAATATATCCCCTTGCACAATTGAAAATAACTGAGCAAGAACTAATAGTTACATAATTCGGCTTAAGTCTCGTATATCCCAGAACACAGTTTGGTAATGCTATCTGATAACCGTGAATATGGTGAAAGATTAGAACTCAAATGCAAAAAAACAACTACCTGTAATATCTGAAGGAGTATTTGCATTTGAAGCAAGCCGAGTAGAAGGTTTACGATCTTTAACCTTTTTGGCAGGTGGACGCCCATATTTGCTGTTCAGAGAGAGAAAGTAGGTAAAACAATTAATCTTAGATTTAAGATTTATATTCACCATAATATTGTGAAAGTAGAAGGGATAAGGAAAAGAACTGAATTAGGTATAGATCACCTTCTATTTTTATCTGAAGCAATCTTGACATTGTGAATAGGCTTCTCTACTGGTAAATTCTCCGACTTAACCATGACAGGATGAAAGCCAGGAGTTGTCAGCGATGAAACACTTTCGCTCTTTCCTTGCTTCCATGCACCACCTCCTTTATGACTGGTTTGAGTCTTATTCTTCCTTATCGGAAGTAATAGCGACCCTGATTTAGGAGTTGTGAACAAGTCACCACTCCCAAAAGCACGCTCTCTTGTTTTGGTGTCTCCAGCTCCTGAGTCCTCACTTTCAGATAACCCGTATGGCGATGAAGCATTCCTCAACTCCCTTTTCATTTTTAAAGGGCTACTATCAACAACTGAGACTGACGTGGTGGTTCCAGGGGATGCTCTAGGACTAAAATCAGATGTTGCAAAACCTTGAGCTGAGATCTTGCTTTCAGCATGCTTTATTACAGGCGAAACTACATTTGTTCTCCTTGTTCGAGAATTCTTATGCGGTCTCTGGCCAACCCATTGAGCCATAGCAAGTGTAGATGAACCTGCTGGAAATGAAAGCGTTAGCTTATTCCCATAGACATTACTGATACTGTATTTCGGCAACACTAACCTTGTAATACACCGGATGGGGAATCAACTTTGGATGAACAATCAACACCCATAACAGCTGCTGTTCTTGGAGCCCTAGAAACCTTTCCTTTCAATATTGCAGTAGAGCTGTTTGTGGGGCTATCATCCAATAAGTTTCTCCTAGATATGCACAATTATGCAATTATCAGTCACATAAACAATTTGCTTATAAATTGGAGCAAAATCTAGAACAAAAAGCTTGAGGTATCTGCTCACTTATTGTTTCCTTTGGCTAGCCTCTGCTCAGCAAGTACTGAACGATCCCTTGCAATGGAAACAGACTCCAACTCGTTCCTAGATAATGCAACCATACCTGGACTGTCTGGCTCAAACGAAGTCTCAAGTCTATTAATCCCACTCACCCCGGGTGAAGATTTTGATCTGCAAAAAATGGCCACATTATGTTTTCTTTAAAGAAGCAACATTATGAGAGAGGGATCAATCCAGAAAACTATATATATACAAATGCATGTTGCAAGAAAATTCCACAAAAGTAAGATCAACTGAAAAAATCTAGATACAATCCAGTTCAAATGAGAAACTTGAGATCTGGGCACTAACTTAAAATAGCTCATGGACATAGAACATGAAGAATATCGTAGCTCAATTAAAACATTATGATTCTGCAATAACAACTAGTAAACAAACGCAATAGTAATCTCTTTTTAGGTCCATTTATGTCCCCGGACTATAGAATAGGTAATAACATCCTCAAACAATCACTGTTATATGCTCCAAATTTTTTTAAGTTGTACTTTAGCTAACCAGCAGCGATAACTACCAGGTTTATTATCTTATATTTTTATTGCACACCTGAAATTCTGGGTGTCACAAGAACGCAGCTTAGAGTCAGTTGTTGGCTTTGGCTGCATGACACGCTGATCAGGATTCATAATTCGGTTTCCTAAAGTAGCAACAGATCGTTTCCTTTTCATTCTCGTCTCCCATCCTTCACCACCAACAGGTAATCTACGTATCTTCTCTTCTATTCGCACTGGTTCTCCAGAAACACTTGGAGGTGAATCAGAGCCCTTGTCAATAACCTGTTGCCTTGCAAGGGCAGCAATTCTACTATCACCCTGAAAGCAAAAACAGACAGACACCATTAAACAACAGTGACATGGGAGAAGTGCTTTTAGAAATTAGAACACACTAATTGAACAATCGAGCAATATATTCAAATCCCTTGTCCTCTAGAAAGAAGGCAAAAATTGCTAAACATGGAGTGGAGGATGAACGGAATAGAAAAATGCCAAGGAAAATTAACAATCAATTATAAATTAATAAGCTACCAATAAATCTAAAGTGAGGTTTAGATACAAACCCGCAAATCTGCAACAGTTGTACGAGCACGTTTGTTTAATCCAAGCATCTTTTTCCTTTCCTCGGATCTTTGAGCCATAGTGTCTTGTGTTCTTGGAACCTGGTTTCTGAACTTATCGAAGTTTGCTGCGTCCATTCTCTCACCAGGTGGTAAATCATTTCGCCGTCGTTTCTTTGAACTTAATGTCTCTGCGTATTTTTCCAACTTGAATATGGATTCACTTAGTTTCTTAGCTAGATCCCTACAAGAAACCCAAGATTTTAGTGAAGCTTGGTAAAGAAAAAAAGATTAAGCAACAAGTCTGCGGTCTAGTAGATACTGTATTATACTTAAACCCCTAAGCAAAAACTATCCAACTATAATAAGTCGATAGTCACAATAAATTTAAATGTTTACAAGGCATAATCACAGCGTAAAAACCAGTCACAACATATGAAAGAAAGCAAAATATTAAAAGCCATACCCAGCCTCTCTGGAAGTATCTAGCACACTTTCTTTAAAGTGCTTGAGCTCCTCTGTTGCTACAGGTGGAGAAGGTCTGGGATGGGACATCCCAAAAGAATTATCTTCAGACGAGGCCCTACTAGGGACACCAAGAACTCTTCTAAGCTCTCCTGAACGAGTATAGCTTGGATTGATGATTCTAATGGGTTCCAATGGTAAGACTTGAGACAAATTTGGGGTATCAGACGACAATCCTGTGGTACCCCTGCTCAAATTGTTACCAGAACCTAGCATTATTATGCCCCTCGGTCTACTACACTAATTGCTTCACACTAAAAGCAGCTCAAAACCTGCAACCAGGAACAGAGGTACTTATTAATCCTCAGAAACAGTAAGATCACTATCTTAATGAGATTCAAAGAACTCAAATTTGAATAGAAGACAAATGCAAACGATATAAGGAAATCGTATAAGTAGCACTAAAGCTGATTAACTTAGAATCCAGCTAAACGAGTTCTAAAGACCAAAAATGTGAAGAACCCAATTCTCAAGGAAATTGATGAAAAAATTTCGGGAAAATCCTCACCTTTATCATCTAATCACAAGCCATAAACAAATCACAAACAGCCCAGATAACCCTAGAATTCAACAACACCACCGTCGAATTCAATTTCCCCGGCGAGAAATTGCAAAAACCCTAGAATCGCGGAGAAGAACCACACAACAACAAAAAAAACACGGGGAAGTTCAGCAATCGAGCTCCGAGAATCCCGAAGCGTAATTTCAGACAAGAAAAAAGCTTTGAAAATATATGTTATCTCTCTCTCTCTCTCACCCGACGAGTTTCAACAACGAGGTCAAGCTTTGTTGTTGTTGTGTAGATCAGAGGAGGAGGAGAGGGAAAAAAAGAAAAAGAGAAGAAAAACAAAATCCCCTTTTACTTAGCTCTCTTGGTTGGGCGATTTTTGCTACTTGTCCATAAAGATCTCTCTCTCTCCTCAGTTACACACGGCTTTGACCAGTGGTGTCATATTAAGTTCTTTCTAAAAGAGTAAAAGGATATAAATTTTTTTTTATGGTTTGTGATCTTTTGAGATTGAATTGTGATTTCTTTTGCTTAGTTTTTGAGATTCATTTCAGTTTATTTTGCTATGGGTTTGATTGATAACCTTGTTTAACTTTTAGACGAAAAAACGATATTAACGATCTTGGAGTAAACAGTTAAAGAGAAATTCGTTAGAAATGGCGGTAAAAAAGTTCGTTGAGCTAAAACAAAACGGTTGAATACAAACAAATTAAATATGATATATTAAATTTTGGTTTTATTTGTAAAATTCATTTATGAAAATAAACAAAAATAGTTTTACGAAAAAATGAAATGATTAGAAAAATTTACCCCTCCGCTTTGTAAATAAGACAATTATAAACTCGCATAAATTTATATGGTTTGCAATTTAGATTGAATTGTGATTTCTTTTGTTTTTTTGGAGATTCATTTCGGTTTATTTAACCATGGGGTTCGATTGATAACCTCGTTTAAATTTTGGATGAATTTTTTTTTAATGGTAATGAAAAAACAATTTTAAAAAGTGGTTAGAAATGGCGGTAGAGAAACATCGTTGAGTTAAAACAAACAGTTAAATAATAGTACGGTTGATAACAAACAGTTGAATGCAAAAAGATTATTTAAATTTTAAATAAAATATGTTAAATTTCAGTTTTATTTTTAGGACTTGTTTAGGAAAATAAGATAAATAAACATAAATTTGCAAAAAAATAGAAACTATTCAATAATTTGAGAATAATGCAAATCACCTATTTAGTAAAAAGGCAGTCTAAACTCAAACATTTTTTAACGGTTTACAACACTCGTTTAAATATCTTAGGGGTTATTGGTTTGAATTTAGAAATCCAATAACCAATACCGATAAAAGATAAAAAGAAAAGCCAATATAAAATAAAACAAAACTGTCAAGATTGTATTAATGTTTCACGAAGAAAATATAAAAACGCTTAGCTCAAAGTTATTATATTTGAGTATTCTATTTGAGTATATATTGTTAAGAATTTGTCCCTAACTTAGTGACTTTCAAGATTTTTTTCCATTTCAGTTACTATCTTATTATATGATAATCCATCAAATAAAATCTCTTAAATAAGCTAAGTTCATAATGGCATCTATTACAATTAGTAGAGAGGACGTTAAGATATCTTTGTGTAGATATATAGATTATGACCATCAGACGTCGACAAGAAGGGCCTTTATAATGTCTACGCATTTATCCTCCTCGGCTGTTAGAAGATGTCCATAACCTAAGACCTCGTGGTACTTAATCCATGGAAGCTTTTGGGATATGTATCGATTGATTTCGTATGGAATGATTCTGTCTTCCATCGCTTGCCACACATGGACCGATCCTTCGCCTTCCGGGAACGGATTCTCCAATTCGGTCGGGTCGAATTCCCATGTCGCAAATCCAGCTATCATGTCCCGGTGAAGGCATTCGTGGTCTCCTTGTTGTCGGACCTTTTCCTGGGGGTGTGACCGATCAATAAACAAAATGTAGGGTCAAACTTTAAAAATATGTAAAGGTACATGACACTGGCCGAAAGAAACCTATGGATCTAAATCTTATTTGTTATTTCCAACTTGGCCCATGAGCTTCTAAAAACTTCTACTTTAACCCCTTTTCTTAAGACAGAACAACCCATCAATCTGTCTAAATTTTCCAATATGGCCTTGAACTTTTTATCTGTTTTAATTTGGTCCATGAACTATTTCTTAATGTAGACCCATGAACGTATTCCAAATTACAGTTTGGTCCATGAACTATCACTGTCATACAATGCAAAAAAAAAAAAAAAGGTTTAAGCTTATTACCATGGCAGGGTTTGGGTGCTCCATTTTCTTCTTTATGATGACCAAATCTCTATCGCTGCATAAGGCATTGTTCCCTGTGATCATACTCGAAGACGGAAACAGTTTTTGGGTCAACCACCAATATAACAACCACGGAACGTAATGAGCCACTTTAAATGTCCATTGGTCTTTCGTTGGCATTAGCTCCAACGCTTTACTCAATTTGTCTTGAGGCACTTTAGTCCACCAATAGTTCACAAATGGAACCACTAATACTGCTCCAGCTAGTCTATATATGAACCCCACACCAAAAGGAACATTTAATTATGAGACGGAAGAAAAGTGAAAAAAGACAGAACACAACTTCGAACCTTTTTATATATTACCTGTGGGGAATGTATTTGAGACAACTGTAAACAGAGTAAGCACCAAGTGATATACCAAGAACGTAGAACTTTGGTCCGATCTTGAGTTTATCGGCGAGTTCTTGAATGTCGTATGCTTCACTCTTGACTGTGCGTGATGGGTGTGGATCACTTTCTCCATATCCTGCTCTATCGTAGAATACAAAGTATATCCCAAGTTCCTCGATCAGATCCTGCCAAAACAAAAAAAAAAAACACAAAGAGACTAATTGTTCATTGCAATTAAAGTTGTGGTTGCTTCAAAACTTAATGTTGCTTTTGCGTTTTACATATGAAGCGTTTATATGTATATAAAGGTAATTTATAAAATTCATAAACATGAACTCAAAGTTCATAAAACATGAACTCAATCATCGAAGGTACCAAAGATAATAAATTCTCATTTGGGAGAAAATACCAAAAACCAAAAAGATAAACAAAACAAAAACTATATCACACATGTGAAAGCAAATATATGACAAATGGTGAAAATGCACATGTGACAAGTGCGAGAAATAATAAGTAAAGAAAACAAAAAAAATTAAAGTACCTTAGGAATGGGAAATTGACTGTCTTTGGAGCTATTGAAGCCATGAACGACAATAATCTTGTAGTTAGCATTGGCTCTATCAACTCCATATTCTCTATAAGCAAGATGTCGTCCATCACTAAGCTTGACTCTCGGAGAAGTAACCGGAGGACCGTTTGGAACGCCGCAGATTCGTGGTGGTGGAGGCTTTAACGATCGGTAAATGTAGCCTATAAGGCAGATGATGGTCGCAACCATAACCGAAAACATCATTATTGTTAACCTGAAAACAAATACCAAGATTGGTGATGCTCAAACCAAGAAATCCAAAATTTAGATCTGATAAGAAAGAAAGATGTAAAAGAGAAGAGACCTAATTTCTTTTTTCTCTTGAGATGGAGAGATGCTTTGTAGGCTGGTTAAAATAATGATCTCATATTTATACTAGAAAAGGATCATACATGGGAATAGTTTTTACAAAGAAGTCTAAAGATTAATGTAATGAAAATTCAAGAAAATTATCAGTTTTATCAAGAAATGAGTGAGAGAATGAGAAGAGACACAATCACCGTCAGATTGGTATCCACTTGTTGACGTTAGCAGACAGTAGGAAGGAATGGTAGTAGTAAACACGCATTATTGTGACGTTGACATGCGTAATTGCTGTCTTATGATCCCAAATCTTTGTTGACTATGACTCTTATAGCCATGGTCGTATTATTGTTGTTGTTGTTGCATCATCATCATGGGTTATAATCTTCATACAATGCATCTTCTTTAACACTACAATAAATTCTAGTTTGTTTCTTCTTCTTTTTTTTTGACATAATACTTTAATAAAATAAGGAAAAACAAAAGAATTTGAAACATATATATACTAAGACAACTATTTTAAAAAATTTCCACTTTCCAACTACAATTCCACAAATTTGATCATTTAGGAAAAGTATTTTTTTGAAAATAAATAAATCTCATATTTGATTAAGAGTAAAATATAAAAAATAGATAACAACTGGAAATTGAATAATACAAAACTTACCAAAATTAGACTGAAAGTGGATATTGTATATTTACATGGAAATTTTCTCTGAGTGGGGTTGTATATTATTGTGTATCCATCCACACATTCTTACTTTTCTATTTTGTTTTTTTTTTTTACTTTCTCTCATTCTTGTATTTTTCTAATTTGTTTTCATATCAAAAGCACAACTAAAAACAGAATTTGTTTAGCTGTCGTAATTAGAGGAAGTTAAACCATTTGTTTTGTTCATAAAGATGAAATTGATGTAAACAACCTTTTCTTTGCCCACTTATTGATGAAGTTCTTTCATAACAATTAAGCTTCTAGGTTGATTTCAGAATTGAAATTAACTATACTCGGTCGAATTAACTAGTTCCGGTTTTTAAGTCTTTTGTTTTTGGTAAATTTCCGGTTTAACGAAATGGATAAGAAACTTAAAAGTCCCAACCAAAATTAACCGAAGTCAACTACAGAAGATGATGCTATAAGTTATAGAAAGGATTACCATAGAGACAATAACACGTCATACATACAAAAAGATGGAAGATGGCAACATGCAGAGACTATAAAGAGATAAAAACAAAGAAATAACTTGAGACCAAAACCACCTGTCTGCATAAAGAGACCTAGTTTGAACACGTGGCGAATCACTACATGCTCGAGAACACTTGTTAGTCTTCCGGAGAAGACAGAGTAGCATTCTCATTGCACCGTTCGTACAAAGGACCTTTCATCTTTCTATAATTATCTTTTTTAGCAATCTGAACAAACAAATACAAAAGCCCCCCGGAAAAGAGGGATTCTCTGAAAACACTCGAATACAAAAACTTGATCTTTGGGTTTTACTTTAAAGTCAAGACAGTTCAAAGATTTGGTTCAATGAAGGTACACGAGACAAGATCTCACGCTCACATGTCTGGGGACGAACAGAAGGTTACTTGTCTATAACGATCGAACTTTATAAAATTTGTGTTAATGTGTTTTTAATTTTGGTTTGTTTCTTTAGAAGGGAAATTTAAGGAAGCATAAAGCAGAAGGGAAGCTTCCAGAAGCTGAACAGACTCAGAAGAAAGCAAAGTCGGAAAACGATAACGGCCGTTCTGTCAACGGCGCCGGTGATGTTGCTTCAGAGTACAATGAGTTTTGCAAAGCGGTTGAGGAGAATCTGTCCGTTGATCAGATTAAAGAAGTTCTTGATATCAACGGTCAGGACTCTTCTGCTCCAGAAGAGACCTTGCTAGCTCAATGGTTAGTGTCATAGATCGTTTGAACAGTTTCTTTAGTTGTGAAGACTTTAATATTCTAAGCTCCCTTTTTTTTGGGTCTTTGAGTAGTCAAGATCTGCTGTTCTATGGGGCGTTAGCTAAATGTCCTTTATGCGAAGGAAGTTTGATTTGCGACAATGAAAAGAGATTCATCTGTGGAGGTGAGATTAGTGAGTGGTGCAGTTGCGTCTTCAGCACGAAAAATCCTCCTAGAAAAGAAGAGCCAATTAAAATCCCTGATTCTGTCATGAACTCTGCTATATCTGACGTAAGTATTCCAAATCAACTATGTTTTGTTTATGTCTCTCGGATTCGTTCATCTGAGTTGTGTCATTTTGTTTTATTTCCATGTAGTTGATCAAGAAACACCAAGATCCTAAAAGTCGACCTAAGAGAGAGTTAGGCTCTGCTGATAAACCCTTTGCGGGAATGATGATCTCTCTCATGGGACGTCTCACGAGAACACATGTACGTGCTCTCTGCTCTGACCTTGCTGTGATCTTTCTTGTGATTTCTTTCTTTGCATGCGTAAAGAGTGGTTTTTCACTCTGTTGCTGCAGCAATATTGGAAGAAAAAGATCGAGAGGAACGGTGGTAAGGTCTCCAATACTGTTCAAGGCGTAACGTGTTTGGTGGTTTCTCCAGCAGAAAGGGAACGGGGTGGTACTTCGAAGATGGTGGAGGCGATGTAAGGGTTGAGGGATTTGTCCTAGATTATGTTTTATATTCAGGTTTTAGTCAAATAGTAAACTCGGTGTTGTTTCTTGTGCGTTAAGGGAACAAGGCTTGCCGGTTGTGAGTGAAGCATGGTTGATCGATAGCGTGGAGAAGCATGAAGCACAGCCACTCGAAGCTTATGACGTGGTCAGTGATCTTTCAGTGGAAGGGAAAGGGATTCCATGGGATAAACAAGATCCTAGTGAGGAGGCAATTGAATCCTTATCGGCTGAGGTGTATACATTAGCCCATCTTGGCAAAATGCTATTGACTTGAACGAATCTGATTTAAGTTTGATCTTTTCAGCTCAAAATGTATGGGAAAAGAGGAGTCTATATGGATACAAAACTTCAGGAGAGAGGAGGAAAGATTTTTGAGAAAGATGGACTCTTGTATAACTGCGCCTTCTCGCTATGCGATTTGGGAAAAGGGCGTAATGAGTATGTTAACCAACACAACATTAATATCTCTGATTCTTAAGGCCGGAAGGAGTTATTCTGATCTAGTACTCTTTGCAGGTATTGTATTATGCAGCTGATCACGGTTCCAGAGAGTAACCTGAATATGTACTTCAAAAGAGGAAAAGTAGGGGATGACCCTAATGCGGAGGAGAGGCTCGAGGAGTGGGAGGACGAAGATGCTGCCATCAAAGAGTTTGCGAGACTATTTGAGGAGGTGACAGGGAACGAATTCGAGCCATGGGAACGTGAGAAGAAGATTCAGAAGAAGCCTCATAAGTTTTTCCCAATTGATATGGTCTTAACCCGTTGTACCTTGGGCCTCAAGTACCTCTTTTTGTTGGTTAATGTATTGGTTGGTTGATGATGTTCTTTACAATCTGCAGGATGATGGGGTCGAAGTGAGAAGTGGGGCGCTTGGACTAAGGCAGCTCGGCGTTGCTTCTGCCCATTGCAAGCTTGATTCCTTCGTTGCCAACTTCATTAAAGTTCTGTGTGGTCAAGAGATTTACAAGTACTAATTCTTGACACATTCCTTAGTTCTATCAAGAACATGTCTCTACTTGTGAAAGTTTTGATCTTTGGTGTTCTTTTCCAGATATGCGTTGATGGAGCTAGCAATGGATCCACCTGATCTGCCTATGGGAATGCTAACTGATATTCACCTGAAACGATGTAAGCTTTGGTAGAAAAGAGTTCTTCAGGTATCACTTCACTTCTTACTGTTATGATTTTGACTCGTGAGCTGTGGTTATGCTTTATTTTCAGGTGAAGAGGTATTACTCGAGTTTGTTGAGAAGATCAAGACAACAAAGGAGACGGGTCAGAAAGCTGAGGCAATGTGGGCAGACTTTAGCTCACGGTGGTTCTCTTTGATGCATAGTACAAGGCCAATGCGATTGCACGATGTCCATGAACTAGCAGACCATGTAAGTAACAAGTGTATCATCTCTTTTTTTGTTATTGTAGTATGCCAGTACAGTAGCCTTTATCTTATAGTATTGGATCAATGTTGCAGGCGGCCTCTGCTTTTGAGACGGTGAGGGACATAAACACAGCATCTCGTTTGATAGGAGACATGCGTGGAGACACACTCGATGACCCGTTGTCTGATAGGTACAAGAGACTTGGCTGCAAGATTTCTGTGGTAGACAAAGAGTCTGACGATTACAAGATGGTTGTAAAGTACCTAGAGACTACTTATGAGCCCGTGAAAGTCTCTGATGTGGTAAGCTCCGTCTCTTGTCATGCGTTTTATGAGTTTTTCAATGGCTTTAATGATGTGTGATGGTGTTGTTGCAGGAGTATGGTGCGTCAGTGCAGAACGTTTTTGCTGTCGAGTCAGAAGCAATTCCTTCGTTAGATGAGATCAAGAAGTTACCGAACAAGGTCCTTTTATGGTGTGGTAAGGATTCGCAATTCATGATCACTATTCTTTCCTTTTTTGAGTTTGGTCAGTTAGTTATTAGTGTTTTCATTGTCATAGGGTCTCGGAGCTCGAATCTGTTGAGACATATCTACAAAGGGTTTTTACCTGCGGTCTGTTCTCTTCCAGTCCCCGGTTATATGGTAATTTAAACTGCTTTAGTCTTCTGCAGCATCTGTTTAGATCCATGATTAATAGTCTTATGTGGTGCTTCTTGTGTTCAGTTTGGGAGAGCGATAGTTTGTTCAGATGCAGCCGCAGAAGCTGCAAGGTATGGTTTCACGGCCGTGGATAGACCAGAAGGGTTTCTTGTATTGGCAGTAGCATCACTTGGTGAGGAAGTGACAGAATTCACAAGTCCGCCAGAGGACACAAAAACATTGGAAGATAAGAAGATGGGAGTGAAAGGGTTAGGAAGGAAGAAGACCGAAGAGTCGGAGCATTTCATGTGGAGAGATGACATAAAGGTTCCTTGTGGACGACTGGTTCCATCGGAGCATAAGGACAGCTCTCTTGAGTACAACGAGTATGCGGTGTACGATCCAAAACAGGTAAATATGGGGAAATAGTAGTGGATTAGTTTTTACTTTTGATCAAAACAAAGTGTGTGGCGGTTTTGGTTTATTAGCATATTGGTCTTTGCTTGACAGACAAG